GGTAAAAATAGGTAATAAACCCGATATAGAGGTTAATAGACTAGAAAAATATATTATAAAAGCTATCCTTAATATAAATAAAATTAATAATAAAATAATATATTTTATTAAGTAAAAAGGCTGCCTAGACTTAGAAAATATATAAGAACCCTTAGAATACCTTATTAATATATAATACCTTTTAAAGGACTTTTATTAATAATATTAGAAAAAGGAATAAAAATAATATTCTAATTAATAGTATTTATAGTACCTATAAGCTATATAGCTATTATGGCTTTTAATTTTACTCTCTTAGCCTTATCTAATTTATCTAATAAGTTTAGACCCTAATATATTATCTCTATACCTTACTTATAGATTTACTTCTTTTAGTAATATAGGTATATTAGGTAAGAAAGTTACTTATTTATTTATTATTATAAGGTAATTAACTCCTCCTTAGCCCTTTCTTCCTTAAGCTTAAAATAATACTTCTTAATTATAAGGCGGGATATTATTAGATAAGTTAGTAAGAAGAAAAGTATTAAGTTAAATTATACTTATTAGCGGAAATTAATACTCCTAAATTATTATAAGCGCGACCCTAATAAATATACTTTAAATAATAAGATATACCCTTAAGTATCTTATATTATAGCTACTTCTAGGCATAATATAAATAAAATATAACTTTAAAACCTATTTCTTTAATTAATTTAAATAATTAATAATAGCGCATAATAGATTAGGATTTTACTTTTAGTATATTATTAATATTATTAAAATATTTAAGGAAAAAGATTTTAATAAACTAAGAAAAGTTAGGCGATTAGCTTTATAGGCCTTAAGGATAAGACCTAATAGAGGGGAGATATTATATTATGACCTAATAAAATACTTATTATATAATTAAGAAAGACTCTATTATTACTTATTAATTAAGGCATAATTACTATTAAAACCTAAGTAATTATAATAATTACTTTATAATTACTTATAATTACTTATATAATTACTCTAATTAATATTATAGAGATAATAATTAAGAAGGACCCCTTAAGTATATAGAATATATTTATTTTCTTATATAATAATTACCTTAGCTATTAATATAACTTAGTTATACTTAATACCCTTAAGTATATTATTAGACGTAATTTTATATTACCCTTTAAGGCTATATAATATAATCTAGTACTAATATAAACTAATACGACTAGTTTATCCCTTAGGAAATATCCTCTCGTTATACTTATTTCTTTATTATTAAAAGGGCAAGGAAGAAAGTAATAGTCCCTATAGATTATAATAATAGCAGTAATAATAATAATAGTAATATTATTAGGGTTATATCGCTAATTAATTATAGTTCTTATAGGTATTATATTTAAAGATATAATATTAAGAGATTATAGCTTAAGAAAATAGAAAAGTAAATAATTCTCTTATTTCTTATATAAAGGTTAAAGTAATTAAAATACTTATAAGAGGCTAGACCTTTTATAATAATATAGCTAGGTATAACTCTTCTACTATTATAGAAGTTTAAATAGGCTATTATATTAATATCGGGTTATAATGTTATATTATATTTAAGATCTATTCTTTATTATAGTTATAGCCTAGCCCTTGGTGGGTTAACTAAGCCTGAAGATCGTTGATAACCATGGATGCTTACTGGAGTAGGGTAGCGGCAGAGGGCAGGCAACTACCCAGTCGGACGCTTCGAGATAGATTTGGATCTTGGATCAGAGGATAACTACGAGTTAATGCGATCGTGGCTGAAAGAATGCCAAGAACAGCACCCTCACTGTTTGGGCCGAGAACATGGACCTCCCGAACTGCCCACTCGAGTCGTAGACTTGGGGATTGCGCCAGTCGGTGTTGAGTCTCACCCAGACAGTGTCCGAGTTCTATGCCCTCAAGGTATGCGAGCTGAATACATCGCCCTGAGCCATTGCTGGGGCGGCATGATCAAGACGGTGTTGAGAAAGAGCCTCTTGGCTGAGTTCCAGAAGGCCATTCTCACTTCATCCCTGCCGCGCAATTTTCGAGATGCAATCGCCATCACCCGGAAACTTGGCATCAGATACCTATGGATTGACTCTCCTTGCATCATTCAAGATTCAAGGAGCGACTGGGACAAGGAATCTAAAACAATGGGCCATGTTTATCGGGACTCCTTTCTAACCATATCCGCCATGGCCGCTGAAGGGAGCGAAGGTGGCATTCTTGGCCCATGGCCAACGTTCGACTTCCCAAAGCCAACAACCTTGCGTGTTTTTCGCCGTGGCGATGAAAACAATGCTGTTGTGAGACTGCATCTGGATCATTGTGTGAATTTCCCAAGTTGGTCTCGGGAGACGGTGCAGTCTCCCCTCAACTCTCGCGGCTGGGTCCTACAGGAAAAGATTCTCTCGCCTCGCAATCTCTATTTCGGGTCCAAAATGATATATTGGAAATGTTCCGAGGTGCTGCAGAGCTCTGACGGTGCCCCTATGCTCAAAGGGTACCCCTCCCACGTTGAGCAGTACCATGCCATTAACGCCATCGTCCACCCAAACATGCAGCATAAACCCCCTGCAGACAACCTGAGGTCACTTCTCAATGACTACTACAGTGTTGTAGGGGAATACACCAGCCGCAAACTGACTGTGGCCTCTGATAAGCTGCCGGCCATTGCTGGAATATCTTCCATCCTCGCGCCCAAACTAGGCCAATACCTCGCTGGGCTGTGGTACCAAGATATTCACTCTGGATTGCTGTGGTCAACGGCCGGCGGACCATTATCGAAAACATCTCGTACGCCATCATGGTCATGGACGTCGAAAGACGGGCGGGTTTCATTTCCGGGCGCTGAGTCGGATTCCCGATACGATCTTGACGAATGGAAGCTCCAGATACTGGAATACAACGTCAGCTTGAGAAACCCAGTCATCCCTTTCGGAGAAGTGACCGGAGGGCAAATCATCATTCAGGGGTGGACAATGCCGCTCGTTGGGAGGAAAGACGTCGTTATTCCATCTTTCCATAACGGTCGGTTGAGGTTTGATACTGGAGAAGAGATCATGCGCATGATTTTATTCAAGGACTTAGACTCGGGAACTTGCCTTCTCTACCAGACTCGGAATCACAGCATCCCTTCTGGGACATCTGCCCATCAGCTTGCAGCTAGCGAGGACGAGGTCGAGGGGCAGGCGTATGTTGCGCTCATAGTCGTAGCAAGGCGTGGTCTATGGGCTCTGCGTTCTTCGGATATATCAGAAGGTTCGCGACCTGTAGTTGGGGTCGAGGGCTTGGTTCTCCGTCCACAGGGTGAAAATTACGTGCGGGTAGGAACTGTGGATTGCTCCCTGGATGAGGATTCTCTGGAGGATTGGCCTCAGATGTGGTTGAAGCAGAGATTAGTCCTGGTGTAGTATTACTCTAGTGGAGTTGCAGATATTACGTGAAGGTGAGAAAACACCCTGACTACCTACGAAACACACAAGACTCGACAGACGGGATTTACGCTTCATGGTTACCCATCTAATTACAACTACCAATCAATCGGTTTCGACTCGATTGGTTTATCAAAAAATGACGTCAACTCTGTACCAATCTTCGAGTCGCTCGCAAACTCTGGGTGCTCATCGTACGCCAAAAAGCCAGTTCCATCATAACACCCGACATACTCGGCATCGATTTCATTACCCTTCAATATCCCAAGGTCCACCCAGAGCAACAGATCACCGCCCTCACAGGCACCCCCAGGGCCATATGCAGTCATGAAATTTCTCCTCAGCTTCACATGGACTTTGTCCCAACGCCCCAGATGTTCCATCTTGGAAAGGTCAAGCCAAAAGAGTATCTGGGCCTGGCGTATATAATGAAGGCCTGGGAACAAGGCAGAATCATTTGCTTTGGTCCCATCGTGGTGACTGTTCGTGCCGTTCGCGGTCTGACTGGGTTGGCCGACTCTGTGGCTCGTTGCCCCAAGCACCTTGCCACTCGAGAATCCGTGACATGCTCTTGCAGATACCATGCCTTGCTTGGCGCCTGCTGTGACAACATTTGTGACCCATTGCTTGGTGAGGCCAGCAAAGTTCTCGTCCCAGTATTCGCGTTCTTTATCTGGCATGAGACTGTAGTCTTGACCTTCGACTACCACGCAGATATTGTCGGGGAACTTGGTCATTCTCGTCCTTCCGTATCGGATCTTGGTCGTAAATGGCCTCGGCTCTGGTGGAGTAGAGAGAGAAGACGCGAATTTGTCATCGGGAGAGTCAGGCGTCATACGTGATCGATATGCTCCCCAGTACCCCGTCTTGTCGGTGAGAGGGATAGATTCCCCGCAATGCCCAAAGCCGGATGGTTGTTCAGCATTAGACTCATACATGGCTCTGGTTGCAGGCAAACTGAATGTTTCTCTCCAGAAACCGGCGTCGTCAGGAAGAGAATTCCAAAATGACAACGTATCATCACTGGTCCACCACGACTTGAACGACTGTGGGGAGCGCCAGTAGCTCATCCAGATTTTGGAGGGGAGATCATTTTGTTCGAATTCCTCAACGTGGAGAGCTGCAACCTTGATGAGGTCTTCGAACTTGTTGATGAGGTCTAGTTTGGCTGTACTGGGTGATTCTGCCTGGTATTGACAGCCAAACAGAGAGACTGTAAAGTGATGTGCGGTAGGGAAGCGCGACCGAAGCATGATAAGATGGATTAAGAACTGACAAGGAGATGAACTGGAGGTATGGGCAGATTCTCTTGGCAGTTCGAGTGTCGCAAGAGCCGTGTACCAAGGTAGGTATATATACCTGCCAGCTTTCGGTCCGCCCCTTTGTCTTGTCTGCCTCTACCTGCTGTTTCGCTCTATCTCAATACACAGTCCTTACTATGGTCGGACCGAGCTGGATAAACAGTATCCGGGACGATAAGCTCTGTACTGAATCATATTCCGGGGGTTTTGGATTATCAATTCGGAATCAGGATCAGTCCAATCAGATGCCCAACAATTCCGAAACCTTAACCACGTCCAGATAAGCACGGAAGCTAGACGAGTAGCGCCTGGATATTTATTACCCAGCCGATGAGATTGATAGTGTCGGATAGATGTGACCTAATTACGACTAGAATATATATTCTTCTTTCAGTATATACCTTTGAATGAGGCCAGAGCAAGCATTCTTATTCGTCAATCCAGCTTTAGTATCACGAAGATAAGAGCTCCCCACCAGCCAAGTGTGCCTAGACACTTCTTTTCCTTGCTGGCTGGTTCAGCAAGACTTTGAGAATGATCTTACATGAGAAGTCTTCCGAAACGGCCAATAACAAAACACCACTTGTGCCACCGAGGGTAAGGTCCACCGGTTGGGATCGGCGATGACGAGGCGTTCGAGTTATAGAGCCCACACAGCCTTACGCATGCTCAATTGGAACACCTTGTATCTTATATGTTATACAGATTAACTAGTTTTTCAAAACACGGAAACTCCTCTCAAAACCCATGTTAATACCTGAGCACGGATGCTAATGCTGACTAGAGAGGGATCACTGCTATCTAAACATAATAATTCGCAGAGGTTTACTACTCTGCCATGGGAGTATTAGTTTATCTTCACTCTCTTGCCATCAAGAGCCGTGAAGCCAGAAAATCCCCAACTGAGAACCCACTTATCCTCCCTCCCAAGGCACATAGTTGGACCACCTGGACTTTCTAAAAGAAGAGCTCAGAGAGGTCTTTGAAAAGGACGTGTCTCGGAAAGGCATCTGCGATGGGGACAACGATTGTGCCAAAATTTGAGCCATAAATTGTAACCCTGATAAGTCTTTTTGTCCGCTCTTCCATACGCAAAAGGTACTCCGAGCCCCTTTCTTTTGCTGACGTACATTCAATTCATATAACCTTAACATTCTAAATACCAAAGACAGACATTAACACAGAGAGGATAGCCTATATGCCCTCGCCCAGGTAGGATCAAGTCCACTTTCTAGACACCACATGTTCTTCCTGCCATCTTCACTACAGAGAGGCCTGAATGTAGACCTAAACCTCGAATAGCAATGTCTGATTAAAGGTCATAATGGTCTGTTATGCCAGTGAGCAAGATTGTTAAAAAGCAAGGCCGGTGGCGGCGAACTTCCGTATTTGTGTCCACACGAACAAGACACCGAGCTGTCATAGCCACCATTCGTGTTCTGGAATGAGCTACAGGCGCATGACTTGCAGAAGCCAAGGCCGGAGTCGACCAACTGGACTTGTTGTGCGACTGCCATGTTGATGATGATCAGGTCAAGTTCTCCGCGTTGCCAGGGCGAGTTGTATGATGAAATCCAAAAATAAGTAGAAGGGAAGTTGATGAAGAATCAAGACGAGAGGGAATTTCTGCGATATGTATATGGCCGCCAGACGCAAACCGACTGCCAGGTTACGTGGCATGCGTCTTGCCAACTAGCAACTTGCTTCACACCACTCTCAGCGAATAACCCCCGCCCTGGGGATGTAGATGCGGTGATTTCCTGAAAGTCCACAGCCATGGATGCTGTGTAACTACACAATGGCAGGCTGTTGGCCATGTTGTGTGGCAGTTACAGAGCGTGTGAATCAGGCTCGGAGATAAGCCAGCCTGATGCCAAAACCCCCAACCAATACCTCGCCACCATTTGCTAGGATTCTACCCACCCTCAACACCTCCCTTCCGGATATTCTCGGCTATGTAAGATCGTCTTGAGTTGGTGTGTTCAGCTGACGTTGTTAACATGACCTTACTTGTATTTCGCGCATTCACCGATGTGGTAAAGTGCACGTTTATCGTTGGCATATCGGATGATTTCAGACTTGGCAATGGCGAAGTCTCCCACTGTAAGCTTGGAAATAGTCACGGTCGCTGGTACGAGGCGACTTGGTGGTTACAGTAGTGCCCTGGAAGTAGTTTGAACTGGAAAGGGGCAGACGCTCCAGCCACTTTGCGCGTGCCTCTACTTTGTCAGCCCCTCCGCGTGCTAGCATTTACCTCCACTTCCGTGTCTCCGATTTATTGCCTCAACTTCCCTGTTAGAAGAAGGGTCGATCTAGCCTCTATGTAGCTACGACGGGCAGGCTGAAAAACCATCCACATGCATGGCATGAGTGATAGCCAGAGCCAATCGATTTCGTCCCATTTCAGCCCACCAGTACCTCCAAATCCACAATGAATGTTGTGCTGCTCGGCTCGGCTCTTTCAGGCACTGATTGGACAAAGTCCTTGGCTGAAAGGAGGGGTTTTTGATACTGGGTGTGGCTTCAAATAGTTTGTACCCAGACGACTCAGGAAGCAGGGGAACCAAGAGACAATGTGGCAGTTGTGTCATTATGCCAAGATCATGGGTTATTGATGTAAAGGTGGTGAAAATTAGAGTATGCTAACTCTTTCCATCCAGCCCTCAAGAGACTGAGGGTATCTTACCATAACAATATTTAACCCAGTACCAAGAACGTCATTAACACTTGCTCTCCGTATTATTGCTTCGTGTGATAGTTTTACGGAGTATCGACCACACTCACCTTTATCATCACCACGGCCCAAGAAGTAAGGATTCTTCCGTACTCTGAGATATTGTCTCTTTAGAGGTGGGAGGCAGATCTATCAGTTCAACCTCAAGATCTATGAAACCCATCGGCGAAGTTGTCACATGCTATAAATTCCAAGCCAGAGGTCGTTTGCCCGTATTTCACTAATTATCACAGAGACACAGCCTGCACAGACCATTGAACACAAATCTTGGATCAAATTCATAGCAGAGGGTCGACATATAAGAAGAATGAAGCAAATGTTTACACGCGTTAGTAGGCCTTGCTGGCCACCGATCGAAGCGGTAAAGACAGATCGCCATAGTACGGATACGTGGCTATAGACCAGAGATAGATACACACGTGATAAGTGGACAGGGGGTACCCGACAACTAAGAATAGAAGTAAAGAGATTCCTTGACTGTGCTTCACACACAACCCCTGTTTCCTTGCTGCGTTCTTATCGTTCTTCTGAAGCCTCAGAGATCGTTGGCGAAAAAGACTGGTGTCGAGGCGTGCGTGTTGACCCGAAGGCTCAGTTGATCTGGGCGAGAGTAGTGTCCAACAGTATCAAGGTTCTGTTTCGCCTTGTACTTCTCCTTGATATCAACATCAGCATACAGGATACCCTCTTCGTCAGGCTTAAGTGGCTCGACAAGTTCCTGTCCAAATGGTGAAAAGATGGTACTGAAGCCACCACCACTCTTTTCCGTGTAAGCGTAACCTTGAACGTTGGCCGCCTCCTTGCTCTTCTCGGTGAGGATCTGACTCGCTAGGACAACAAAGCATGCCCCTTCCTGAGACAGGATATTGGAGAAGTTCTTGCATGTCTCTGGAACAATGTGGTAGGGCCACCCGGGATTGTGCTGAGGGAAAATGGAAGGCCAACTGGAGATATGAATATCGACATCCTGCGAGTACTCGTAGTATCGCAGAAGCGGCTGGCTGTGCTCCCAGCAGTTAAGTCCTCCAATTCGGCCGAACTTGGAGGGCACGACCGTCTTGAGCGACTCGCCCTGTCCGTCGCCATAGATGGCTCGCTCCACGTGGGTGGGCTTGATCTTGCGGCGATGGTGAACAATGGTACCAGTCTCGTCAATGAAAGACTTGAGAATATTAGTACGCTAGAAGAAGCCAGGGACGTTGCCTTTGACATACCTGAGCAATGTAGAGAGTTCCCTTGTATCTCTCACTATATCCCAGCACAATAAACACTCCAGCCTCACGAACAGCATCCCGAATGCGGTCCATCTCGGGGGACTCCCTCTCCAAAGAGTTCTGGAAGTACTCATTCATATACGGCGCATTATCCGTGGGAGAGTTTGCCCAGATGCTCCTAGACTTTAAGTAAGATAATCCCGCCTCGACACTATCATTGAGGCCTGCACTTACCATGGGTAGCCAGGGATAAAGACCTCTGGGAACCCAATGACGTTGGCGCCGTTGCCAGAAGCCTCCTGGATGAGGCTGATGACCTTGGCAACGCCGCCCTGCAGGTCGTTCCAGACAGGCTCGGCCTGAATAGCGGCGACTTTGACGGTACTGCTGTTGCTGGACATGTTTGATGAAGATGGTCGATATGGCAGTGGAGATGACAAGGTCATACGTGTTGATGATGTAGGTGGTGTTGGTTTGGTTGAGTTAAGTTGAGTTGATACGGATACCTCGGAGTTGTGAAGGTGCTTTATACTTGGTATTCAAACTTGTTAACCAACACCTATAAATCAATTCTAAGCCCTCCTGTTTGTCCATTTCCCGATATACTCATCGGATAGCTCGCGAATCATGGGATTAAGAATGCTAGAAAGTGGTAGATGAAATACGACGTATGTTTGGCCAAGTGAGTACCGGATAACGAGTACCCGGCCAATGGCACAACTTTGTGTCGCTGATCATAGGCATGACTCGACTATGTTATCGCTGATCACGGATATTGATTATCCTACCATGTCCCGTTCACACCTGTAGCATTTTACCCGACGCTCAAGTTTACATACCACGTCGCGAGCCGAAAACAGGCCGGCAGACAATCCGAGGGCCGACGTGCTACCGACCATGGGTGACGAGGAAGTCTCCGTTGGTTAGCAATATGACTTTTCTCCTTTTAGTGAACTCAACACGCTCATTTCAACACACAGACCAATCGTGCGCAGTTAAGGATGCCGGTGAAAACAGGACTATAGTGTTAGACTCATCCGGCAATGTACCACCGGGGCGGCGGAGGCACTTTGAGCTAGCCCAAGAGCAGGAACGGGACCATCCCCAACTAGCATACTAGAGTAAGAGGATCAGTCCAATGGAGTGATATTTGGGTAGCCATGCTATTGGCAGGGCAGAAATACCTGCGAATCCAACACGGTGTCGTGAATGCATCTAACGCCACCTTGTTTGTCCCGCATCTCGTCGAATAACTGTGGCTTCGAACTACACAGGTGATAACGGTTACTCAGCTGGAGGCCATACCACCAACCACTGAGGGCAATGCCTTGACGATCAGATTGTATAAGATCCTGCTGCAGGAAAAGTTATGCGAGACCGTTGGTAACAACGGACCCTTTGCGCCACAGCCTGAGGAACTTGGTCAGAGAATGGCGACAGGATTTGAACTACTAGCACAAGCTTCAACATATACCCGGGAGATGAAATATGTAGTTCTAAGGAAGGTATCCTAATATACCAGCGGGTAAAATGATAAAGGTTGCAACAGTCCAGACACTCGCCCGAGCCATCATCAAAAGCCCAATCTACTCAATTAAAAGTTAACATAGACCCTACTCTCCCATCCCTCAAGTGCTGGACGTCCACTCTTTATCTCTGCAGTCCCTTTGTTTGTTGTGCGGGCTAATAAGCGGACTTGGTTTTCTGAGCTACCAAGGGCAGTATAAACATCGGGGCCAAGCCTGGTCTGCTGCGACATATTCAGAACAACAAGAGCTTTCCTCTTTGTAGGCCCCTGCGGACTTATAGGTACCGCACTCTCCTTGATGTAAGTGAACGTGTGCTCATCGGTGGGATCCAGGAGTTTGAATGACCCAAACACAAACAAATCCTGGTACTCCTTACGGAGTTGCAGAGTATGCTTGTAAAAACTCAGGATTGAGTCAGGATCCTTGACTTGTGTGGCTGCGTTGATGTCACGATAATCCTCATGGACACGCATCCAGGGTCGTGTTTGGGCATCCGTAAAACCAGCGTTGGGAGAGTCATCCCACTGGAAAGGGATTCTGGCGTGGTCACGAGCCATGATCTGCAAGCCATGCATCGTAGCCTGGACCTTCTCCTCGTCCCCAGACTCGACGGCCTCAGCGTAAAAGTTGGTGCTTTCGATATCCTTGTATTCTTCAATGCCCCAAGACCGAGGCATATTGGTCATACCAATCTCCTGGCCCTGATACAGGAAAAGTGTCCCAGTGAGCGTTGTTTGCCAAAGAGCAATTGTCTTTGCAGATTTGAACCACCACTCCGCAGATGAAACATCTCCAAAACGATCCACTGCACGTCCATTGTCGTGGTTCTCGCAGAAGGCCGTCGTCCAGGCATCAGTGCCCTCGATGAAACTCTGCCACCTGTGCACAAACTCCTTGAGCTTGGACAGTGGAAAAGGATCATATATGTACTTGCTGCCGAAGCCATTTCCATTGCCAAGGCGGATCATGGAGAACTCAAACACCATGTCGAGCTCCCTGGCAGCTCGGGATACGTAGGGGATAACTTGGGAAGGGTGTGGAGTAAGGGAGAGCTCGCCAACTGAGACAGCGTTGTAAGGGCCGAGGACTTTCTCGTACATTTCATGGATGAACTCATGAATCCGAGGTCCGTTGCACCACATCTCTGGGGCGGGTTGATGGGGAGAATCTGGGTCGGTGATAGGGGCGTCAACAAAGTCGCGTCGCTTTGAGTACTTGTTGACCGTGTCAATGCGGAAACCATCCACACCGCGGTCTAGCCAAAAGCGCATGGTGTTCTCATAGATGGCTTCTCGGCACTCATCGTTGTCCCAATTCAGATCTGGCTGATCGGGCGCGTAGAGGTGAAGGTAGTACTCTTGGGTCTGCTCATCCCAAGTCCATGTAGAACCTGCAAAGTACCCACGCCAGTTTGTCGGTGGGTGTCGAATGCCGTTCTTGTCGTAGCGAGCTGGTTTCCATATGTACCAGTCTCGCTTTGGGTTGCTCTTGGATGATCTTGAGGCCTTGAACCACTCGTGCTCGACCGAGGTATGGTTGACGACAAGGTCGAGGATGATCTTCAGGCCACGCCTGTGACATTCTTCGACGAGAACATCGACATCTTCAACGGTACCATATGGCTCGTAGATCTTCTGATAGTCTGAAACATCGTAGCCCATGTCTTTCTGGGGACTCTCAAAGATGGGGGATACCCAGACCACGTCAATCCCCAAATCGCTCAAATAATCAAGCTTGGAGATGAGGCCGGGTAAATCACCCCAGCCGTCGCCATCGGAATCCTTGAAACTGGCTGGGTAGACTTGGTAGAAGGACGCAGCTTTCCACCACGGTTCTTTGCCGACATATTGGTTGTCGTCGTCCCAGATGATGGAGCCCATGGTGCAAATATTCAACAAAGAGGATGAGAGGAGACAAGAAATCTGCAGTGCAACTGATTGTTGGGACAGATGGGTGCTTATTATTCACTACATTTGTGGAGTACATCCTCTTATCAGGCGGAGTGGCCGCATGCGCTGAGTGTCGTTACGCAGACGCGGCAGGGATCGGCTGTGGCGAGTTTGTTGATTGATGTCACCACATGAAAAGGGAGTCCGTTCTTCCACCAGCGTGATCAATTTCCGGCGGAGCTTCCGCACCTAAATCATAAGCGAAGAGGCCATCGTCGGAGTTCCTCCGCCACCATCTCCAAACGACTTCACGCACCAATCATGATCCGGCTGTGCTCATCAAGAAGAGACTAGCGGCGGAGTCTCCGTCAGATGCCGCCAAGTGACGGAGACTCCTGATTGAAAACGCTCCTCTTTATGCTCACGAGCCAATGCAAATCCTTTCCTGTCACCCCACAACCCCCAGGCACGCTCTCCAGATTTCCCCACGCTGTTTCCAGAGTGCTGGGCGCATGGCAAAAACCGGGAGAAAAGACTCTGGGGATTGACTTACAAGCTTTTGCTCAATCAGGCTTGATTGAGGCGTTCTCGACTTATATAAGGACCGTGTGATCCCCTCTCAAAAAGCATCAGATCTGCCTTGACTCCAACCCTTCCATCAATCGCTCAATTGCTCAATTCCCTTCAGCACGACACAATGGCGCAGCCAAAACACTCCCTCCACGAAAAGGACCTAGATGCCTACCATGAGGAGACAGCCAACACCGAGGCCCTTGCCTCTGAGGCCAAGGTCGCCGCTGAGGCAGAGCACCACATGAGCCTCTGGGACGCTGTCAAGACGTACCCCAAAGCCATCGGCTGGTCGGTTCTGCTCTCCTCGACGCTCATCATGGAGGGTTACGACCTCGCTCTGCTGGGCAACTTGTACGCGTCCCCCGTCTTCAATCAGAAGTTCGGCACCTACAACGCCGCCACCGGGGAGCATCAGGTGACGGCAGCGTGGCAGTCTGGGCTCTCCAATGGAGCGCGCGCCGGCGAGATCATTGGACTGATCATTGCCGGCTGGACGGCTGATAGATACGGATACAAGATGACGACTATCGGGGCATTGGTTGCCATGATTGCATTCATCTTTGTCTTGTTCTTTGCTCCCAATGTCAAGATCTTGGTCCTTGGAGAGGTGCTTTGCGGTATGTCCCATCAATCCCCAGCAGCAAGAAATCGTGTTGACTCGAGTAGGCATTCCTTGGGGCGCGTTCCAGAGTGTCACACCAGCATATGCCTCTGAAGTTGCGCCAGTCGTCCTGCGCCCGTACCTTACGACATTCATCAACATGTGTTGGGTCATTGGTCAGTTCTTTGCTGCTGCTGTCAACAAAGGCTCCGTTGGCCGAAATGACCAGTGGGCGTACCGTATTCCCTTTGGTGTACAGTGGGTTTGGCCAGTCCCTATTCTAGCTGGCGTGATCTTTGCTCCCGAGTACGTCTTCCATGTCACATGTCAAGATCTTTCCTATGTTAACAAGCTGCCAGATCTCCTTGGTGGTACGTCCGCAAGAACAACAAGGCCGCCGCCAAGAAGTCTCTGCTCCGTCTCACCTCCCGAAACCAACCCAACTTCAACGCCGACGACACTATCGCCATGATCGAGCACACAAACGAGCTGGAGAAGAACATGAAGGAGGGTACCTCGTACCGGGACTGCTTCAAAGGCGTTGATCTGCGCCGCACAGAGATTGTGGTTGGAATTTGGCTTGTTCAGACCCTTGGTGGACAGAACCTCATGGGCTACTTCTCCTACTTCCTAAAGCAAGCTGGAATGGATCCCAGCAACTCCTTCTCTCTTTCCATGGCCCAGTACGCTCTTGGAATGGTTGGCACGTTTGGATCCTGGTTCCTGATGGCCAAGGTCGGCCGCCGTACCATCCACTTCTCAGGCCTTTGCTGCCAACTCATCATCCTCGTCATCGTCGGCTCCCTCTCCTTCTCAAAGGACAATGGCTCCGTCTGGGCTATCGGCGCCATGCTCATTGTGTTTACTTTCGTCTACGACTTCACTGTCGGCCCCGTCACATACTCGCTCATCTCCGAGTTGTCTTCTACGCGTCTCAAGGCCAAGACCATCGTCATGGCCCGCGCGGCCTACAACGCCAGCAACATCTTTGTCAACGTCATGACCAACTATCAGCTTTCGTCGACGGCGTGGAACTGGGGAGCTCGAACGGCGTATTTCTGGGCGGGTACTTGTCTTGTCTCGGCGGTTTGGGTCTTCTTTAGACTTCCCGAGCCCAAGGGTCGCACATACGCCGAGTTGGACATTCTCTTCGAGAAGAAGATTGCAGCGAGAAAGTTTGCCAAGACCCACATCGATCCTTACTCTCATGAGTTGACGGCTGAGAAGAAGTTGACTGCTGAAAAGGAGCTGTAATGTAAGAGCCATGCTAGAGGAGGTTGAGTCCAATTGTCAATATCAAAGGAACACAGGATATCTCTGCTTTAATTAATTTAATGGTGTCTGATGAATTTTTGTCTTTGACCCTCAACATGTCGTTTACGCCGTGGGGCTGCTTTGTGCAATGCTCGGTCCCGGACTTGGAAGGGCTTGCTGAATGTGGTTGACAAGCAGCGGCTCGTAGATGTTTGTACCACCTGGCAGTTGAGCCATGAGGCCTCGGATATATGCCAAGTCATCTTGCGGCGACGTACCCATTGCTAGACCCTGAGGACTTGATGGGTTGACAGGAACACGGGCCAAAACATCCACCACTGCTGAGACCACATCGTAAAGCTTTTCAGTCAGTCCGACTCCGTGTACTTTGATGCTCTCGAGTGGCAGGTCCCTTGTCGACAAGGTTAGGTCTTTTGCTACCTCGAGGGGATATTGAAACGTGAGACTGTGCTGGGTTGCACTCTCGCTGAGATGCCCTAGGCGTAGACGTAGCTTCCATATTATAACGCGAAGCCAAAGTTGTGTTATCCGTAGATTTGCTTTTTGAGTATCGTGTAGGTGTATATCAGCTTTCAGGGCCGTGTTGACCGATGTCTCGACATAGTCAAGTGACGCATGAAGCGGCGGCGTTGCGGCAATCTCTTGGTTGAGCAGCGCGACGAACGAAGTGTCTAAGGGTCGAAAGAGAGCAGCCAGACTCCAGAAGCCGACCAGTGAGAGATCTCCCATCTCTAGCTCTGGTGTTTCGCTTGTGATTTGTAGCGTGATAGGGCGACGGTAGCGGATTGCGTGTGATCTTTCTGATACAAGGAGAACCCAGAAGAGGCGACCAGCCAGAGCTCTCGTGGAGACGTCCATGTCGTCGAGTCTCAGTAGACAAAACAGGGTTGTTGCTTCGCGGAGGAATAGGAATGCCTGGCTGTGATGTGATAGCCTCGCATGGCATGCGTATAGGAAGAAGGCGAGGAGGCACTGATTGAGGCTGGGCTTGACATTACGAGAGATGGACTGGTGTGTCGCCACAGCGCTCTCCAGGATCATGTTCCCGTAAGTGGCATTACTCTCACGTATGACGCCTTCGGAAAGTAGATTCTCGGGCTCTTCGGCCTGGAGCAGCACCTGCGCGCACATGGCGGCGAGTACAGCGTGAGCCTCGACCAACGACGAGCCCTTGAGGCTGAGGACATGGTCGCGAGTGAGGATGGGGATAGTGGGATACAGCCTCGCAAAGAACCTCTCGACGCAGTGATCAATGATCTGGACAGGCACAAGCTCTGCTAACCGCTGAGACGGATCTCGTCCTCCTCCTATGGGCGCCGAAGGACCGGACTGCGCGGCACACTGTTCCCCGAGGCCAGCGTCCACGCACCTCCTGCAGGGCCGATACTCGTTGCAGCCGCGCCGCAATGTCTTGCATCGCTGGCAGGCTCGGGGTACCTGAATCCGCTTTGCGGGCGGCGTTGATCGAGTATCGTCGGACATGTATGAGATAACGCAAGATTTTAGGTGCGATAGTGCGATAATTGCCTCATGTTCGGAAGTGGGGATGCTTCAGAATTTGAAGTGCACCGCTTACCCTAGAGTGTGAGGAGAGAGTTTCGGGCTTGGCTTCCAGGTAGCGGTGAAGGATAAATTCTATTACTGCAACGCGGATCTGTCTTTTAATTCATTTTTCATGTTGGTAGTAATAAGGCATGTAGCGAAATGTTGTTCTAGATAATAATGATGAGGTCTGATGTATACACTATGGGGCAAAACACATGTACAAAAAGCAAAACAAGCCCCAAAAAAGACGTTGAATCTCGTTACTTTTGCATGAATCATCCAACCTCTTATCCTCACCGCGAGTACAAACGCCTTTGTTTATCGATGTCTCATTCGATATAGCGACGTTTGCTGGTCAAGCCATGCTTCAGTCAGATCGAGTCCTACCATATCGTGGTTCATTTCCGATGTAGAGTAGTCATCCCCATCGTCCATCCACCCCAGTGTCCCACGGCTGGCTGTCAGCTTGTGTCCAATCTCGCGACAGGAGCCAAAGTCAGCCAGGATGGGCAGTCCTAGAGAGTTGACGAGAATGTTGGCCGGGTTGATATCGTTGTGCGCCATTCCGATCCTGTGAAGGTGACGCACTGCCGACCGTAGAGCTGTCATGAAGGCCGCTTTATCCACCAGCCCTACTCTCTCTAGATGCTGATTTAAATCGTTGGGGTGCTTCTCGAGGACTAGACCGGTAATACGACCCCGTTGAACGCGGCAGCCGTAAAAGTTTACGAGACCAGGATGGGGCTTTCTGGAGATGACCTGGAGGGCGTGGGCTTCTTCGAGAACCGCGGCAGGGAGAACTGGCAGAGTTCCCTCCCCTTTGCAAGTCTCGTATAGGTCTAGAGGTGGCCGTTTGATGAAGACGTCGCTCCTTTCGCTCACATCATTGGGCACGACAGTGAAGCATTCTCTTGAGCTTGATAGCCTTGGATACACATGGTCGTCGGGAACCAGAGTAAGAGCTGCCGTTACTTGCTCCAAGGCGATGTCTTGCTTGGGTATATCCAGCCGTCCAGCATATACCACGTCATCATCGTCAATGGCAGTGAATGTCGTGTAGATGTCCGAGTGATCCTTGCCGGAGGACTCGCAGACCGTGTGTAGGTCGCTCCAGCACTTGACGACTGGTGACATGGCTGGCGAAAAGTGAGATCGCTCGGACGGTGAGTGAAAGAAGGAATGACAAGTCAAAGGGAGTGAAAGGTTTGACGATTGATCTGATCTCACAGTTCGGGCGGAAAGTTTCTGATCTTGGACCGACCGGACCCCTCTCACGCGACGCACCGGCCCGTGATTTGCCGCCAGCGTCAAGATTAACGCCTCAGCTGACCAACGAGGCTTGGCTTTTTGTGCTTTAATAAGCGGAATCTGCCCGAGACTTATGCATGATATTCGTTACATCATGTTAATTGGACCCACATGGTCTCCAAAGTCTTGTCTTGCGTAACCGGGCTAATCACGCCAAGCGGTGTCGCGTGCTCAATATCAACACAAACACCGCCCTTCTCCTCTCTATTCCTGAGCCTAGATTTTGGTGCCAACGATCAGAATCATCTGCAAAGAGATGCACGATAAAGACACGGTCATCATTCGGCCTCGTATGTCTTCTTGTATTGGTCAGTGTCTCCGACATCAGCCCATCTAAGGCCTCTGCTGCAAGGATCGTCCCATCATCGCATTGAGCCAAGTCTTGTCAGCCCTGGAGGCATGCAAGTGTTCGAGACATAGTTAATCTAAGCGTGTTGAAGTTTCAAGCGGGTAATCTATAAACCGACGCCATCTTGGTACATTTGAAACAAACAAAGCTCAGGCTTAGAGCCAGACAGGTCCCAGATTCTATCCCGCTCGAGATAAGATGAATCCCTGTCGATGCCGAGATCTGGATCCAGGCACTCTATTGGGAACTGCCAGAAACCATAAGCTGCCTGGTTTTCTTCCCATAAATCTCTAACGGAATTGTGACCAAGGTCCGAATTCACGCGTTTTCGCGACATCGACCTGTTATCCATTTCTCGAATCCAGCACAAAGCCTTTAATGCGGTATCACGATTCTTAATAGTTGCCTGTGGTGCTGGTTGACGAGTAGGCATGTGTCGGTAGTTAGCTTGATGCCCCTCGAGTGTGATTTACAGTCTTAAGAGCATGCTAAATCACCCCTGGACTTGCTTCTGAGGGCTTCTTAAACTCATGTGAACAGCACTAAGGTCTATAGGCCTCGTTTCATGCGATAGCCCGTCAAAAGTGCTTCTAAAAACTATGGCAGGGTGTACAAGTGGGTAGATATTCTTCGCAGCAATAGGCTTGGGGACGAGGCGTTAATAAGTTGCCGTCAAAGGTACACAATGGATAAAATGGACACATCTAAATCTCTAATCAGTCTCTCGAAGACGGAATACATTAGCCTTTTGGGCAAGGCATACCGTCCAGCCGATTTCGGCTGGCCATAGATTCCCAGAGCAAAGTTGGCGAGACCAACGCGCTGGATCTTTGAGCCAGAGCTAACGCAAGAAATCTGCGAAATAGTCTGAGATGTTAGCGAGGGATTGGTACCAGTCGTAAGAATCCGAATCTGGGTCTAGCTTTGTTATATTAAGCCAAGGGTTGAAATATAAGAGTCCTGCTTCTCCTAATATATTCCCAACGGTATTGAAAAGGAAACTAGACTCAATAGAAGCGAAGCGCAACTTGTCGGGATTCTTGGCAGAGCAGGAAGAGCTTGCTTATAGGGAAGGGCCCATCAGCCGCCTCAACAACAGAGCCTCGCTTAATTGTTCCGCTTCGTGAGACTGCATCAATAAGATTACGGTGTTTTACTGTATTAAGTCTCAATATTGTCTTGTATTACTGGTTATATTTTTCGCTGTTGTGGTTGGCGGTCTCTCGCGGCCTCGTCATTGCAGATAATCATAACATGGCTGTCTTGGTGCTTGAGATGGAAGGCCTTGGATTTCATCTGAGCATTATGCAATAAGACGAAAATTGAAAGGAAGAGGGTGAGAGGGAGGGGTGGGACAGATAGTCATTGAAGGACCTACCTGAGTAAGCAACTTGGGGATTGGGCATCTATTTTATACCCAAGCTACGGCCTCTAGGATCCTCCTTTCCCGGTAGCTTTGTGAAATTTACTATCCCTGAGCCTACATACTACAGTAGATCACGCCCAAGCTTCCTAAATCTACCATATCAGCTCAATCTACTTGGCGATGTCCTCTCCCCCACCAACAAGAGTGGTCGGCTGTCTGCTAGATGTCTCACGCTCCATGCGCCAGACTCTGGAGACCGGAAAAGGAGACAAACAAGCCGTTGAACGCCTCCAGGCTGTACTCTCTGCGGCCCTCAAGCTTGTTCGAGCCGAACAGCGACGAGAGACCAACACCCTGGTGTTTGTCGGGGTTTTTGGGCTGAACTGCTCTGCTGGCTGTCCCCCTGTCATGGACCTGTGCGGTGCCACCGAAGCACTGTTGGCTTCCGACAATGATGACCAGCATCTATCTGGTCATGATCTGCTTATTGAGCTAGCGAACGAGAACAATCTCTCTCACGTTACTAAGTACATTCGCACCAAGCTTACGGACCAAGAAGCGCTCATTGTTCATGCCCACTTGCGGCGACACCCGGAGCGTACGAAGGACTTTGTCGATGCAATTCCAGACGAAGAAGACCTGCAATCATACCGCAACGTCACTACTGGGGGGATGAGTCTCGTAGGCGCTGCCGCCACCGGCGTAGTTCTTGGCCTCCCCGGAATTATTCTTGGCGGTATCGCTGGAGGATCCGCTGGGGCGCAGACAGCAGAGGCACTTGAGGACCACGCTGTCGACAATTCGGAGGCTTTGCGACTCGCACGTCAAATGTGCCACGAATGGCTTCATGATTATATCGCATTTGTGCCGCGATCTGTCAATCAAGTGGTCCATCTCCTTGAGCGGCTCCAAAACCCCCCAAGCGAGACGCGAAACGGAGGCGAGGAGAAGGACGGGTTGCTACACATCTTGCAGCGGTACCTATATGGCCGGACTCCAATGAAGGAGGCCCTAGAATCCTCTCTAGCAGCGTTCAGAGAACATTCCCTCGTTTCGCAGGGTGGATCTATACAACAGCGAATCCTCTTGCTGGTCTCTGATGGAGCATGGACTGACGAGAACCCGTTTTCAACTGCATCCCAACTGCGCGATCAAGCGGTCACTATCGCCACAGTCTTCCTGACTTGTAATGAGAGACTTCTGCACCGCACCCTTTTTGACAAAGCAGGCGTTAATTGGCGCAGGGGTCAGCGGGCGCTCTTCGACATGGCTTCGAGGATCTCCTGCGCTACACATCCAGTACCGGTTCTTGCCTCGATAGGCTGGAAGGTACCTTCATCTGGAGAGTGTGCGCTGTATACAACTGTGTCTAGCATGTCGGCACTTGAAGAATTTTGCTCACTTTTGTCGTCTGCCCGATTCGGTGCCGCCGACATGTTGCTCGATATCATCGGTCGCATCGACCTTGACGCGTTCATTGATGATGAACACATAAAAACCCGCAGAACGCCATCGGATCAAGGGTCCAGTGAAATGTGCTACGCACATGCGATTGCCGCAGTCACACACATGGCACTTCTTCGCGTCGTCGGTCGTGAGGGTGGCTGCCCTAGCATCTAAGACATTAGGGGTTGGATTTTGCACGAAGATAACTTCCTCGTGAAGAAAGAGGGGTGGAACGTAAGACCAGTTCTTGAGGGCATTCGCGCAAGGTACCGTCCGCTTCGTTTCCAGGAAGTAGATGAAGACGGTGCCCGACAGGCTGTACTGCATCGACGCCCTGTGCTGGCCGCATTCTGGCTATCTAAAAATGGTTGGGATTGTTTCAGCCGCCACTTTACGAATAAGGCGACTTGTCATTCAGTACTCACCCCTGGAATAATGGCACCGCATCGGCGTGAAACCCCAGATTCGGGAGGCCATGCCGTCGTTTTAACCGGCTGTGCCCCTGGCTCTCTCACGTTCCTTAACTCCTGGGGTAGACAATGGGGTAATTATGGTAGCTTCAGTATTCAGAACTCCTCAGTTCTGGAAGTTGATGGTCTATGTAAGACTCGTATGAGTTTTTACGACGTATACTGGCTGGAGAGCGACCTGAAAGATAGCGAGCGGGAAGCATACGGCCTCAAGGTAGATGAGAAGCTACGGTCCAACTCCTCGGAGTACCCCAGCATCTTTGAGATGGATATACGTTGTCCCTGCTGCCTGAAGGTAGCACCTATCCGCGAGTTCAACGGAAGCATTCGCCAAGCAAAATGCCCGGGATGCCATGGACATTTTCTCCCAGAGCCAGGATACCTTGTGCAGGCGCTTTACGCGCAGGCGGGACTAGGTGAGGGGGGCTGAAGAAAGCGCAGTAAACTTCAAATGGGCGTTAATTTCTTTGAGAGACCATGATTTCTTTAGAAGTTGTAGCTACAATTATGCCCGGTCATTACAGCTGTGGGGAGCTTTACGAATGGCATGAGTTTTATCTTACAACAAGAAAATGAAGGATTCAATGTATAACTGTCGAATTTTAGAAGGTTTATATTGATCATTGGTCTGTCATATTTCTATCCTGGTAAGACTGAGTTGTCTAGAGACATCACCCATTGCACCACTATTTATATACCTTTTACGTTTGAACCGCCACATTCTTCGTTTCGCCTGGTCTTTTTTTACTCGTACTCGTTGGATGGAGTGTAGTCTTTTGTGGTATCCATCCTCACACCCATTCACTTCCTGTCCCGGTCTGGGTCCTTCCCCTGTGGCTCTTGGATCCAGGCTTCGTCGACCTGAGTGATAAAGCTATACCACCAGTCTCCCATCAAGTCGTAGGCGTCATCAGTTGGATGCACGCAGTCTTGGAGGAGGTTATCTCCGGCCTCTTCCCAACGAGAAAAGTCAACAGCCACGACATGCTTACCCTCCAGCCGCCGCTGTTGAACAATACCAGGAATGAGCTTCTGGTACCGCTTGGTGCGCTCTCGCTGGTCGTGCATTGTGGAGCTGTCGCATGTGTTGATGATGACTGACGCCAGAACAACAGCGTCTGGACACTCCGCAGTAATTTTATCGATGAGGTTTCCCAGTCGCTTAGCCGGCGCTTTTGGGTCATTGCCCTCCTTAGCGATTGTATTAGTATTGTTATTCATATCGTTGGTTCCTGCGGCTAGCAAAATGATATTGGGTTGCTGCTTCAGCGAAGGCCCGACGTGGTTGGTGATGTACTTGATCGTCTTGCCCGGAAACCCTGCCTGTGTTTCTGACATATTAGAATCATCATTTCTGGGCATGTAATAAGTGCCGGTTGAAACTAACGTGGTAACCATCGGCCATGCCGCTGTTCTCATTGAGTTGTGTCCCAGCCCAAACCACCTTGTTTTCTAGGCAAAGGTCGTTAGCGACTAAAGACCATACCACTTAGTAGTTTACTGGATAAATCCTTTCGCAGCTGTTGTCGATATCCATTTTCATCTGTATCGCCGAATCCCGCCGTGATGGAGTCACCGACGCAGAGGATGCGGAGTTTGATGCCGTTCTTGATGACTTTGCCCGGTTGTCTCTTTTGATACTGAAGAATTTCTTTTCCATGTCCTGGTCTACAATCGTGATTTGGCTTTGTATTTGGCTGTCTGGTTGGTATCGCAATTGACGTATATACTGTAAGTGTCGGGGGAGACCATGGAGTGGTAGTTTGACCCGAGTGCAATGCTGGAGGCTTCGTAAAAGTCCCAGTCGAACGAAGACTTTTTTCAAAGGTACCTCCACTCAATGAGGAAGGGGGTTGGGCAACAGAAGGATAACTTTCTGAGTCTTGGCCTCGAGCAACTACATGCAACGTGCCTGTCGGGAGTGAACCGGCGTGAGGAGGCGCAGCGACGCCAACCGTAGCCAGCGCAGATAGTAGTAGAAGGACAACACTCCGAAACTCTAACATCGTTAATAAGAGGGAAGAAGAATGAATAGTGTGCTGGAAAAATCGGCAAAGGCCAGTAGGCGTTGGTTTTCCTATTAATATCCAACACGTAGACCATGTGGACAGGTGGTTCTGGCCACTAGAGAACAACATTCCGCTTCCCACAACCCTGTAGTAAGCGAAGCACCATGATGCTTGTTTCAGCGCGGCCTTGGGATGCATCTACCAACAACGCACTTGGTGGACCTGACATATTGGGCATGGTGATCCGGCCAATGAACTTTGATATTGGATTGTGGTCATCTAACAGTTTGGCCACCCCTGATCCCTGATGGGGGCCATGGTGACTGTAAACAGCAATTTCTAACCGAGGCACAGACGAACAGTGGATCGACTGTGGCCGTGCTTCCGTGATAATTCCGTCAGCCACTCTTGGCGGTACAGAACAGGGAATTACTTTGCGACATAATCTAATTGTGTGCACAAGGATTCATGACCACAACAACAGTTCTAATGGCCCTTCAGTAAGCTGCATGGAGCTAACTTCAGACTGGCTTCAAGAATGGACGCCGTCATTCACTAGAACAAGCCGGTCCCCTGTAATTTCCGCCAACAGTCCAACTGTTTGTTGGCTTTCCTTTTACGTTGTCCCCAACTGCTGACCACGTCTCCTGTCACCTGGCCCCACTGCGCCTGAACAAAATAAGCATGAGGGAACGGAGTAATCTCGCAAGTACCGAGTCTCAGCTGCCAACTGATTAACTCACCACACGAGAAAACTTTCTGGTACCTGGTAGACAGATGGCCAGAATATCTCAAGTCATCCGCTGGAATGTATCTAATACCATATTCGTTGTGAGGAACCTCTCAATAACTTCAGTCTGCTTGGCAAACAGCAACTTGCCGCAAGAATTAGTAGACGCTTTATTTCGAGGAGCGTGAGATGATTAGGGCAAATTATCTCAGTAGGTATTTCATTCTATCACGAGTGGAATTCGATCGAGTTCTAGATAGGCCGGCACCCCTAGCTGACCATGAATAAAACGTTTCAGTCTGTCTGTGTTGACTACAACAAGTGTAGCAGCCTATCTCATAACCTGGCCACACATGCCTCCATCGGACTTGAAGGTGTTTCGGCCGAATCCCTCCCAACCACTTGCTCATGTCGATGAAATTGTTGACCCCAATGGACACATATCGAAGTGGGCGCACGGGCGAAGGGATAAGCACAGAGTCGCCTCAGAGAAAAGACTGTTTTTTACCAGATAAATGCAAAAATGTTAGAAGATATTAAGCATAATGATAGAACAAGTTTTATTTCTGAATGGATCTTCTTCCCTTTTTCACCTCTACGAGGAAATGATGTCTGTATGCCTTCTGATGCGTCATGCCCTTTCGACTTGTTGTGATGGGCGGCTGGGGATAAGCACATGGTGGGTCGAGAGAAAACCCCGACGATCGGACGAAATACGGACGAATTCTACCCCAACTGTCTGTGCAGTTTGTTAGTGAATCAACTGATGAGTGGAAGTATAAAAGAACAAGACCAGAACATTCAATATGATCATCGCAGAAAACGCTCATCCCAATCCAAGCAACATGAATGTCACCAATCCTCCCACGGGCCAAAGTCCCATCGAGCCTTTCAAGGTCGACTTGTCAAAGAATGTGCCGAGAATGCTCGAGTTGGTCAAGAACACCAAGTTGCCTGATAAATCCGCATATTCTCATCTTGGATCTTCGGCCGGTATTGACTTGGATGTCCTGAAGGAACTACAGAGACAGTGGATTTCGGATTTTGACTGGAAAACAGAGGAAGAAGACATGAACAGGTAAGCACTGGATGAAATCACGATCCTATCACATGGTAGCTTCACTCACACCAAATCCATCATAGTTATAACCACTTCACCACGACCATCGAGGACTTGAAGATTCACTTCATCCATGAACGCTCCGGAGAACCTGATGCGATTCCGCTTGTCCTCTTGCATGGCTGGCCAGGCTCTTTCCTTGAGGTTCTGCCCGTTATCAAACCTCTCACTCAAAAGACGAAAACCTCGACGGGCAGAGACGTCTCTTTTGATATCATCGTCCCCTCACTTCCAGGTTTCGCTTTCTCCCAAGCCCCGCCAGCAAATTGGACTGTTGTCGACACGGCTCGCATTTTTCATTCCCTCATGACTGAAGTTTTGGGCTATCGAACTTTCGCTGTCAATGGTACTGACTGGGGCTCCGGAATCGCCTATGCCTTGTATGAGCAGTACCCTGCCGCCACTCGGGGTGTACACTTCTCCATGATTCCTTTTATGCCCTTGTTGAAGGATCAGCTCACAGCTCGCGATATTACACTCACTCCAGAAGAACAATTCCAGGAGCAGAGGTTCGCAGGTTGGAATCTGACTGGCAATGCTTACTTCATGGTGCAGGCCACCAAGGTATTAGGTTCAAGGTATAATGCTAGAAGCTCCAATGGCTAATGTGACTTTAGCCAACTACAATCGGACTTGCTTTACAGGATAACCCGGTCGGCCAGTTGGCATGGATTGCGCAGCAAATCATTGACTGTGAGTATAGAAGCAGCCTAGTGCCAGTGTAGCTAGGGCCATTCTAATACTCCCAGGGTCGGATCCCCGGGCCGGAACTGGCCTGTCCGTTCTAACCCACCGAGAAATCCTTCGATTCACGTCACTTTACTTTCTGACTGAAACATTTCTCTCATCTGTCTTTATTTACTCGTCAAATCCTAATGGGTTTAGACCGGAGTACACCAAGGCTCCCACTGATGCCCCGATGCTCTACAGCAATTTCAAGTACAACAACGCTTTCTTCCCCCGAGCCATGGTGGAAAAGGTTGGGAATCTGGTGTATTGGAAGGGTGAGTCATTGTACCACATTCGCGTTTTGACACCCATATCACGTACTCACCATCTTTTGCCACAGATCACGATTTCGGTGGTCATTTCCCAGGTGTCGACAACCCGTCAGCCCTCATTTCTGACCTTAGAGAGCTAGGGAGCTACTGGGAATGATAACCGACAAGATGCTAGTGGAGTGGTTTGAGGAATTGGAGGCAAGCTTCTTAGTGCTGAGGTGTACTGGTTTCCCTCTCTTTGCTCTTGACAAAAGATGTACGAATATTCAGTTCTGCAACATACTCCGTCACTGTACTACCACATGCATACTTAAGCCACATTGTTATTCCAATTTTGATCATCTTTACCAGTGTTTTCCTTGACCATATCCACACAGCTTGTGAGCTCTCATGAATTGACATGAAAGGGAATGTGTCCCAGTGCTGCATCACCAGAATTGTATGATTCATGGCTTCGGCGCTGTAAACTATCTACCATATGTAGGTTTCATGTATTATCAAAAAGGAAGGAGACCTCAGGTCACAGTGTTAGAATTGGGATATGATGCTATGATGTGTTGACAATGTGTTCCTGATTATGGATGAAGCCTAGCCCTTGATGGGTTAACTGAGCCAGGAAATCGATGATATCAAGAGCTCTCAAATACTACATTACAAAGAGATATGCCAAGAGATGGGTAGTCACGGATGTGAAATATATAAACAAAATTATCGATTACAAAATACGTAAGACAGTCCCAAGAAATCATAGGATATGAGGCATGTGATCGACGTCAGATGCGCGTAATCTGCCCAGGTATTCCATGAATGAAGCATCATGTAACTTAGACACCAGGAGTAGTGAAGCCAGGAAGGTTAGGCCAATCGCCCAGATGAGCTGGGTCTCCACCAATTCTCACCCAGGTGGCGTGGGAGGGTGTTGGCCCGTCAAGAACGAACATCTGATACCAGGAGGGGGGACTGATGAAGGCGTTGGGTGGTGCCTCGACGGTACAAGTGTTACCGGTGCAAGAAAATGTTGGGAACATGGTGCGCTGGCCCATTGTGATGCCGTGAGTAGAGCCGATCGAGGCCAAGAGCGACACACGCATGTTGGCAGCGCCCTCAGTCAGTGGTGATGTAAGAGTAAAGGTGTAGCTCTGACCATAAGCCCAATCGCGATCCTCGATAGTGAACTCAGGCCGGGTAGCGCCAGACAGAAGATAATCGGGCACGAAGTACTCAAGGCGATACTCCTGAGGATGCTTACCCTCGTCCTGAGGATCGGAGCCCGAAATGAGCACCTTGCCATCACTGAGGAGAACGCCTTCGGAGTGGTACATGCGAGCAATGGTGGTGTTGGCCAAAACGGTCATGCGCTGTCCAAGGGGCTGCTCAGGATCGTACATAACAGCATTGAGGTTGGAGTCGTCGGCCAGTCCGAACCCACCGCGGCCTACCTTGGCTCCGTTGACAATGAGGTAACGACCGTCGGGGAGGGCGATCATAGTAGGCATGACACGCTTTGAGGGCTGTCGCCAGAGTTAGCATGTATATAACAGAGTGAGTGAAGCTCATCTTGGCTTACCATTCGCTCGATAGTCCACTCGGCACCAGGGCTATCTGGCTCGATGATGACACAGTTGTCAAGGGCCTCATTTCCAGGTTCAGCGGTAGTGCCACCACATACAAGAACCTCGAGAGGGTCAGTGTATGGTGCCTTCTGGGGCATGAGCATCATGGTGCCCTGCAAGGGGTAGTTGCGACCAGTCAGAGGATTGTCGACGGCGCCAGGCATATCTGGCAGCTGGCGGATTGTTTGGAAGTCTGTCTGGGAGATGATCCGTGACTCGTTAAACTGTGCAAAGAACATGTCTCCCGAGGGAAGAATGGCCAAGTGCGGGTACGAGTTGGTACGTCCAATGTTCTCAGCGCGCTCGAGATAGTCGAGGTAGGTCGACTCAGTGACACCCTCAGGATGGGGCAGCACCTCACACGACGGTACAATTGGGGCATCAGAGCCAGACTCACCACCCATGGCGAGCAGAGAACCGTTGGAAAGAACAATAGCAGTGGGATACCAGCGGGGATCAAAGAGGCGCAACAGCGAGTAATCCTCCTCCCAGTCATTGGTGCCATTATCAACTCCTTGCGGCGAGTCGGGAGTGAAGAAGCGGATGCCATAGACAGACTCGGCTGACCAACCACCAATGTTGATCATCCTACCGGCCTTGTCAGGCAAGGTGAATGAAGCCGAGCAGAATACATCAGTCTTGAGGGCAAGCTCTCGGTAAGTGTTGGTCGTGTAGTCAAACTCGAAAGAGCCCTCGGTGTTGTCCCAGGAGGTACCGTGCTTCTCAACAAAGACGACCTTGTCGTTGATGCCAACGGAGCTGATCAAAGGGACGATAGGCGCGGTTGAGAAGAAGTCATACTCGCCAGCGGCAAACCCAGATGCATAATGGAACGTGTTGAGCGAGCTTCCAGTCCACTCATAGTAGCTGATGTGGTTACCAGCACCGCACGTATAGTTGCGATCACCAGGGCAAGGCATGCTGCAGAACCCGTCATCCTTCCAAACATCTCCTCTGGCCTCGACGGCACCGAGATCACCACAGACGCACTGACGACCGTACTCGACACCAGCGGCCGAGTAGCCGAACCTCTGGCAACGCTCGAGGCAGAAATCAATCGTCATTTCGCTGCTGTCGTAGTTGGGTGCATCCTCCCAGAGCCACTCAAGGATGTAGGGGTTGCCATTGTCAAAGACGCAGCCCTTGTATTCCCAGTCACCAGGTAGATCCTCATCCTTGGCAACAGGAATCGGCCAGATGGGAAATTCACCATCCGAGTAGAGGGAGAGACGATTGCCAGCACCGCAAATCTGACTACTGTCACCAGCGCAGGGCATGTTGCACTCCGACTCAGATGTCTTTGAGGCGGCGTTGTTCAGCGCATTGCCACAGAAGCACTCCTCCGAGTACTCTAGGCCGGCAACTTTGAAGCCGTTGGCGATGCACGTAGCAATGCACCTCTGGGGAGTCATGGAAGACGATGGGCTACCTGGAGCACCAGCCATGGCACGTCCAGGGGGGTCAATGTAGCAGCCCTGATAAGCCCAGCCGTCGGGCAGGCCGGTGGCACTGGGAAGAGGGGACTCCGTCTCGGACACGGTGACGCTGGTCCCAGTCTCGGTCTCGGTCTCAGACGCAGTGAGACTAGACTCAGTCTGAGAGCTCGAGAGAGTAGCAGATGACGTCACAGTAGCGGAGGAGCTGGCAAAGACAGTCAACCTATCGCCGGCACCACAAGGCTGACTGCTGTCACCAGAGCATGGCATGCTACAATCAGCCTCGGCAGCCTGGTTGGTAGGCCTAGTGTTGCCACAGACTATAGAGCACCATAATCAGTCATCAAGATCTCCTACATCTCGGTTGATGGTTGTCACTCACAGCATTCAGCCGTATACTCCATCCCGGCGTAAGCGAAACCGGCATCAGAGCAGAAGGCGACGCAGCTCTCAGCAGTGAGGCCGGTGGTGTCATAGTGGACAGCACCATTGAGAGCGCGCTGGGCAACGCTATCAACGAAGCATCCGATATAGTTCCAACCTTCCTGGGGATTTGTTGGGGGGGTCAGATCCCTACGAAGGATGACACTAGCCGAAGTCAAGTGAAGGAACGCTGCACCGAGTGCAACAAAACGAGACGCGGTCATAATGAATTAGAGCCGCAGAGAATGATGAATGAATGTCAGAACTTGAACGAATGTAATGGGATAATCAAAGATGTTTGTGCTTTTCTCATGAGTGAAAGAGCGATGGCTTCATCATATATCCATGAATTCGATGTGTCCAGCTGATGGTGGCTTATAGGCATCGTGCCATATAATTTCCCTAGGGTAGCTTTCCATCCATTTTTGGGCCCTTCTTGCCGCCCGTTTTCCAATAGTTAGTTCAAGTCGGTTCAGCTCGTAAAGCTCTTACACACTTCGGTTATCAAGGAGGGGATCAAAGTCCTGCCTCGGCTGCCATCATGCAGTTGTACGGGCGCCTCAACGCAGGAGAGGAGAGTCGGGCTGCGCAGCTGAGCGTGTGACGAGGGTTACCATTCGTCGTCCTCCGAGCATACCTTGTGATTGCCACCGCGCTGTCCTTGGACAACGCGCTGTGCACCCTGTTAGATGATGGCGCTCAGATCTTGTTCATGTCCCCTCCCTGCTGGTGCATATGGCCCCAATCTGGCAAAAGTGTGAGGATGGGTAAGAGTTGAGTCTGATAAGTGCATGAAGGGGCGTCAGCCATGGTTCTTGTGTTGACTATCGCGGTCGCAATCTGTACCGGTCAGGACAGGGATCTCAGGGGCTCACAGCAGGAGGCCATGTTTGTATCTAGATCCGGACGAAGATGCATGAATTGGCTGCAGCTTCACATGGGCGTATCAACACGACATGAACCCCTGCTCGCTCTGTTTCACGGCGTGCACATAGCGAATGGGCACTTTCAATTGGTGGGTCATTGCCAATCGCCAATGCAACACTGAAGAAAAGAGAAAAGAACCAAAAGTTCTGCTGCACAGGACTGAGGAGGGAAGTTGGCGCCCGGTTACCCACCTCGCAAAAACATTGTTTGTCAAGCCAATCTTGGCGCCTAGAGAGCGCCTGCGAATTACCCATCAGATGTGCATGGCTGGCGGGGAACCATTTGACGCAGCCTCGGTTATTAGATAAGAGAAAGGCAGCATTAAAAACAGGCTTGTGATGTGGCTAAAGATCTTTAATGAGCCAAGATCGGTTACTCTTGAGCTCTGATATGACATGCTAGCGTAGATAGAAAGGAGTAGAAAGGGGAGAGAAATGTCTCATCTACCCTGAAGAATGCATTTGGCGTGAGGTTTCAGATAAAGTCAAGTACCGAAGCTATCAAAAGACCTAAAGCCACAGCCTGGTTTTGATACAGGGATTACAATCCCCTGGCTGCTCGCCAAGAGTAGCGCCACATGACGGCATCTGAGCCGAGAGCCCCAACCGTGATATCCCTACCGAGATTTGATCTCTCCTTCTTGGCATCTCCCCGGTGTGCCTGATAAGGACAATCTGCAGTTCCAAGGCAGCCTGAGAACCTTGGCAGGCCATGCATCATTCCCAGCACAAACAGTGGGACTAGCATTGGCCTTGCTTCCACATTTTGACCGATTTTACAACCATGCCGCGCTCCTCCTTGGGACCCCAGCTTGGAAGCCATGTCTCGTTGGCCTTCCAAAAGTCCCGCATGGGGGTCTCACTGCGGTCGGCCCATGGCTTCCCACCAACAGCGTCGCTAAAATAAACATTAGAGTTAGCTAAGGCGCTGTGCAGATCGAGGCTAGGAGATAACGGCTCGTATTTCAGGGATCGAGAGTGGCTGGAGACAAGGAGGGTGTGCCAGAGCGTGCCCAGGATCTCGGGAGGGGCTTGGCAGTAGGTGTGGTGGCCACTGAAAAGGGGGAATTTAACTCACGGAAACCAGCCATTGGTGCCACCGACCGCCACGTTCAGGATGAGGAAAAAAGACTCGTCAAAGGGCGTGTTAGGACGGCCCGTGCTGCCCCAGGGATCTACAGGGACCGAGCCGTTGACTGACTCTCCGGCAAATTCGCCGTAGGTCCACAGGTTCTTGTTCTTGGTGAAGTCGAAGAAGATGACTTGCTGTATATGGGGTTAGCGGGTCGTCTGGACATTGTGCGTAGCTGCTAGGGCTGTATGGAACGGATCCGATGTAATAACTCACCCGAAGACGACCATCGAGCCATGTGAAGAGGTACTTTTCACTCCACTCCAGTCCATAGGTGTGGAAGTCGTCAGTGTAGCGGACTCGTTTCCCTCCCCACTCGCCGTAGCTCCTCCGCCAGCGATCGTTTTCAGTGGCAGTGCCCCAGTGAAGTGCCGACGACACGAGGTTATCACCCATGGAATATTTGCGAGCGTCATTGCCACGGCTCTCGGCGATATCAATCTCACCCGACTTTGGCCACTCGCCGTAGACGCTGTCCTGGGGCATCATCCAAATGGCCGGCCATAGCCAGTCTCCACGAGGCATACGTGCTGTCACCTCGACACGGCCATAGCGGATCGTCTTCTTACCCTTGGTGTTGAGTCGTGCTGACCGCACCGGGTTGATGATCTGGCCCTTGGTGCTGTTGCTGACGGCCGCACATGGCCAACGCGTCTCCCATTCATCGTCCGTGGCTTTCTCATCAGATGTACACTTGCCGTCGGAGCGTTCATTGGTCGTTAGGTTGACAGTGTGGCCGTGGACCAGCTGATCGTAGGTGATTTCGGTGCTCTCAAGCGTCAAGGTGGGCACGATGTGCAGGCCCTCAGCGTCGATATATGAATTGGCCTTGTCGGTGGTGGTCCAGTCAAAGGTTCCAGTACTGCGCCATTGTTAGTGATACGTACGAGGAATAAGCTCCAGCACGTACCCAAAACCGCCCATCTGGACCTCATGATTCCAGTTATCAAGGTTCTCAAAGTGATCATCCATGATCAAGCAATACTAACCCCAAGTCAGATCTGGAATGGCTCGAGGATTTGGGTGGCACTTACTTCATAATTGGGGATGCCCTGAGTTTCCTTCCAGCAAAGGAATCCTCCAATGCCTGGAAGGGATATTGTCAATGACCTGTCCGAGCGGATATTGATGATCATGCCGACTTACCAAGTCCGATAAAGATACATGTGTAGAATATGATGCTGTCCCAGTTGACTCCCTTCTTGGACTTTTCGAGCCACGGCTTCTCAAATTCGCCCTTGAGCCGACTGCTCTTGAAGCGTCTGCGAGGGCCAGCGACTAGACTACATTAACTACAAGCCGAATTTGACAACGTGGGCTCACCTACCTTCATATGTAGAAGCATTCCGAGTGCGTGGTGACCGTCGGGATGTCAAGGGCTCTGCAATAGGTGTTGCGGCAACAGGAGTTGAGAATGGGTTCTCGGGCGGCTCATCACCCGGCATTCCGAAGGGATTAACCCGCCGGGAGGACGATCCCTCGGCAGGAGAAGTGACAGTTGTCGAGCTTTCCATAGCTTGAGTGGAGCTTCCAGTGTACGTAGGCTTGGCTTGTCCGACACCAGGGAGCAAAGGGTGAAGACGCTCGACTTTGTTCAAGGGAGTCCTGATGATATGAAGCAGGATGAAGCGACCTCTGAGAGGGCCTCTCTTCTTGTTGACTCTTGCTCACGCACATGCTTCGAGGCGAGCTCGAGTCCCCCAACGCTCAATCACAACAAACAATCCAAGGGACATCTCGATGGTGCAAGCCCCTCCAGCCAACCTCCTGATATGCGGCTCCAAAAGCGGCTGAAATGCAGACAAGCATGGTGGTCGATTAGGCCATTGGATCCCATCGTATCGCCTCGTTCTCACGATTGCAATGTGACATGTAAGCTCAACCAGAGATACGGTCGTGATGAGACGGCGACGCGGCCCGTGTGCCAAGCTTCGGGCCTTCGGTACCAAGGGCGTCCCGAGCGGCTATCATGCATGTTGGGTAGGCATTCCTACAATGAAACTGCAACCCTGATAGTTTTGCCTCCGGAATCTGAAAAGGAAGCTGGAGAAAAATCAAGCCCAAGACGGAACAATCCCCCGCTGTGCCAAGAGGTCGCTTCAGGGCCTGAGTGGATGCAGCCAAGGCGGTTTGTCGCGGTTCAGCTGTGGTGGCTGGCTCCTCGTTCTGCTCATGAAATTACGGGGAGTTGTTGATATCTAAGACCATGAGCGCGTGGGAGTGGAAATGCAAGAAGATTCCATGCGTATGCTGTCGTCATTGCTACCAATATGATAGGCAGTGGGCAATATTGAAGCACGAGGTCTCGGTAGCACCCGAGGCACCTACTTACTGGTTGGTAGGGTTACACCCCGGAAGTGTCATCTTTTCCCCTAGCGCCTCGTCAACCTCGCCAACGGGAATCATGTTAAGCGATAGACACGTTGCGTTGGCTATGGGGCCTCGGCGGAGGATCGACGAGAGGGTGTGGACGGGGCAGCTGAATGGGCTGCAGCCCCTGGACAAACAGTGGGTGGATCGGACCAGGGATCAGTTCAACGAGTTGGACAGAGATTAGTTGTGACAAGGGAAAATCCATCGTCGGCAGGTGTTTACGATCTGGGTGAACGTCTTCTGCAGACTGCCGAACGAGTCTTTACCGGCTGAAGGCCACGCATCTTGTGCAACCCTATACGGCCCCTTGTTGGTCAAGAGTCTAGACTCTTCCCTCTTGGGCCTCGCCTTTCTAATATTAGCCGAGCACGGATTAATCATACGCCGCATGAGTACATCGCATCGCTGCAAGAATCAAGAAAATATTGGAAACAACCATGTTGCCTTCTCAAGGCCTGGTCCTGTTCATTCGCAAACTCTGCTTATCTGGTGGCGGTTTACTCTTCTTCACCGTAAGCTGGGATCAGGCCGCTGAGCTGGCAATCAGCCAGCCTCCATATCTGGTGGCGGACGGTTGGTCTGCAGTCGGGTCAGGGTTGAGGTTACGTGCTCGCCTGGAGGTGCTCGCCCGCCTCGATACGAGGGCTTCTGCACAAATTTCCACATCCGCGGCTGCCGTTTGGCGTAATCTAGAGGCTTACAGGTTGATCGAGAGCAGACCAACCTCCAGTCGAGCTCGAGGCTGGCCCCGCGTGCGCGGCCGGGCTCTTCTCTGACGTTTTCATGGTAAACATGCCTCGATACGTCTACTGCCCAAGATGTTGAAATGAGGCCCGTGAAATTTTCATAACTTGACACATGCCGTTCAACATTTGCTCTTCTCTTGGCCTGACCAACTCGTCCCCTTCTCTGCCTCCCCCCCGAGTCACCACTCCCCTTCCCCCAAAGGCAGATCTTCAAGTCCGCTTGAAAAGGGATTTCTTTGCTCAAGATTCCTCTAGAGACAAAAGCTTTCTCTCGAATCTTGGCGATGGCTGCTGAAAAGTCACGCTCTCGCTTTGTCGAGTCGGGAGTGCTTCAGCCGCCTAGTCCCACGACCGACACGCAGACTTTGAAGAAGCTCGAGGGAGGGGATTACCCCTTTCCCACTACCCAGAAGTCTCCAGAATGGCTCTTCAAGGGATACCCTCCGCCGTCTAGGTCCCCACACAGCTCCTATTCGGGGACGCCTGCTATGCAGCTCCCCGAAGCCAAGGAGCCTGCCATGGTGAGTGTTACGAGCCCATGCCCATGCTGTGCTCCCTACTATCTACGCCTACGTACAGTGGTCTAATGCAGCTTCTCCTGGCCAACACGTCTATGATTGTCTTGAAGCACCCCCTTCTCTCCCCTCACACGATGTGTTGTCAGAGTTCCCTTTTACTTGAGTCAAACATTATGCTTTCAATGCCGATCACGCCTCTTGGCCTACACAAACACGTCAACTTCTTTCCCTTCTGACCCAAGTATCTAATATGGTGTAGGTTGCCAAGTACATCGCTCGCCGTGCAACCTTGCTTGGCTGGTTCGATGAGCCGGCTGCCGCTGCCATCACCAGCGGCTGGTCGTCAACATGCATCGCGCTCAAGAAGCCCGACGGCTCTTATACCTATGCTCCAGATGATCCAAGTCCGGACCTGGTGGCAGCCGTTGCTCGCTTAAATGAGAGTGCCGTGGTTTCCATGGTCTCTGAAGTGACCAATCAAGTTCTTGACAGCATCAAACCAGAACAGGCCAGCCTGGTCATTGAGAGTACAGGTGCCCGTATCCCGATCGTCGCCAGGCTGGCCGATGTGCAGTCGTCACTTGTTCACTCGGCCAGCTCATGCATTATCTCTGAGGAGCGGTGTGTTCTTATCTGGTCAAATGAGCCAAGAACCATCATCAATGTGGCTCACAATGTCGAGAAGCAAATGTTGGGCTTTGTAAGTATCAATGTGTCTGTCGATAGTACCCATGACACGCAAGTAGCTAACCCCGGTACTATTCTTCAGATTGTCGGTCCAAACATGCCGACCAACATGCTTGCTCAGACAGAAGAACAATCAGTTGAGGGCCTCGTCACACCTGTCCGCGGTGCCATCGACGAGAAGGATGAAGTCTACCAGCGTGCAATCAAGGTCGAGGAGGGTGAAGGTGAAGGCGAGGAGGACATTGAGGGGAAACAGCCTGTGCGGCCTGTTCTGAGGGTACACTCATTCCGAATCGGCGTTGTCATGATCTTGGTGATCCTAACGCAGAGCGTGGGTGTGTCAAAGGTGAGTTGTCCAATTAGTTGCTTGCCCTACCCATACACTGACCTTGTCTACTTTAGCTCCTCCGCCAGTGGACTTGGGACGGTGACTGGATGCGCTTCATCCTGGTAGCTGTTATCCCGCCTCTTTGCCTCCTATCATTGGTAAGCGTTTTACTAAAGCCACCGGCTTATACGAGCTAACCATCGCCCAGTTCTTCTTCATTGTTGTCGTGAGCAGTGTTTTCCAGCTCCTTCTCCCAGCTGGCATGTGTCTGAGAAACTCGAAATATCATTCTGGTAAGCGAATCTTCCAATAGAATGAGGCCCATACGAATAGGACTGAAAGTATGTCACAGCTGTCAAGCCCAACCCCAAGCGTTATCGAGACTATACGCTGCCGCACATCACGGTGCAGATGCCCGTTTATAAGGAGGGTCTCCGAGGGTAAGTTAATTACTCATATCACCCTAGTCCAATCTCTGACTCTCATCAAACAGTGTCATCGTTCCGACCATGGTCTCCGTCATGGCCGCCATTCAGCACTACGAGAATCAAGGCGGCACAGCTTCTGTCTTCATCAACGATGACGGTATGCAGTGTATCCAGCCTGAGTTGGCTGCGGCCCGTAAGCAGTACTACCGTGAGAACGGTATTGGATATTGTGCACGGCTTCCAACCATGAGGGCTCACAAGAGGGGGGGCTTCTTATCATGGTTTAAGCGATCGCCACCTATTGACCCAGCAGTGGACAACCAGGACGAGAGCGAGCTCAGTCCACAAGGTCGAGCCAACAAGCTCGGCTTTGTGCGCAAGGGAAAGTTCAAGAAGGCTAGCAACATGAACTACTGCTTGGCCTTCTCTAACCGCGTCGAGGATGAACTGCATCGGCTGACGGAGCTGGAATGTCAGACTCGTGATTGCACTTACGAAAGCCTGACAGCAGAAGATGATGAAAGGCTCTATGAGGTTGCGCTTCAGAACATGCTCGAGGCTGACGAGGGCAAGACTTGGGCTGAGGGTAATATTCGTATGGGTGAGATCATCTTGATCATTGACTGCGACACCCGCGTCCCTGTCGATTGTCTACTATACGGGGCTCTCGAGATGCACGAGAGTCCTGAGGTGGCCATTCTGCAGCATGGCTCTGGTGTCATGCAGGTAGCTCACAACATCTTTGAGAACGGCATCACCTACTTCACCAACATTGTCTACACAGCCATCAAATATGGCGTTGGCACCGGTGACGTTGCCCCCTTTGTCGGTCACAACGCCTTTCTTCGCTGGAAAGCCATCCAGAGTGTTGAATTCGTGGATCGATCCGACGGTATCACAAAATGGTGGTCTGATACGCATGTCTCTGAAGATTTCGACATCAGTCTTCGGATTCAGATGGCCGGCATGGTCTGTCGTCTAGCCACCTATCACAACGGGGGTTTCCAGGAGGGTGTCTCTTTGACCGTCTACGATGAGCTGAACCGTTGGGAAAAGTACGCTTACGGTTGTAACGAGCTTGTGTTTCATCCGTTGTGAGTCAACCAGTCTGCTAGTCCCCTCCCTCGCTGGCATCGTACTCATTGCGTTATTACAGTTACCAGTGGATTTACAAAGGGCCAGTAACCAGGCTGTTCTTTCGATTCCTCTGGAGCAACATGCCAGTCTCCAGTAAGGTCTCTATCATTGCCTATATTTTTACCTGTAAGTTCACCAGACTTTGGCGTTTGACCGATTGAAGCTAACAGTGTTACTCAGACTATGCCATCGCTGCTGGCATGCTTCTTACCCTCGTCAACTATGTCATCGTCGGCCTTTTCTTCTATGACCTCGACCATTTCTATACTCCATCGTGGGGTATCTGGGTGTCTCTGCTGGTTGTCTTTAACGGTGTTGCCTCCGTCGCAACCAGCATGACGCGCCACCGTCTCAAAGAAAAGTCATTCTGGGTCGCCATTCTTGAGACGGCCAAATGGCTACCATTTTTGCTTCTATTCTTTGGTGGCATCAGCATCAACTGTGCCAAGGCCTTGCTATGTCACGCCTTTTCCATCAACATTGAATGGGCGTCAACATCAAAGGAGCTGGGCCCTACAGGCATCTACATCGGCCTCAACAAGATGATGCATCGGTTCAAGTACACCTTTCTCATCTGCATCGTCATCGCTGCTGGCATGATTTACATGGCTGTTGGTGCACCCTGGGGCTGGACCATCGCCCCTGGACAGTTCTCAGCAGGCACGTACGCCATCGTCCCTCTAGCTGTGCAAGTGTCCTGTGCATTCACTCTTCCCTTGTTCCTTGGGTTGACTTGATTTGTTGTACTAGTCAGAAGAGTGAGTCTGTTACATTGCCACTGAGCTTCATGTATGGCGAGGAGGGACCGACGGTTCTACATCAGTGGCCTCGCTACGTGGACGAGGTTTCATAGCCAGCCATAAGAAAAGAGAATTGCCTCCCTCTCTCTTGCAAGACTCACATCTTGCCAGGCCAGTTTTCTCCCCAATCGGCCGAGGAGGGAGTTGTTTCCTCAGCCAATGCGTATTCGGATCTCGGATAGTTTTGAACCTCTGAATAGACACTGCTGCGGCGTTAGAATAGTAATGTGGCCATCTTGGAAAATGGGCTATAATTGAGATACTTTCTTTAATAGCAGCCTCTCTAGTGGTAATGAATTCTTGGGTACTAAAGAGTGCTCCTAACCACCGTCTCGATATCTTCCTCTTTCAGTCCAACTTGTTCTAATTTCTGAAGTCCCTTCGTGTCAATCTTGTGCTGAATATCACCCCCGTAGCCATCCAGCAAGTGCGTGAGGATAAACTTCTGATACGAAGCCATAATATCCCCTTGGCCAATTCTTTCGTTGAATTCTTTCAGGGAATCATCAACATCCCGTGATGTGATTTCCCAGTCCGCATCCGTTGTTTTGGAGGCACGCTGCACTGCATCCAACATCTCCCGGTGTGTGGTATGAAATGAGGGAGTGTAGACAGCCCCCTTCTTGTAGCTCGCCAGATCAGTCTCTGGTAAACTCAGTACCGCCGCAATAGCCTCGCCAGTGTGTGTGATGCTAGATGTCGTGACTCTACCGCCAGCCTCAGGGTAGAGAGTTGCTTTGCGGCCCTTGGCATCAATGCCCCATAAGCCATTGCTAAGGTTGACATCCAGCCATACGCCAACCGTGACCGATATCCAGCTACTGACGCCGAGTTCGTCAATAAGGTCACGGATCTTCTTTTTGGCCTGGAGTAGTCCATTCTCTTCGATAAGCTTCGTGGCGAAAGGATCCGGGCCGTACTCTGCCGGCAAAAGGTAGGGAACGCCCGCCTTTGCAGCAGCACGAACAGCAGGCTCCTGCAAGGCAACGATATGTGACAGAGGGGGCATCAGGACGACAACATCTTGACCTTTGAAGACATCCCCCAGGAAGGTTTCGTCTTCAAGGTTTCCAGTCTTAACAGTGACACCAGAGGGAAATTCGCTGGATGACTCAGGCCGCTGGACCACTGTGATGGTGTGTGCGTTCTTGGCGAGTAGGGCTCTGAGCGTTGGGTAGCCAAGGTTACCGCCTGCGCCTAGGATAGTTATTTTTCGTCCTTGAACTTGGGCCATGGTCGGTTCCGGAGGTAAGGGAATGAGTAAACAGTGGTTATGTACAAAGGATTCTGAGAATTATTCTTCATGCTTCTCACTTCAAGTCTTAAGTATTCGAGTGTTGTAATTGTTGTGTAATTAGGCTGAGTAATCCACTCTCACGTAGGTAGGTAAGCTGATGTCAGCTTACCATCAAGACTCGGAACTAGCCCCTTGCTTTAGAGTCCATGGTATAACTCATATTATGAATGGAATTGACTTGGTGAAGTTTATTGGCTGGCCAAGGGCTATTAGCTGCGGGTGACAAATGATCTGTAAAGAAGACAAGCAAGCTCATCCAAAAAGTGACTACTTGTGTTTTGTTGAGAGATTCGCTAGAAACAGTTCTTAAATCATGTATTTAAGCAGCATAAGTCAGTCTGCGATGCGGAGATTCTCGTGATGATGATGCAGGCCCCATTCTAGGTTACAACGACCAAACAGCGTCCAAAACAGCTCTCAAGTCGACGAACAAGGCTGTCCATCTTCAATAAACTCTACGCGAGGACTTTGGTAATGTTTCCTCTCATAAATTACCTAGTTCATAAGGCTAGTTATCCCAACAACAGCTAAAATGACCGACGTGTAATCTGAAGGTACATAAGCATCAAGTTTTGGAAGACGGGTCGTTGGCGACCAAGGGTACTCACTCATGCCAGATGCAGTAACTAGAATGCCCGGGGGCAACACAAAAAGTTCAAGCTGAAGCAGAGCACTGATCACGCTCACAATGGCTGCAACCCACCCCACAGCCGATGGGAGTTTGAAAGGCCGGTTGACAGTAGGAATATCCGAAGGACCGCTGGAATGGCAAACTTGATCATCTGAAGGAGAATCCCCGATCAAACGAGGGCATTGAACGCGGCAGAGGAGTCCAGGTATATGCAGCGGTACAAGGAGCCAAGGAAGTCTTGGAGGATCAATGTGGTCACTGGAATATTATCCAAAGATGGAGAGAGTTTGCTCGGGGTCTTGGAGAAGACAATGGCATTGTCACATCCCATCGCCCAGATCAGTCGGGAGGATGTTTGCTGGATCGAGATAACGATGACAATAGGGATGATAAGGAGCGTGATGATGAAAGCCGTGACAGCTCCGATCGACTGAGTTGCTACGGGCCACAGCCTGTAAATCGGTATGCTACACCATTTCAGCTTGGCGAGCAAACGGCATGGTTACCTAGAATAAACTCGCTAGTCATTAGGAAGGAATTCCAAGTCTGTAATTGTGCAGGACATGCTAACGCTGAAGACGAATGCAGTGAAGAAAACGATCCCGATTGTCGAAACAAGTGCCAGAGGTACGACCTTCTCTGGCCTTCCGGCCTCCTCAGCCAAGTGCTGTGTCACAGGACCTGCTGTTCAAAACTCGTTTGCTCCAAGTCGGCTCCATGAAAGTAACTGCAATTACTATCGATCACGACCACAGACTCCATCCTATAGCGAAGCCAATGCAGGAGCCCAGTGTGATATAGCCTTCATACCACTGCAAGAGGTTTTTCATTTATTGTGATCTCTCCCTGAGCTGACGATACACAACAGTCGGTGCAGATCAAGTTCAACAAGGCTCAACGCAAAACGCCAAGGGCCCCGGTTTGGGCTCGTTCCAGATTTCAGCGGTAGGTGTTATCTAAGTGCCGCTATCAGAGCAACAGACGGGTTGAACGCGTCAATCAGGGGCTCACTGATAAGAAATGAACCGACAACTAGATGAGTTGATTGACCGCGATAGCACAGAACAAAGGAAAAATAAGAGGCAATAAGCGGATGGGGTAATGTTTAATATTATACCGTTGTGGTTCAAATATAGTCAAGTAACTGAAGATAGGAGACACTGTGAAGGAAACAGCCCATCCCATGGAATGATGCTGGCGTCCTACACCCTTTAGAAGGACGGTTTAATGACCGCACTATCCTACACAAGGGTCGAGTCCTTGGTCCTTCATCGTCTTCTCAAGCCCATGGATACCATACAAGTGTACGTCCTTATCCACCCTTTCCCAGTGAAGGGATAACCATTGAGCGGTACTATCCACTGTTTGCATCCGCAGACTCGAGTTGCTCAGGAGCTGAAGCAGAGTCTCTCGCTGTGATTCTTCCCTCATGCAGGAACCAACTATGAGCGTTGGCCACATGAATGTAGTCCAGGGTGGCGATTCACCAGACAGCTGCTTAAAACTTTCCAGAAAAAGGGCGATGCTAGGCTCGACCTGGCTATACAGTCCATCTTCCAGATCCTCATGCCCATTTATCGAGGTGCGCAGGAAAACGAGGCATGCAGCTCGGTACATTTCGCCCGCCAGTTCATATCCTGGGTCATCGCTTTGGCTGTCTGGTAGCCAGCTGCTTATCGCCGAAAAGATGGAATCATATTCCTCTTGGATGGCACTCGAGCTATCCCTTCGAGCTCTGAACCTACTTGAGAGGCGCGCAATGCGAGGGATCAGTTCAAACAAAGCATGTGAGTAACCGAACATGAACCCATAGATTGGACTACCCTGGTTAAGGGTTTGCAGTGGCTGGGGTAGAGAGAGTGGGTCGAGCAGGAGATCTGAGGAAGCCTGGTCAATACCAACGTTGGCAACGATAGCGAGATGAGAGTATTGCTCAGAAAAGAAGCCTAGGAGGTTCTCATCACGGCATCTTTCATCCTTCCGGAGGTCACTGATCATCGACCCACTGGCCCGCAGGTGGTAGTATAATGAGCCCCGAATGTCGGCATCAATCACCTATACCCGAACCTTAGCGCGTACTCATAAGACATGTAGGGGGCTGAGAGACTAACCTCATACCAACAGAGGGTCAGGGAAGATGCCAATAGGGCGATGCGGTCTTGTACGCTGCAAGTATTCCACCTGGTAATACCCACTTTGAGGCTTCGCAAGGCTACCGCGTAGTGATCTCGAGAAGAGAGAGAGAAGGCCGGCTCCGAGTAGGCACGGTGGCACGAACTAACCGCCAGGATAGCGTGTTGCAGGGCGGTACTATGCATTGACACGCGAATATTATACGTGATGAATGGATTCTCAATGTCTCCTTTGCCAACCATACGAGGCGCAGTCAACTCGGTGAAGGAATCAAGTAATGACGCGGCCTCGACGCCACGGAATGCAGGAGGAAGAGATGAGAGAGGCGCCACCAAGAGATCGGTCGTATCGCTTGTAGACTGCCTAATCCGAGTTTGAATACGGGGCATCGGTGAGAGATTTCGTGCTGTCATGCCGGCAACGCTCTGGATGGCTGGGGTTGCGGGGTCGCGGGATGGCCACGCGCAGATGAGGTGGTTCCGGAGACACCCTGAGCATTCTGGTTTGATCTCGTCGCATTTCTTGCGTCGTCTCCTGCAGGGCAAGCATCCTGATTTTGTCCGTGTGCAGGCCCGGCGAGTGCGCTTGATGCCAGAGGTCAGGTCCATCGCTGTTGTGGTGATCGGTGAGAGGAGGAGTTTATGGGTGAACGGACGTGGAACGAACGCGGGGTTCATGCTGGGCCGATGGCCTCTCTCCCACTAATTGCATTACTGCTGTACCTCTCCATAAGTTCCCTAACTAGCTACTTAGATAACTCGTTTCTTCTGTCCAGGCTCCAACCAGCAAATTTTGTCAGATATGCCCTCCTCCTCAAAAACTTTTCGCAGTCTAGTGCCGAACTGGGTGAAATGATGCCAAGACTCATAATGGATGGGCACAAGAATGTCTGCTTGAAGCTGACGGAACAACTCTGCCGCATCTTTACCTCCCATTGTAATCTGCAAAGGCTCATCCAATCCAGGGAGTGGAATACGTGCGTCTCCGAGGTTCATGATAGCGACGACGATGTGGAATCTTTTGCTGATATCGGCGTGTTCCGGTATCAGTACCGTATCGCCGGTAAAGTATACGGCATTTGGCAGTCCGTCGGGGCTCATTCCAAATGCCTCGGTGCGAAGAATGAAGCCGGTGACCTCGCCGCCTGGAAGATGCGTGCATGGAACTCCAGTAATGTCCCAATCACTCCCATGGAAGGGGAAAGTCAAGGTCTCCCAAGGCTTGATGGCCGCGACACCAGGCCTCGGGGCGAGGTTCTTGGCCCCGTCCGGCGTGGTGATGACTCGACGCCCGTCAAGGAGGCGACGACCCTCGAAATCGAGGTTATCAATGTGGTCTTCGTGACTGAGAAGGACAGCATCGATAATAGGGAGATCCTGCAACTTTAGAGCAGGGCCGTCCTCGAATTTGGCAAACATGGGCTGGGTCCCCTCTGGCATCAGGTGCGTGATCTCGTACTCGGCTGGCGCTTCGCCAAAAACTGGGTCCGTGATGAAGGTGACGCCGCCAACCTCGAGGATGGCCGTGGCGGTCGTGATGTGGGTGACGTGCACGGGGGTCTGGAAGCTGGATGGAGCCATTTTGAAGACGGTAATTTGTTAAGCTTAGTAAGATGCCAAGACAATTGTGAATATCAAGTTTGTGGTTTGAGTGAGATAGCTGGTGATGGTAATGTTCTCTACCTAGTCAAAATGCTGTTTCGCATTGTGTTTATATCTTTCAAAGAGAAAGAGCTTTAACATTTTCAACGTTATTCTTGATAAGTATCAGATAGATAGTATTCTAATCTCTTCCACTTGGAAATTGCATTCAATTCGAAACGTATCATCGGCCGGTTTCCCAAGATTGAACGTATGGCCATGGAACCCCCCAAGGCCAACGTAGGCGGATGTTGCCGCGACGGCTACCCTATCGTCGCTTATCCGGATGTCGGGGGATTTGCTCCCATTCCGAGACTCATTAGCCGAGACGCTGATTTAGTTATACGCGCCATCAACGTCATAACATCTTGGCGCTCACAAGCCCTCGCTAAGGACTAATAACGTTAGCTTCTACGGAGTATAGAGTAGGCCCACAGGTGACCAGCTTGCGTGTCTTTAACGCGCTTATCTGTCAAACGCGTTTATCTGTGGATACCCTCACTCGGTTCTCACTCGGTTCTTGTTGGATTGGCTGAATATTCCTCTCCTTGTTCGATAAGCGCGCTCATGGCACTTTGGGATCCGCAAAGGGTCCTTGACAAGTTCTTCATGCCGTTCTCGTAACGAGTGTGGTCGAGTTTCGATTGCCATATGGATGCATCGCTTCGGATTTTGCCTGAGAAGGGAATGGAAACAGGAGGATGGACCTTTGAAGTCAAAAAGGTTTATATAATTGAAGTGCTGCTATCAATATTACAATCTGAGCTCTCAAGAGTGAAACATCACAAAAACTTTCTTCATTTTCAAGTAAAATACCAGCAAGATGTCAACCAAGTCTGGCGAACTCATCCCTGGCGCGGCCCAAGAGCTGCTGCAGCTCGAGGAGAAGTACTCCGTCGGTGGTTTCGCGCCCACGCCAGGCTTCCCTGTATTAGGCAAGGGCTCCACCCTCATTGTATACGAACCCCTAGTCCGAGTTGATTGTTGAAATAGAATGGCTAACATGGGGATCTTTCTCCTTACTGGTAGGATGTCGATGGAAAGGAAATCATCGACTTTGTTACCATGTTCAGTGCCACCAACATTGGACATTGCCACCCCAAGCTGATCGAGGCTGTTGTCGAAACCCCTGCGAAAGAGTCAGCCTCCACCATTCTTTGTATTTTTCCTGCTCTAGCTAACTCCTGTGCTTTAGCTACCCTTATCAACATGTCTACCCACTACGCCGGATGGCCGAAACTAGCCAAGGAGCTCTGCGAGCGATTTGGCTACGACAAGGTGACAGCCATGGTCTCAGGCGCTGAAGCTGCTGATACTGCTTGTAAAATCGCTCGCAAGTGGGGTATTGTGCACAAGGGAATCGCTCCAGAGGAGGGTCTCGTTCTTGGAACCTCAGATAACTACCATGGTTTGACCTCGGGCATCTGGCCCATCATGACCCCTGGTAGCCAAGAAGGTCAGCATCATAGTCGGAGGTTGTTTGGCAAAAGCTAACCTTGCTAGGCTATGCCGTGTTTAGCAAGAATATCACCAACCGACATCCCCGGACTGGTGAGCTGCTCCGATACGGCCACGTCCAAGACTTTGAAGCCGTGTTTGAGGAGTTCCATGGCAGAATTAGTGGCGTCATAATGGAGTGTATCCATGGAAAGCTGCGGTAAGTGCCATAATTGTCTTTCTTAGTCTGCAGGATCGCTCTGTTATCTCTGATCATTGGGAGCCTGGTAGCATCCAGCTGGTCTTGGTGTTGATGGTTTGGTTCACCATTCAATAACTGAGCTGACTCTTTATCCAGTACCTTTCAGGAGGAGATCGACTTTGCCAGCGGAGTCCGCCGGCTGTGCAAAAAGTACAATATTCTCTTCATCTCTGATGAGATCCGAATGGGTTCCGCCAAGACTGGAAAGTTCCTCTGTAGTGACTGGCTGGGTCCTGAGAACAAGCCTGACATGATTACTCTGGGCAAGTCCATCACTGGCGGAGTGTTCCCGGCGTCGTATGTTCTTGGAAACAACGAGGCCATGTCGCTTGTTGAGTCGTTCCAAACTGGAGGTACGTTTACCATGGCCCCTGCAGCTGTTGCAGCCACCACCGCAGCCCTGAAGATCTACGATGAGGAGAAGCTTTGCGAGAAGGCTTTCGTGATCGAAGCCAAGTGGAAGGAGACTACATCCAAGTGGAACTACCCCTGGATCAAGTACGTCACCTCTCGAGGCGCCGACATGAGCATTGCTACCGAGCAAAGGTATGGCACTGTCACACCTCGTCGTATTGCGAGACTTGCGTGGCAGAAGGGACTGTTTATCTATCCCACCAAGGCTTCCATTCGTGTCCACATGGCGTTGAACATCTCCGACGAGGAGCTGGAGAAGGGATTGAAGATCCTGACTAACGTGATGGATCAGATAGAGTCATACGGAGATATCCCGGGCTCTACCCACCCCTCTGATGATGCTAAGCACGGAGGTTACTAGAAAGGGTATCATATTAGGTAGAATCATCGCCTGAACGTCATTCAAGACTCGAGCACCAAGTGCCCCATCGACCGCAAATAGTTCACGAGCTTACGTGAGGATGTTGCCTATTAGTAGCGTATGAATTGACATTACGCTATTTGCTTTCCCTTTCCCGTCTCCCTTCTTACTTGAAAAGAGACTGGCAGCCATGGAGACAAAGAAGTCAGCTTTCAGTAAACGAAGCCCTTATCTCAGAAGGCATCATGATGTAGACTCGAGCTGACCTCGTATTTAAAACAGCACCAGGCTACTCCGATCACCTCTCGTTACTTAGTGTGAGTGTGAAGTATAGTGTCTATTGGAAGCACATGCTTGGCATTTGGCATCTTCTACCTTTGAGACAGAAGCTATTCGCTCAATCTTGAGTATTTCCCCTGCTGCTACAGCGATTTTAGTCTTGTAAAATTATTGCTAGAGCTACACAAAGATATAGGGCGGGCAAAAAACTCCTCCTCAATTACTCACGTAGTAAGGGCTTCCAGCGGGCACCACCTGGTTAATCGTCCTGCTGAGTACATGTATGTTCACATACTTTTCCATGCTTCACAGTGGCGAAACCCTTCCCTGTCCCTAAAAGAACCAAAACTGTACTTTGCTGTACCCCTTAAGCCTGAATTTGCGAGCTTGAACTCTTGCCAATACCAATTTCCATGTTGACGTCCATGGTTTGGTAGGATCCAAACTCGCGAAGAGGCACTCCCCTGTTGAACAAGAGATCGATCTGTCCCAAAGATTTTCCCTTGCAGCCCGGCACAAAGAGCCAAGTGAAGACAAGCGAGCATATCGCGATGGAGCCGAAGATGAAGCCGACTCTTCCTCCAAGGGCTGCATATGGCTCCTAGAGAAGATAGGGAATGGAGAAGTTGACTGCAAAGCTGTAAATTGATGAGATGAGGCCTTTCAGGGGGTAATCATGTCACTTACGTAGTTACAACATTGACCACTGAAGCTGTTCGTTGAGATGCATCACGGAGGCGGTCAGTGGTGACAACGTACACCAAAGGTGCCCATCCCAAATAGTAGCCACCAGTAAAGAGTGGAATGATGGCAACAGTTGCCTTTTTGACGATGACGGTTGGGTTTTTGATGGTTCCGAGGCCACCCATGGTCATGATGGCCGCGGCTTGCCAGACAGCACCCGTCATCAAGAGTGGCCGTCTCCCAACTCGGTCATTAAGGAAGAGCGAGAGTCCACACATGAACAAGTTGACCGAGGCATTTATGATGGTCATGTTGAACGGATTAACGCTGCCGACGCTGCGAACGAAGATGGCTCCGTACGACGATGCAAAGGCCTGACCCGACGCTTGCTGGAAGAAATTGACGGCAATATGATGGCAGTTCGCTTCTTGTTGATGCCTTGAAAGATCTCCACGTACTGACCCTGTTCGGGCTCCTGATCAAGGGCATACTGAAGACCCGCGAACTCGTCGTCGATCTGTGCCTCGGACTTTGTACCACAGCGGAGCTTTGCAGAGAGCTGCGAGCCTCACCAACTCTTCCACGGGTCAACAGCCATCGTGGGGACTGGGGGTCATTGTTCGTTAGCTGTGTCGAACCCTTTTCGCAAAAAGACACGGACCTGTGGAATAAACAAGATCAAGGAAGGAGATTACCATCAAGCTGAACTGATAGGACCCCACTGCAAAGCCTCTGATGGGAGTGGGTATGATCTCGGCCTGGAAGACGGGGATAACTGCAAGCTCCATTCCGATATAGATGTCTGCGCTCACGAGGCAGAATCGAACTGGAATACCTGCTAAGGGAGACTTATAGTTGAGTACTCGGGCGGCCATGACATGATCTGCTTGGGCGTGGAAGAAGTCACAGCAAATACAGCACAAGCGATGGCATGGCCGCTCGTGACAAACATGCACCACCTCCTGCCGTACCGTTCACTGGCCATGCTCCGAAGAACCACACCTAGACGGGTCAATAGTGTGCTCTTGACACGAAGGGCAATGTTTGGGGATTAACTGACCTAAGGCATAGCCGATAAAGTTCAAGCTATTGAACATACTCGCCCAGGAGGTAGAAATTTCATGTTTTCCAGTCACAGGGTCCAGCTTGCCAAACAGACGGATGAAAGGGTTCATGGCCTGTGTAGTTGTGTACCCATTATTATCAAAGCTGTAGTTCAAGGTAGGCACCGCAATGACGAGAAACGACATTGTTAGTGTCCGATTAAAGTTTAGTGCTTTGAAAAGGGTTTGATGTGAGTCTTATTTTATGGAATCCAAGGAGTTGTCGTAATGCCCTTATTATATGAACATGTCATGAGTTGAACTGGCTGGCTCGACCATGTGACTTCTGCATTCAGATGCCAATGCCCGATAACAGGGAATAAATAAGGAGACTCTGAATGATGTGGATAGTTCCGGCTGTCCAGCATCCTCATCATTTGAGATAATGCAGGGGAACAATAGACTCGGGCAGAGATAATCGACCCCCCGCAAAGTTCCACCACACCGCAGTTCACACTCCGTATCATGGGGCAGAAATTGACTTTGGAGAAGCTGGTACTGCCCCGGATTCCCTGTATCAGAACAGGAAACCCAAGTGGATAAGGGAATGCACCAATCAATCCTTAGTTCCGGAAGTCGGGGGGGGATTTAAATGCAGCCTGTCTTCCGCCTGCATTGCCCTGACTTGCCTTGCACGGTCATCCTACACTGCTCTGCCCGGATGTTCTCTCTTTGACGTGATGGCAACAGTTCCGGGGAGTGAAAAATCCAAGCGAGCCAAGATCTGCTTCCAGTGCCGCAACAGAAAGGTATTCCCAATGAGTGGAACTCGGGGGACGCCCTGCCGATCCCTCTTCCTGCCTCTGCTGACGCCCACTAACACCAGGTCCGCTGCGATGGCACGGTCGGTGGCTGTGAGAACTGCAAAAGGCTCGATTTCGCGTGCTCTCTTGGCCACGACTCTTCCGACACCTCTCAACTCGCCCTTGATCCGACGCTCGCTCGCCGTCGTGCCGCCAAAGCCTGCATCGCTTGTCGCGATAAGAAGTCGAGATGTACTGGAGAGACACCATGTGAGCGATGCAGAAGCTATCGAATCGATTGCATATTCCCTCCGGACCGTCGACGCGCTCGTCGTGGTCCGCGCCGAACCACCAGCTCGCCCTCCCTCTCTGAGCACTCAATATAGGATCCCGAGGGATTCGCGACCGAGACTGTTGAGCCGATAATCAACAAAGGCCTCGAAACATTATCGACATATCGTGGAGTGGGCCAAGATAGTAGAGTCCCTCCATCGAGGTACGATTCCTTCCTCCGCTCCGTCCCTTATCTCCCTTTGCCTTGGCCTCTGACTGATTATACTGGTTGTTAGTGACTTTCTAAACAAAAAGGCCATCATTCGAGAGCATATAGATGCCTTCTTCGAGCATGTATATCCGATCCCAGGAATGGGAATTATTCATCGCGCTTCTCTCATGAGAACTTGGCTCGATGGAAGCCACAACCCAAGGTTGCTACAGGCTCTATGCGGTGTTGCAGCCCGATTCACGGCTCTCTCACGACCAGCCATGGCTGCTGAGGGTCAAAGATGGCTAGAAGAAGCTGAAGCCCATCTCTTGCATCGATCGACCGAGCCCCTGAGAACAGATATTGCGGCACTCATACTGATCGCGTTTGATCACTGCGCCTCGCGAAGATTCCTCAGGCATGTTGGGACTTTGGCGTGCGTCACGAAGCTTGCTTTTATTATGAGACTGAACAGAGAAGACCCGAATGCGGGATTCGCGCCCCAGGAGTGGAGGAGAAGGTTGACGTGGGCGTTATGGACTATGGACACGTTGTGCGCAGGTCTACGAAATGATTCGCCCTGCTGTCCCACAAATATGATGCGTGTTCGATTGCCCTGCAACGAGAGGTTATTCAACTTTAATATACCTGTGATGGTATGGAGACTGGAACCTGGCCGCTTCAATATGGGCTCGGACGCAGGTGGGATTGCAGCGTATCTGATATCGATCATGGATATCTGGCGGAGGATTCAGGAGCGAGCAATGCTACAACTCGTAGATATGCTGAGTATTAGCGCTAACCATGAACTCCAGAGCCCTCAACTCCGCTGATGAAGATAGCGATACGTTTAACAATGCCACAACAGCCGGAACCGATACTGTCGCTGGCTTGGTGCAGACCTTTGAACGAGAACTGGATCAACACGTTGCCACTTTACCCGACAACTACACTATGAATAGTCGGAATCTCTACAGCCGACTTTACTTGCCCTCGCGCACAACATTTGTTATGCTCCACGTCTGGTATCATCGCACATATTGTGATCTCTACCACTTGGTGATGGACAAGATGTCAGTAGGGGTTCAACCCCGATCGACCACTGAGCCTAGTTCGTCCACACTGGAGCGGTATGGACACTTCTATCTTCAACACGCAGCGTCCATGTCGGATCTCTTCTCCACGCTATTACAGGCCGATGATTCAGTCTGCATTACTGACCCATCTCTGGCTAACTGCTCTCTCGCCGCTGCGCAAGGCATATTCTTTTCGCAACATTGGACTGGAAGTTTATTGACCAATGAAGAGCGAAGCCAACGAGTTCGACACTGCGCGTCAATACTAGAGAAGCCTGCTGAAGTGTACCCCACGACAAGACTGGTCATGGCGGATATCCTTGAGCTCCATGCTCGCCTTGCCCAAAACCAACCTTTGGAAGAGCATGTACAATGCCCTTGTGCCCATTTCATGTCGCTAACAAGAACAGGCTGCCGTTTAGCACGAGCTACAACGTCGCTGATGAGATCTCTCGACTTCGATTCCCGGCTGAGGATCCTGATCTGAGACAGAACCCAAGAACACGCAAACCCAGTACTTCAGCCGTCCGAAATGAGCATGCTCCAACAGAAAGACTGAGAATGGATGGAGGCTTAAACCCAAGTATGATGGAAACATCAGATACCCCCTCGATTCCTATACTAGAGGCACCCATAGCCGACCCAATAACAAGTGACTTGTTCAACTATCGGGAAACCCTCATGGACGTCGACCAAATGGAGCAAGAGATATGGTCCATGCCAGGCTTTGAGATGGTTGATGTAGGGTTGAGTTGGTTAGATAGGAGTGGTATGGAGGTAAACTATACCCATTGTCATGATTAGCACAATTGAGGCCGTTTGAACTCACAAGCTTGGATCACTACAAAAAGGACAGTCATCGCCGTCATGTGCTTATCAGCATATCGTTTGTCAAGGACCTGAAGCCAATTTTCTACCTTGAAAAGAAATACTATTTCTAATTCTTAAATATGATAAGACAATTTGCGCAGCAAGGAGAGCTTATTATCTAATCCTGTTTCGCATGTCGTGCCGTGAGTGTCATATCCACCCAAGATATCCCTGCATTGCTCTGCTGGGCTTAATCAATCTTGTCCACCATTTGCCCAACATGTTAATTATAAATCCATTAGAGCAATTACTCATTTAACGTTGAGTGGTAGAGATAGGGATAGCCCCCGTCTGTGATGTAAAAACTACAAATACCGGCTACGGCCCACTCAACCACATCCGGGGCACATCAATGGTAGACCACACTCAACATGGCGTCCCTCAAGTCTTCCCTGTTTTACGGCGCCGCAGCCGTCAATCTTCTCATCATTCCCAAGCACCTCAAGGTCGGTGCAACCAATGTCTCGAGCGCTATTCAAACCATCCCCGAAGACTCCCCAGTCGTGAAGAGGGGCAAGGAGGTTGTCCGAACTGCATGGGACCTGACGAATGGAAGCCTGGTAATTCTCGGTATGCAGCAGCCCGGCCTTGGTATACCTACATGTCTAACTGCCAACGCATTTAGCTCTCCTGAATTATCGTTGGGCCAAGGCGGGTGGACCTGGATCTTTGGAGGAGAAGCTGATGATAGTGGCGAGTGCCCTGTCAGGATGGTATGTGGGAGTGCAATACTTCAAGATTGGAATGTATATCCCTCTTAGCGTTCTCTGGGTTGCGCCAGTTGCCAGTTTGGTGGCTTGGTTGTGCTAAAGTTGAAGGGGATCTTGGGAGATGAAGCGATTCCCAGCAAAGTAACAACCACTCAATGATGCTCAGTGATAAGCTATTGACACAGAGTCTTTTTGGCGTTAAATTAGTTGTCTTTACACGTATTGGTATTACTTGCCCTGCTTGGAGTGGCCCCGAGCCGCCGAAGCCAGGTCATAGTGGGCGTCCGTGAACGATCAGTTACCACGAAGCAAGGCGTAACGCCAGTGCGAGACTGGGATCTGAGCTGTTCTTAGTTAGTACGGCCACTCCAGATCCTGATGAGCAGCGGCCGCTCATTCCTTAATTTTCTCCAAAACCCCCGACAGCCCCGATAGCCCCGACAGCCCCGACAGTCTAGCCAAGTTTGAAGGACCGCAACACCTCCCAGCGCTCCGATCCAAGCAACCAAGTTCGGCTGACTGTCCCAGCACAACGCATCTCTGGGACCGAACCTGCACTGTTGATACTTCTTGATGCTTGTCTTGAGTGATTAGCCATATATAGTGAATAGGCGTCCGAATTCCCGCACGTATCCATCTCCAGGAAAAGAGAACATCGCAAGTGAAGTATTGAAAGGCTGTTGGATGGCCATTTCTTAGCCAAATCTACCCTTTATTTTTCATGCTATACTATGACAGAGCACTAACTCAGCCGTCAGAGAACGGATTCAATACTTTGTAAGTAACCAGATTGTGCTTGTAACCATTGGAATATCCATACCTTGAAAACTAAAGTACAACCCCTGGCGTCAGGGACCTTTCAGGGAAGTTATCGGGAGGGGGGGTAATGACCTGTAGACAGCCGCCCCCGCGGTCCGGCTCGGCGGGTTTTGGCACCTAGATAGGAAAGACTCACAGTAGCTGAGCTGTGGGTAAGAGCGGACTGTCTCACTCTGACGGTTGAAGGTTTCCACTGGCTGTGATCCTGAGACGCCCTAAGGCAATCATTTCGTCAACCGCGTGGACCGCGCTCCAGGTGGCAGGAACTACAGCCTCTGATGTCACATCTCTTTTTTTTTTCTTTTTTCTTTTCTTTCGTTCCTCTTTTCTTGTATTCTGCCCTTTGCGAGGTACTGGCCGGTCCATGTTATGCTTTCACGATCTGCTCCGGAAGTAGTTTGCCCACTCTTTGACTCCCTTTGTGCTTCCCTCTTTTCAACACGATTTCAAAAATGTCAAGCGCTGCTGGGCAGCTGACAGTGCTGGAGCTGTTACGGAAGCACTTCGCCCTTCCGAAGTTACTCTTTCACCTCCTCTTCTGGGGTGCCCACTGGGCAACGTTTGCTTATGGCTGGTATGACTTGATAATAACGGGCACATCGATGTATTAACTGACTTTAACCCTAACACTGATTTCTATAGGTGGAAGCAAGTATCTGATCCTCGCCTAGCCCCTCTCAACACCACACTTGCCTGGTCGATCTGGATATCCCGAGGCGCTGGCCTGGTCCTCTCCTGGGATACCACGTTGATCCTGTTGCCCGTATGCCGCACTGTTGTGCGTTTCATTCGACCAAAGATCAAGTGGTTACCTCTAGACGAAAACGTCTGGTTTCACCGACAAGTCGCGTATGCATTGCTGCTGTTCACAATCATCCATACAGCGAGTCACTACGTCAAGTACGTTGAATCTTAGTCTTGCGTCCTTAAACCCTGACTAGAGTGCTCGAGACATCGCTGACCTGTCTGTTCCAGTTTCTACACGATCGAGCGGACACAAGTCAGACCCCTCAAGGCTATCGATATCCATTATAAAGAACCAGGGGGTATCACCGGCCACATCATGCTTCTCTGCATGCTCTTGATGTATACTACCGCCCACGTTCGGATTCGCCGTCAATCCTTCGAAACCTTTTGGTATACCCACCACCTGTTCATACCGTTTCTTCTTGGTCTTTATACCCATGCGGTCGGGTGCTTTGTCAGCGATTCTCCCGAAGCGTACTCCCCCTTTGCTGGCAAAGATTACTACGATCATTGTTTGGGATACCTCGGATGGCGTTGGGAATCGGTCGCTGGTGGCCTTTACCTGCTGGAGAGGTTGTATCGCGAGGTTCGAGCTATGAGAGAGACCAAGATCACGAGAGTGGTCAAGCATCCGAATGGTACGTCACCCTTTTATCGGTTTGTTTCTTCTAACATGGCGCCCCAGACGTTGTCGAGCTGAAGTTCTCAAAATCTAGCTTCAAGTATCGTCCAGGACAGTGGCTATTCCTCCAGATGCCATCCATCTCAAAGTACCAGTGGCATCCTTTTACGATTACATCGTGTCCCTTTGATCCGTATGTCTCTGTTCACATTCGACTCATTGGAGACTTTACCAAAGCTTTCGGTGATGCTGTCGGTGTAGGGCCGGCTCAATCAAAATTCTACGAAGAGGCTTCAGTTGACCCATCAGCTATTTACGAAGTCGCTCTACAAAATGGCCAGCAGATGCCAGCACTGAGAATCGACGGGCCGTATGGTGCCCCAGCTGAAGACGTTTTCAATAACGAGATAGCCATACTGATCGGAGCGGGGATAGGCGTCACACCGTGGGCCTCGATCTTGAAGAACATCTGGCACATGCGCAATAGTGATAACGGCCTCGAGCGCCTGCGTCGTGTCGAGTTTATCTGGATGAGCCGGGATGTCACTTCGTTTGAATGGTTCCAATCACTGCTTAGCTCTCTCGAAGACCGGCCGGCTGAGATGCCGGGAGCGTCAACCGACCAGTTCCTTCGTATTCATACCTTCTTAACGCAGAAACTGGATGCGGATACGACGCAAAACGTGATTCTAAACACGGTTGGATCTGACACGGATCCTTTGACTCAGCTGAAGGCTCGGACGAATTTCGGACGGCCCAACTTCCGGAGAATATTCACAGACATCCGAGATGGTATCGCCGACAGAACATATCTTCGTGGACTTGAGGAAAGAACGAGGACTCGAGTAGGGGTTTATTTCTGTGGTCCCTCAGTTGCTGGTACGGATTATCCCACAATCTCGCCTCGCGATTCCGCTAACGTGTTGCAATAGCTCGTGAAATCAAGTCAACATGCAAGCAGGTCTCTGATGTTGATGTTGACTTCAAGTTCTGGAAAGAACATTTTTAAGCTCAAGAACCAACCCTGTTGTTACATAGGTGCTAAATAAAATTAACATGAGTTTAGCGGGAATTTGTGATACTTATCTAGCTACTTTGTTACTTTAGGAAACCCTCCGTATTGTACTAAACTTGTTATGGGCGATGTCAGATCATGCCACCCCAAGTCTTCCCCTCGTCTGTCTGTGCCTTGCGTGGCCTCGTCTCCAAACAGCTCATCCTCTCGGAAACCTTTGCCATCACCAACTCAGTCTGTTTCGTCGACAGTCCAGTCCCGCCATGAGCAGTTCATTCTTTAACGCGAAAACACAGACCCTCACGCTTCCCAGCGGCCGCATCTTATCCTTCGGTGTCTTCGGCGCTGGCAGTGATGAGGAGCCTGGGACCCAAAATCTCCCGGTCGTCTTCTATTTCCATGGCGTACCCAGTTCCCACGACGAGGCCTACATGATGCACGATGCTGCCCTTGAACGAGGCCTCCAGATTGTCGCCCTTGATCGTCCTGGCTATGCTGGCTCCGCGACCCAGCCTGGTCGGCGGTTTCTCGACTGGCCGTCTGACGTTCTAGCGGTTGCCGACCACTTTTCCATCTCCCGATTTGCTATAATAGGCGTGTCTGGAGGCGGACCATATGCTCTGGCATGCTTGCAGTCCCTTCCGAAAGACCGGCTCACTGGTGTTGCCCTCTGCTCCAGCGTCTACCCGGTCTCGTTTGGGCTCAAGGGTATGAAGTTTCTAAACATCCTTCTGCTTCGCATCGCTCCTTGGGTTCCCTCCCTTCTTGCCTGGATCGTGGATTATACCCAATCGTCGGCCGCGCGAGATGAGGAGCACCCCGAAGTCTTTGTTAGCAAGATGATGGAGATGATGAAGAGCATACCTGCCGCAGACCGCGTTGTCTTTTACGACAACATTGGTGGCTACAGGGACGCCATCGTGGCTGGCTCCCGCGAGGCGCTAAAGCCAGGTGGCCAGACATTTGCCCAGGAGTATGCATTGCTGGGAAGTGATTGGGGGTACAAGATTGAGGAGATACAAGATGCAGACCGTCTTTTCATCTGGCATGGCACAGAGGACGTTCACGTGCCGATTGCCATGGCCGAAAAGGCTAGTCAGCTGCTGCCAAACGCCGAGCTGAGACGTCTCGAAGGAGAGGGACACGTTGGCACTGTTCTTCGAGCAAGCGAGATTCTGGATATGATGAAGGGCAAACTTGGCAGATCTGTACAGTAGGGGATTGTCCCAACAGCGGTAGGATTTGTAGTAATTCTCCTCTTTACTTGTTGGCTCCCTCATTGAGGCACTATCGAAGACCAAAGTCCACTCTAATAAAGTTCGACTTCAAGATGACAAAAAATGTGGTTCAAATTACCTTCTTGGGACATCAGGCCACGATCCAAAAATCCCGATGCGCCAATGTCAGCAAGTCGCATTAGCGTGCGGGGCGAGCAACCTCCTGGTGGTCACCTCACGTTGCCATCACTAGATCTTGCCCTTTGACTGGATGGTTCAGATGCGGCTCGAGGACTTTGATATCGATGACGAAACTCTTTTGCAGCGTAGATGGAGGAAAGAGGGTTTTTTCTGGCTATATATAGCGCAGATCTCCCAGTAAATCGAAGTGCCCAAACTCCCTTCGTTCAACACTCAGCACCTACATCAACCGCCAACCCTACCAACATGTCTCTTTTCCAACCTCCCCCAAAGCCAACCTCCCCAATGGGCTACCACCGTGTTCTCTCTCCGAACGCGGCAGTCAAGGTCTCTCCCATATGTCTTGGTGGAATCAGCATCGGCAACAGTTGGGCCGAGTACACGGGCAAAAACCAAGAACCTTTTGAGTTACTCGACGCCTTTTTCAACATCGGAGGCAACTTTATCGACACCTCAAACGTCTACAACTCTGAGGACTCGGAGAAGCTCATTGGGCAGTGGATGGAAGAGCGCGGAACCAGGGATCAAATGGTCATTGCTACCAAGTACAGTGCTCACTATCGCGCCCACGATAGGGAGAATATGCCTCTCCAGACCAACTTTCTTGGAAACTCTGTCAAGAGCATGCACGTATCAGTTCGGTGCAGCTTGGAAAAGCTAAGGACTGACTACATTGATATTCTGTATGTGCACTGGTGGGACTTTACAACGTCGGTCGAGGAGGTCATGAGGGGACTGCATGCCCATGTCATGGCAAAGGAGGTGCTCTACTTGGGCATCTCAGACACCCCGGCTTGGATAGTTGTCAAGGCAAACGCCTGTAAGTTCCGCTCTGGCCTCTTATGCAATCTAATCTGACCTGTTCTAGACGCAAGACAACACGGGCTCACCCCATTCTCTGTATATCAGGGCAAATGGAATGCTTCATGCCGTGACATGGAAGGTGAGATCATTCCCATGTGCGAGGACCAAGGAATGGCGATAGTTCCTTGGTCTGCACTGGGTAGCGGTCAACTTCTTTCTGCAGAACAAAGGCAAGAAAGAGCAAACGATCCGGATGCTCCCCAAGCGACCCCAAGCCAGAGGGACCTTGCGGTGTCTGAAGCACTGGAAAAGATTGCAAGTGCAAAGGGAACGTCGTTTCAGGCAATCGTAAGTGAATAATTTACCATTAAGTCGAGAGTTGGTAACTAATTAAGCCTCAGGCACTCTCTTATTTGTTCCATCAGTCGACTTATGTGTTTCCGATTGTAGGCGTAAACACTGTCGCCCACATCAACGCCATGCCCGATGCTCTGCGTGTTGAGCTCTCCAAGGAGGACATTGACGCCATCCATGAAGCAGCGCCATATGATCCAGGGTTTCCAATGAGCTTTTATTTCTCATGGACAAAGCCCCAAAAGTACGATCTCTCTCTCACAGCCGCCAATCATAATCAGATTCAGATGGGGGCTTGGATCGACGTTCCACCAAAGCAACAGGTGAGTACCTACCTTACAACAATCCTCGGTGAACTGAAGCTCACCACTGGCAGCCTTACCGACCCAGGCCTAGCTAGAGAGGTTGCATGTTGTCAAAGAAATAGAGCTCAAAATTGATTCCTTCCGAAAGGCTTCGTAGCACGCACCATGATGATCCAGGGGATTCGGATATGTTAACATGATGAAAGTTCTTAACTTGATTCCTGTTAATCACGACTGGAACGCTTGTAAAAAAAAAAACCCTCATTGAATGTTCTCTTCTATACACAATAGGTAGTGTGAATGTAATGAATCCTTATTTGTTGAGATATTGTTTCCCACCCATGCCCGCTTATTGACAAGCACTCTTTGGCGAGGTGGCAGGCCCCTCCACAAAATTGCCTCGTAAGTCTCCCCGTTGGGAAAATACTGGATTAGGTACCGTAGTTACGTGTTAGCTTACGCGTTCTATGCAAAAGAAAAGCAACTCTATTGCTGCCTGTTCAGAGCTGCTCTGCCTCATGCGAGTGCGACATAGCTGCTGTTTAGGCATCTTTACCGAGGGAGCCAATGGGAACGCATTAATATTCGTTTAAATCTGTTACTTCCTGCGCTCATAATCCCCTGTAAGGTACTACACGTGAGCATGAATATGGTGGCCAAGCACCGATTGCTCAAAATACGAGTGGTTCGTAAAAAGTTCCATTGATTTTCGTCCAGGTTGGGAAGTGGCTGTGAATCCTCCCGTACAAGCTCGACTTCAATCCTTGTTGCATCGTTCCACTTTTCCGAAGGATTTAGCCAGGGGAACTCGCGGTTGTGGATCTTTCTTACCAGGCCAAGCGGTGGATGATCGGTGAAGCGATGGATTCAAGTGGAGGGGCGCAGTAAGGCGAAGGATTCAAACCGAAGGGCATTTAGACGAAGTAACATGTTTATCAAGGCCTTAAAAAGGGAACATGTCGCACGATTGCCTCTCATCTTCATCAGCCTTACTACTCTATCTGTCTGCTGCATACGATTTCGACATGCTTCTCCAATCCAGCGTCGCTTTTGGCCTCTGGGCTGGCACTACTACAGCTGCCCAGTATCCTTGCGGCACGTCACCTTCGAGCCACGCCTTGAGGGCCGTCACTGAGAACCTCAAGGGAGATTTGGAGATTCGAGGAGGGAGAAACCATGTCACCATCAAAACATACGTACATGTTATTGGAGCAAGTGACAAGGAGGAAGATGGATACATCACTGTGAGTCCCGTTATAGAACAAACTTCAAATGCGCGCTCATATTATTTCTACAGGATGAAACTGTAAAGGGCCAGATCGATTTGCTCAACAAGAGCTACAAGCCTTGGGACTTTTTGTTCAAATTGATCGAGACTACTAGGTCTATCAATGAGTCTTGGGCCAACAATCCCGGGGGTAGCCCGGTGGAGGACCCCACTGAGCCTGACTTCAGAGCGGCCCTTCGGAAGGGAAGCTACAAGGATCTCAATCTCTTTTATATCAAGGACATGCCGCCGGGTGGGAAGTGCGAGCTGCCGATCCCTAACCCCACTAGCCAAGACATTGTCAACGACGGTTGCCTCATGAGATCTGAAAACCCTGGTCAACTTCCCCCAACTTATGGTTTCGTCACTGTCCATGAAGTTGGCCATTGGCTTGGTCTTGAGCACACATTTGAGAATGGCTGCGAGGAGCCAGGAGACGGGGTCGACGACACTCCAGCCGAGGCGTATCCAGTTGCCGATGGGGACTGTCCTGAGCCAGGTCGCGATACTTGCCCTGATCAGCCAGGCCTGGATCCAGTAGACAACTACATGACCTACATTAGCCCGTGGGTCTTTACCGATTCTACGAGCGTCAAAGTTGAGAAACTAACAGAGAATAGCGATTGCGGTCCCAAAAGATTCACACCTGGACAAGCTAAACGAATGCATGGTCTTTGGAAAAAGTTGCGCGCAAACGGCAAGCCCAAGGCTTAAAGTGGGAAACCAGACATGTCTCCATTTTCAGCTTCATGAGACGGAAGAGAGCCAGGGGGTGAGTCACGCTGGGTCCAAGAGTACACCCAATAAAATCAATGGAACTAACCAGTGCGCATATAGAGTGGGTGCTGTGAGGTAGCTGGGCGACTTCTTGAGGGTTTGGCAAGCGAACGCAGGGCCAATACAAACCTGCAGAGAGTCAGGAAGGTAATATTCACAATCTACGAGCTTATCTATCTGACAAGCAGCGTAATGTTCATATAGCACTAGTTAGAATCAAGGTCTGAAATGGACCGCGTCCAATTGTTGAACATGATTGCATTGGCTGATACAATGTTGTCATTCAAGTGTAACGTTCACAGATGACATGTGGCAGGGGTTTCGGAACTGTGTGTGTACATCTACTATGTCTTTGACTGGCAGAAGGATCTTCTCTACCGCTGATAGCAGAGGCGATAGAGTTAGATATCGCCAATTCCCTGCAGGAAATAATGCGCGACTTGCACCGCAATAATGCAATGGTGGCATAGCAGGTCACGTGGTGGACAGAATCCTGTCCCCTGAGTTCTGAGTTGGGTTAGATGAGAATTAGGAAAGCCCTTCTAATCGTCGACCCCTGTATTAGGATTTAACTTCCTTTTTCGATATCGCTCATAAGCATAGTTCAGCCACTATAACCGTTCGAGTTTCCTCATCGCCCGCCGTGAGTTGTGAGAGAAGAATCATTGCTCATTTCCAGCTTCAGTCCAGACTTCGTCAACGTCATGGCAGACGCGCCCTTGATAAACCCGATCTCGGTGAGTATGTGGAAATCTAAAATGATCTAGTCAATTGCGCGCGTGGTTCGCACAATGGCTGACTATCCCAGTGCAAAAGGTGCAGGGTAAAAAAGGTCGGTGCTATTATCCTCTCAATCAAGCTCAACTGACGCGACAAGATCCGCTGCGACCGCCGCTTGCCTGGATGTAACAGGTGCCAGGAGCAAAATGCCGAATGTGTTTATGTTCGTCAGGTGCCCAGAAAGCCCGTCACGACTACTGGGGACCGTGTAGGGTGAGTGATGAGCTTTGAGCTGACAGGCTCGCAAGTTGACGTACCAGATCAATTGAGGCGACCTTGGACACGATTCTACGACGGCTGGATCGAATTGAACAAAATTGCCGTTGCCAGAGCCTTCGAAGGCAATTAGATGACTCGCCTGGGTTTGATGCTTCGCCCGAAGACGCATTTCAGAATCAATCCGACTCGGACATTGATATTGACGCGGGTAATGGTGTCGAATCGCATCGTCCATTTCCAGTCATACCTTTGACCTCTGTGTCTGGCAATAACGTTGTCTCTGAGCACTTAGAATCACCATCTACGACACCAGATCCAAACTCGCCGTTACCCGTCCTTCGGTATGCCGTTGAAGAAGTCCAACGACGTGTAGCTAAACGCCATAATTCTCCCAGTGCAAATACGGAAGAGCCCATCGAGCCGGCACTAGCAAAGTCGTGGGTACAGAGTGAGTGATTTCGTAATTCTGACGAAGATTCACCACTAACCCTACTGCCTTCAGGTTACTTCGCTCACTTATCAGAAGATCTTTCCCCAGCCTTGTTAAATGTTCAGCTTATACACCTCATGCCTGACATCATCGGGCTGCCCAATGTCCATCTCGATGCAGCCATTATCGTGGTTTATTATTGCATTTTATACCATGGCTGCTTTCTCGGTCGCCAGTCCACATCGGTTTCTGATAACGCAAAAACCATGAGCAAACTCTATCATCGTTGTCTTGATGCTGCTTCAGCCTGGGAGCCACAAGCAACCGGGACCAACATGGACTTTATCGCCGCCTTCTTCATGGTAGTATTGCCTTTCAGTAGCCTTGTCTTTTGCTGATTTGAGTTTGCTAGGTCCGAGTAGCTGCCGAGCGTTTCGACATTGAGCTGAGCTGGAACATGTTCAAACTTGGATGCCAGTACGCCGAGAAGATCAAACTTCATCGTCTTGATAATGACGCCAACTTGAACCCGACAAGCTAGGATAGTTCTGTACTCAATGCAGGTCGAAAAGGCTTCTGGGAGCTGGTCACCATGGATGTGTATTTCCGTCTGATTCACAACAAGCCACCGGCGATAATGGCTTGCCGACCAGATGCCAAGGTCAACCTCCCATGGCTCGCTGGGCCTGGATCTCAGGTAGAAGAGACGACAACAACGATCCGGTTCTTGATCGATTCCCGACGGACCTTCATTCTCATGGACTTTTTCCAGTTACTGGAGGATTCTGAAGCTCGACCTGACCCAGATCTTGTTTCCAAAACCGGGGCGCTTTGCCGCGACATTGAGGGATTGTATGAACAATGGGAAATTGTGAGAAGTCTAACCCCAAGAGTTCTCAATCATATAAGCCTAACCGCGAGAGAATAGAATGACTGGGTCAGGAAAATGATAGACTCTGACGGTCAGCTATGGACAATTGCTGGCGTTGCATTGGAAGGATACACTTGTATCATCTTCATGCTCCGTCGCGCTATCAGTGTCCATTCTGGCATTCCCGGGAACCAGGAACTTGGTCCTGAGGTTATCAATCACCCATTGGTGCTCAAAGCGTCCCGGCATATCCTTGAGGTAGTAGCCCTTCTGCTGTCGGCTATTCCCTCTATGGGGACTGTTGCTGTCACGTTTGTTGTCCTCCAAGCGCACATACCACTTGCATGTTTAGCTACTTACCTGCTGCATCCTGTGGGATCTCGGGATTGTGAAGCAGACATCGTCTTGCTTGAAAATGTGATCGAGGGGACGAAGAGAATATCAAGGGATATAGAGGAACTGGTGCCCCTGACGGCGGCTATGGAGGAACTGAAGACCAAAGTGAGAAGTACAGTTGGTGATAATGTGGCGAAATGATTACCGTCTCTGTTGAAAGGCCCCAGGGGTTGATAACAAACTTAGACACACATGGATTATAATCATCTACAAGGGTCCTATCGCTATAAAACCTTTTCTCGCTGTGCCATAGTAGATTTAAAAAGATACCGCGTATTAACAGTCGCTCTTGATACACCTCTTCAGTATTCTTCAGCCTTCACTTTTTCTCATTCCTTCCCATCTCTCAAAATTCCCAGCTTCCAGTCCAAAGAGATCCAATAATCGCCCGACCATCTGATTCAAGATATCATCAACCGAACTCGGTTTCGTGTAAAAGCCAACCACGGGCGGCGCGATGATGGCCCCTGCGCGAGTAACCTCCATCATATTCCTCAAGTGAATCTCACTTAGTGGCGTCTCTCTAACCGACAAGACGACCCTTCGCCGCTCCTTCAAGCACACATCGGCAGCACGCGTGATGAGATCGTCGCAGATGCCTGCGTTAATGGCTGCCAGTGTTTTGACAGAGCATGGTGCGACAATCATGCCGTCGACGTGGTACGAGCCGCTTGCTATCGGCGCTGCTAGGTCGCATGAGTTGTAGGCGTGGTCTGCGAGAGCGCGAACGGCTGCTGGTGTGTAGTCGGTCTCATATTTGATCGTCTCCGCTGCCCATTTGCTAATGATGAGATGGGTTTCGACGTTAAGGCGACGAAGGATTGAGAGCATGTGAATTCCTATGGCGGCGCCGGTCGCGCCGGTTATGGCCACTATAATTCTCTTTCTGGTGAGCTGTCCCATTTTCGGGGATAGTTCAAAGTTTATAAGGATGAGAATGTAAAGATGTGATGTGATGCTTAAAGATAGGCGATCGATGATTGAGTTGAGTGGGGATGAAAAGTATAATGATGATGAGTGTGGATTATAGATGGTGATGGATCTGAAATGACAAAAAGAAGACTTCAATGGTGGTCTAATATAGAGATCGCCTCTGAGTGGAAGCCGCATGGGCCTGCGTTTCTCGAGAGGCGGCGTCGGGGCCCTCGGTCAGCTCGGAGTGGCTCACATAATTGAAGTGGCCCGAGATGTACCCACCCCGAGTCTCGGAAGGTTCGGCGGCTTCGGAGGACTCGGCGCATCGTCCCATCGCAGAACTCGGGACATTACGCAAATAGGGCTGGGACTCAGTGGCCTAAAGACCATAAGAAGCACTTGAGGACTGTCTTAATGATTACTTCTACACCAATCATCTACACCCTCACCCACACATCTCCAAATATCAACCCTATTCTACCACAATGCCTTCTCAAGATCTCCCACACATGAACTTCCGAGCCTACGTCGGGGCTCTCGAATCTGATGGAGATCTCGTCCAAATCAACCAAGAATGTGACCCTCATCTTGAAGTTGGTGCCATCATACGCAAAGTTGTCGAGAACGACGAAAAGGCCCCCCTGTTCAACAAACTCAGAGGCCAGGACAACAACGGCCTTTGGAGAATCCTCGGTGCTCCTAACTCGCTCCGCACTGACCCGAAGCAGCGTTTCGGGCGACTGGCTAGACACCTCGGCCTTCCCGTCACTTCTTCCATGAAGGAGATCCTAGACAAGATGATAGCGGCCAAGACTTCTACCCCTATCCCACCTGTCGTTGTCGAGACCGGGCCCTGCAAGGAGTTCTGCCTCACGCCAGATCAGTTTGATCTAACTCAACTTCCTGCACCACTGCTGCATCAATCCGACGGTGGCAAGTACATCCAGACCTATGGCATGCACATTGTTCAGTCGCCAGACGGCAAGTGGACCAACTGGTCCATCGCCCGTGCAATGGTGTACGACCGGAACCATCTCGTCGGCCTCGTCATCAAGCCGCAGCACATCTGGCAGATGCACCAGATGTGGAAGAAGGAGGGCCGAGACATGCCCTGGGCGTTGGCGTTTGGCGTTCCTCCGGCTGCCATCATGGCGTCTAGCATGCCTCTTCCTGATGGACTCTCCGAGGCTGAGTATATTGGCTCGTTGGTCGGATCCCCACTTGAGGTGGTCAAGTGCGAGAGCAATGGGCTTTACGTACCTGCAAGTTCAGAAATTGTCTTTGAGGGTACATGTTCGATTACAGAGACTGGCCTTGAAGGCCCTTTCGGAGAAATGCATGGGTAAGTAATATCCTGACAGACTAGACAAGCTTGTGACGCTAAATCTTATCCTAGCTATGTCTTTCCTGGTGACTCCCACCCATGGCCCAAGTATACGGTTGACCTCATCACTCATCGTAAGGATGCCATCCTCCCAGTCTCAAACTGCGGCCGCCTGACGGATGAGACTGTAAGTAACCAATAGTCACCCACTATGCAGTTAGATACTGACCTTGACTAGCATACGATGATCGGCCCCCTTGCAGCTGCAGAGATCGGTTTCCGCCTCAAGTCAGAAGGCCTCCCTATTAAAGAAGCCTTCTCTCCATTCGAGTCGCAAGTGACGTGGGTCGCTCTACAAGTTGACACTCAAAAGCTACGCGAGCTACATACCAACCCCGAGGACTTCTGTCGCAAGGTGGGAGGCATCGTCTTCCGTCATAAGGTCGGATACACAATTCATCGTCTCGTCCTTGTCGGCGATGATATCGATGTGTACAATTTCAAGGACGTCATCTGGGCTTTCTGCACTCGCTGCCGTCCCGGAATGGATGAGTACCACTTTGAGGATGTGCCTGGGTTCCCTCTAATTCCGTATATGTCGCATGGCAATGGCGCCCCTGATAAGGGCGGCAAGGTTGTTTCGGATTGCCTTTTGCCCGTTGAGTATACAAAGGGAAGAGACTGGGAGGCAGCTGACTTTGAGAATTCATTTCCTCAGGATATCAAAGAGAGGGTTACTGGTCGGTGGGAGGCGATGGGCTTCGGCTCGTCCATGTAGATGTCGATATAATCCTCGCGAGTGGCCAATGAAATAAGTTTATTGTTTCTATAAGCAGTCTATACATAGAATAATTGAGTAGAGTCATGCTTCCGCTAAGGTACCTCCGTTGGGCCCTGCCGGAGCCTGGTCAGACATTATGAAGTTGTACGCGTCCAGAGGAGAGAATGCGTCGAAGTCAAAGGTACGAAGCCAATCGTCCATACCTAGCATGCTAAAGAATAGGTCAGTGCCATTGGTCTCTCGCCAAAGCTATTAAACTGACCTGGAATCTTGAAGGTCAAACATGCTCTCCTGGAATATTACATCATCCCCTGCGTGATTTGGAGAATGTACTTCTCCTCCTTGACCTGTAGGGGTTAGTTCTCCCGTTCTGGTCTCTTGCAATACTTTCAGAGCTTTTAGAGCCTTTCTATGTGCTGCGGAAAATCGACCGGCGTCTTCGTCCCCCTCGGACAAGCTCTTGACTAGCTGGGCCTGTATCTCTCCAAACGCCTCGGAATTGTCAAGGTGCCTCGTAAAGGCTAGCAAGAGCGCAGAAGAGAGCCCATTGTGTACAAAAGCCCATGACCGGGTGGCAAGGTTACTTAGGGACCGGAGACGAACGAATGCGAATACACTCTTCTTGAGCGCACTTTGGAACCTGCTTAACCAGATTGCGGAATCATCTGTACCTAGGCTTTGCCTGACCTGCCGGGAGAGAACCGGGCGGCATAGGGTGGATAGAGTAAAATGCCGATGCAGTTCTAGGCTATAGTGCTCTTGAATATCTTGTATGGAGGAGCACCGCTGTCGATCTCTTAGATGCGGGGATAACGAGTCCTTCAGGGCGTCGAAGCTGTCGATGAGCTTGCCCACATTTGATAATGGACATGATTGGTCCCGGCTTCGGGTGTGCGTGAGTGTTAGATGACAGAGCCAGTTCATTGCCTGCCGGTAATTCAGAGTCACCTCTTGCCCTAGAGGGAGAAGGTCTGATGTCAAATCCATCTCGTGCGATGCTGGAGGCCGATCAAAGGCTAGGGAGAGGAGGGCATCTTGCCAAACTATAGCCAATCTGTGATGGCAAATCAGATTTCAGAACTCCTAAAAAGCAGAATGCTGTAGGTCTTACCGGAGGTGCTGCGCCTCAGAAGAAGAGAGCCCGAAACCATCATAAGATGAGGCAGGTTGATGAAGGCCCAAGGAAAGTGCGAGCCTAATGGTAGTCCCACCAAGTACCCAGGCACCCCGTGGGTTCATGTCGTTCTGCAGTACGTGGCCAAGGATTATCAGAGCCTGGAGTAGCCTCTTTGAAGGATTCCAGAGGTAGTCAAACGCACCAAGATGACTCAAAGCATGCTTCACTATTTATCCAGATGAGCTATCAAGCTAAGCAAGGTGAGCCGACGAATACTAACAATGTTTTTGAGACCTTTTGAGTCTGGTTGATGGTGCGAGGTCTGAGAATTGCGCCCCTGCAGCTAGGATGGCATGGAGTAGACAAAGGAAATGACTGTCGCTCTGTCTCTTTGCAGAGTCCCGATTTATCAGTGAGCAAACCACTCCTTCAACCTCGTCAATGTCGTCCAGCACAAGTTGAGATGGATGCACTCGGTGCCGGTACGTGTTGAAGAGCTGAATCATCTCCTGGTCTTCAGGAAGTGATGGACCTGGAGGAGAAACTTGGAGAAGCTCCCTCTGTTGAGAACTAGTGTCCATACCCAGTAGAGGAAAGATGCCCGTCTCAAACGCCTCCCGGCGTTGGGAATCTGACTGCGGTTGGATACTCTCCCGTCGAGCTACAGCGATGATGGAGTTGCCGCCGAGCAATGATGGAGTACCAGCGTTGGCAGTCGCCTGGGACGTCTCCAAGGAGCCGACCCGGTCGAGGGATATGCCATCCTCGTCATTTCGGTGACTCTGACGCTTGAGGGAGCTCAGCCCGGCCTCGGGTTCGGGGTAAAGACAGAGATCAACATGGCCTCGCTTGCGGCATGTCTGGCAAGGCTGTTGGTGATCACAGCGTACTTTTCTCTCCCGACATGGGAGACATGCTTTGCGAACATGAACCAAGCGCCTTTCTCGAAGGATTCTTCTCATGTTTGACGGAGGGGTTGCTGTTGAGTTTGCAGACTCTGGCGCGGGCTCAGTCGGGAGGCTCGGATGGCTCGGAGTGCGAGGCATTGATATCAGCGATAACGATAGCTGGTCTGCCGTGAGACAAGGACTCTTTGAGTCTTTGAGCTGGTTAGCGTGTGGTATCTTACTGTTTGGGCCAGAAAGTTGAGCCTCCTCAAAGCAACTCTTTGTTTGTTTATTGATGACGAGGTATGACAATCGGACCATCAACAAATATTGAGGGATGACGATCGCCGGAGAGTTCGGAGCTAAGGGGACTGGATCCACATTCTTAGGGGGCATCTGTGAGGTAGTAAACCTTCTTCTAAAGCGACATTCAGGAAAAAACACTCGAGAGCGTGTTAGAGTGTTTCTACTCCCTAAAAGATTTTAGAAACCAGGAGTCTATTCGAGATCTAAGCTTTTCTAATGGTATTCTGCTCCAAAATCTACTATATCGGCTTCTATCAGGGGATCTTATCTAAAATACCTATTCTTTTGGCTGTTCAGTCAACGGCATCTATCACGCAATGACCAATCCTTCTAGTTTTCCCTCCTGCATCCATCCATGGACAACCTCCTGGAAACTGAGGATACCTTCGCCCCAGTAAGACCTCTTGGCGATTTCATGCTCCTCCTCTTCGGTGAGGCTGCCTTGCGATTGAATCATCCCTTCATCAGTCAGGTATCCTGGGGTGCAGGTGGGAAAGGCAGCAAACCATCGGGCTCGCTTGGCAATCTCTTCGGACCACGCATCCTCAGAGCTCTTCTGAACTTCAACTGTTGCCCTGGCTTGGTCTTCTGCATGGATGATGGTTTCTTTGACAACGTGTGCAATTAGTCGCGTGAGGAGGTTATAGAAGCTATGCGCGTTCTGAGACACGGTGCTCCCGTTACCAGACGCAAAGAAAAGGTTTGGAAGCCCCTCCGTCATGGCACCGTAAAGGGGACCATAGTCTGGTCCTTCCCACTTGTCCTTGAGATGCTTGTCATCACGCCCCGTCAGAGTCGCATTGGGGGCTGAAGAAGGACAAGCATCGACAAGTCCAACAGTGTAGCCTGTGGCAAGAACGAGGACATAAAGTTCGTGTTCCCGGCCATTGGCTATGACGCCATTAGGAGTGCACGCCTCAATACCCTTACCATCTGTATCAATGAGCGAAACGTTTGACTCGTTGAAGAGGGAGAGGTATTCGGGGTGGAAGGTTGGACGCTTGCAGAAGCCAGAGTACCAGGCTTTGAGCTTCTCGGCCGCCGATGGGTCCTTGACCAGAGCGTCAACGCGTGACCGCATCTCTTCGGTCCGTGGATAGTCCCGGTTGAGCATATCCTTGACGTGCTGCTCTTCCTCCTCCTTGGTGACAATTTTACCTGCGTGACCAGCCATGGCAGTCATTCCCACCATCTTGGTCTAGCCATCCTGGATCTTGTCCTCAGCATCGTCCTTTGCCGTGTCATCCCACTTCTGGTCAGTAACGGTGGTGCAGAACTGTCCTTGGAGGTCCCATGTGTGAGCGATCCGTCCAAGCTGCTCACGAATCTCGTAGCCATTGGAACTCGTACTTTGTGTCAGCTTGGGGCCTTCTCAAGCAAGGATCGTACTTACTATCTCAGCTTGGGCATGTAGCCAGTCTCCTCTAACAAGGGCACGTAACAGTATCCTTCAATGTCACAGGCGACACCTAGATAGCGGTTCCAGTACCAAGTACCTCCAAAGCCGCCCGCTTTGTCTACCAGGACGATGTCTTTACTGCTAATGCCAGTCTTGATTACCAAATGATGAGCAGTCATCAGGCCCAACATGCCGGCTCCTGCGATGAGAAACTTGACGTCGTCGCCATCTTTAAGAAGAAATTCCCTCGAAGCAAGAGTCTCATAGTCGACGTATGGGTCCTTTTCCATGCTAGCGAGTGTCGGATCCCGAAAGTCGACGAACTGAGCGACTTGGTGAGGACGGAGTCGCTTCTCTCGCTCGTCGGCATATTTCTCGATCAAGTGCTCCGGGATGACCATTTTGGTGTTCGAGGTGTAAAAGTGATAGAATAGGATCGATAAAGGCTGAATTCTTTGTATCTAGATCTTCCAAGATACAATGATGATCTGGCACTGCTGTCTACTTATGCTAGGAGTCTAAGACTCATGCTGTAACGGCTCGCATACGATCTACTCCGTCTACTACCAACTTCCGGACTTTTCCTACGCACTCAGCATACAGGTTTCTGGATTCTCAGCGACTGGGTTAGATCTCACAGTGCTTCGGACCAGAGACATGTCCGTGGCTGCTCCTCCTGTACCTCCGGCAATAGCAACGATGGCCACGGTGGGCAGTCTTTGGTGTGGGCTACTGAGTGGAATGGTGAGTTGTTTGGTGGTATTCAGTTGGATATACGTAGAACAATTGTTTAGTTTTTGCAAACGTTTGGCAGAACTAGAAGAGATGAAATAGGAAGTATATACCATGACCTCTGGACTATCTCTTCCGTCTACGGTGTGACAGAGAGTATTTCCAGTAGATCAAAGAAATAACAGAATGTAACCCAGCTAATCTGAAGATTAAATCTCATCATTGTTGTCACCCTTTCGCACCATTGTTGACATGCTGACTCCCCATACAGGGAGCAAGGTACAATGAGAATCCGGCTTCAGCTCCTCCCATCATCATCACAGCAAAGAACAACAGAGCCACATTAAGGGTTAGTGGCTGGGACCTTCAGGGAGGTGAATCGCCAAGTCTTGCCGCCATCGGGGCTCGACATCTTTCCACCGGTGGCGCCATACTGCCAGCCTCCGGAGCGTCCAAAGCTTGAATCAGCCTGGCTCAGGGTGATGGAAACATCCTCCCAGCCTTATCCAGGGTTAGTCATTCTATAATAGGCCATCCGGGTTGGCAATGAAGATTGGTATAAAACCTACTGTGGGCGGGAGCAGTGGCACAAGTGCCAGCTGCACACTCGACAGAGATGTAAAAGATTTCGCCGTGCTGTCCTTGGCCTACAAGGTACCGTTAGCTTATAGTTTAGACCTGACTTGATAGACATACTGGTAGAGACGCTGGAAACCAGTTTGTCGTTGATATAGAGGTTCTGGTCCCACATTTGCGTCTGAGAATTCAGCTTGTCTAAGGTCAGGTCAGTCCAGCTCCTCGGGGGTATGAATATGCTCCACTAACAGTGCGTCTTGATGCGAGATCCTGGGGCGGCCTTGACTGGTTTCCCGTTTTTGGGCTCAGAACCTTGTTGTAGTTTCGTGTTAGGCTTGTCTACAAGTCACTTGGCCACTATCGTTGAGTGCTCACTCTGATTGACTAGAGCATAGGCAAAGTTGCACCACTGCTTTCCGAGGTTGGTGCAATATCCGAGACTCCCAATGTCAGCAGCATGTCTGTAGGGGGTTTAGGTCACATGGTACCCTTGAGGAGCATTCTCGGTAACACCCTGAAGAAAAGAAGCCTGGTTCTCCATCATGATGGCACTCCACAGAGCGACATCTCCAGTGATGGGGTTAGGGACATCTCCGACAACAAGCGTGGCAGAAGCCTCCTGGATGTAGGCACTGGTCTTGGCATAGAGGGTAATCACATCGAGGTTGGCGATGGATTGGTGAATGAGGGCCGAGAGGGTGGTGAGAAGAGCAGTAGTCTTCATCCTGGTGGGCAGTTTGGTAGAATAGGAACGAGATAGAAGGTGTAAGTCGCAAAGTCTAATCAATCAAGTAACTAAAGAATCTACAACAAACGGTGTCTTGTATTAATATAGGGTTGAACCAACCCCTGAGCACCAGAGAGACTGAATGCACGGTCGTTGTTTCAGTGGCCTCGTGTTATTGTAACAATAGGGCGCAGGTTGGTTAATTTAAATGGCACGGGCTATTCTGAAACTCCAGCTTGGCCAAATCCACCAGTCATTGCCGGGAAATTCGAGCATGGGTTTCGTTCCCCGGCATTTGTCTGCCGTTGGCATTGCTAATGCTAACTCGCCAGTCGAGGAAAAATATTCCTCCTCTGCCAATGAACCCGAAATATCGTAAAGGATACGATAAATCGCTATACGAGCATTGCTCCAGGACACACCATATTAAGCATTGTAATCCTTGATACATTGAGATTGATTTCAGGGAGCGTCCAAAATCTTGGTGACCATCATGGCCATGGCTCAAGAATGGACCACTACATGGCTCTTGACGGACCTCTCACGTAAGATTGCCGGTTCAGTCACGCAATACATTCATCATATCTACCTCAGTTCTCAATACGTCCACTAACGCATACCCCGTCTTGCCGCCCCTTGCAACCACATTTCCCTCAGAGGGTCTACATGGTTGGCTATCCAACACGACAAACGCGTGACGAGTGCTCTCCTTTCGAATTTCTGGGACCAATTCATCTAAGAAATGGGGCGAGTAAAAGTGAGACGTATCCAGCTTTGCTGCCTTGGCCTTGATGAGACCAAGTTTTCCCTGCTCCAAGTTCGGCGCCATGCCATCAATGGCATCAAGAGTAAAGCTATCAACGTCAAAGGGATCTTCGCGGATCATGCGTCTGCTCTGCAAGATTTCGACGATCTGTGACTCTTCAGGGGTCAAGTGCTTCTTGATATCTTCAAGCTCCATTGCCGTTGTGGCTTCGCCTTGTGCACAGACTCCGAGCTTCTTAAGTTTCTCGAAGAGAGCGTCCTTCTTCTCTGGAGGGACGTAGACAAAGGCTCGGAAGCAGAACTCGAGTACCTTTGAGACCTCGGTTTGGGATAGCGTCTTTCTGGAATCAGCATCAACAGTTCCTTGTATGACTACATCACATTAGCTGGAACACTTGGGATGACTCTTAGAGTCTTACTGGGCCGAAGCAAGTCAAAGGCTCTCTGGAAGCCTTCCTCATTAATGTCTTGGAGCATTGGCTCATGTTGGGTTCGAATCTGCTTTGTAGCACTGCTCACAGCCAGGAAGAAGCGAGTGTAGCTCTCAATGGTCTTCTTGGAATGCCAAGCACCAGCCTTCTCCTCATCGTAGTCGCCTCTAAGCGAAGATAAAATCGTGACTGCCGCGGAGAGACCACCAGTGATAGCCAGATGAACACCCGAAGAAAACAAGGGATCAATGAAGCATCCCGCATCCCCGCAAATACGGGCATTGGGCAGATGGTACGTGGAGGCAGTGTAAGAATAGTCGGATGCTGACCTGATTTCAGAAACCAGCTCGGCGCCCTCGAGCAGTTCCTTAGTCTTGGGAGCCAGCTCGAGCACCTTCTTGTAGAATTCCAAGGTTGAGGGTCTACCAGTTGCCTGCCTCTTCTCGGTGGCCATCTTTTGATCCTGGACTATGCCAACGGATCGGGTACCATCGTGCAGGGGCATGAACCAGGCCCAACCACTAGCATCTGTTCACAGTCAGTCCCCGTTCATAGATAATTTCCGATAGCCATACCCTCAAGACCCTCAAAGTACGGTGAGCCCTCCATGTGGGTTCCCACACCATACAACTTGTCGCTTTTCCAGTAGCCCCAGTTGGCGACGTTCTTGAAGTTTGGGTTAAATGTTCTGTTGTTCAGGTACTTGGTGCTCACGATACCGCGTCGTCCACTGGCATCGACGAGATACTTGAAGGAGACTGATCCAGAGGTTCCATCTTTTCTTGCCCATGTCGCAGACACAGGGCGGCCAGGCTGATTAGCCTTGACATCGCCTGCTGTCTGTTCAAACTGAATAGTGTCGGCCTTGGTCTCGCCAAAGATGTGAGCTCCACAGGCACCAGCATGTCTAAAGAGCAACTCATCAGACTCTGATCGGAGCAAGTTCCAGGCATAGCCATCAGGGCCACCTGCCGCAAGAAAGTCTGTGTCTAAAAGGAGGTCGGCTAGGCCTGATGGCAGGGTGCAAAGGTTACTCAAAAGCATCAGGCTGACCCTGGGCCAGTCGGAACACGGCTCCGTTCTACGGGCAAGTCAGCACATAACCCATCGTTTTCTCCAAGATGTCCCCATACCTTTTTGAAGAACCCGTACGCATTGAACTGATCATCAAGGTCGATGAACTTGAAAAAGTGGCGAAGTGACGGCAACGTGCTCTCTCCAATGTGGTATCTGTTGCCCAATAAGCACGAAAACGCTGTGAGACTGCCAACGAGCTCAATAATGACTAACCTAGGGAACCTGTCGGCCTCGAGAACAACTGTGTCAATTCCCTCGCGCGCCAAGCAACAAGCAGCGTAGGAGCCCGCCGGGCCACCTCCAATAACCAACACAATACATTCTTGTGGGACTGCCATGTTAGATAAGAGATGTGATAAATTGACTGAGAATGAAGATAAGAAGAAATCGATGCTATTCTTAAGAGGACATAAGATTAAGCTGTATTTGTACCTCGAGCAGCTCGCCCAAATAACGTAGAGGCGAGTCTTCTCTGTCCCCAAGACCCTGAGGAAACCAGCAGAACGTTTGCATGTTTCATTTGCCCCCCACGTCTTATCCTCTTTCCAACTCGGACTGAGCGCCAATTGCAAGATCTCGCCTCATTCTGACGGATCACTTGCAGGTATGTGACGTATATCTGGTTCATGTATCCGATTCAATCTAGATCCGGATCGAGTTGCTGTAAACTTGCATGAGATCTACATCGGGCCGGACCGGACCCGCAGCGGAAAGAAAGGGATTCCATAGAGTGGGCTCTGCAAGAGTAATCACTTGCGAGCCTCCCGGAGAGTGGCCGCTTGACTCTATTGGTAGTCATCCCTGTATGTCTTGATCCCCTCGTATCCTCTCCAAGCATCTTCCGGGGCCAACCATTGCCACTCTTGATGCTCCGCTAGCAGACTTGTTGAGACGCTTCTGTTCCCACCTATATGCTCTCCTATTCATTCTTGGCCCCTCACTATTGGATCACGTTAGTTCTCATATTGCCTGGCCCACAGGAAAAATGTCTTGTAAGTTGTTGGGAACCGCGCCTTGGCAAACAGTTTTGTCAGTTATGACGCGCCCGACATGCAGAAAGGGTCTCTTGCAGCTAGACCCTATGACGCGTCCAAGACGGTCCCAACTCGACGACCCTAAAGGACATGGGGCAGATATGGGGACGCGACTCGATCTCAACTTGGCTAGATGTCAGAGAAACATGTGCGTGGAGGAGGCCCGAACCGACGTATGAACCGGTTTGGTGATCAAGATATTTGATGGCTTCACTCAGTGGACCCTTCAACTGAGACATGAACTGAGAGCCAATCGGAGCCACGGGTACGGCGACATAACTATCATGACGTGAGGTAGGCGGTGCAAAGTTCGGAATTGGATCCTCTGACAGGACCACACCCTCGTGGACTATACGGGTTACTTCGGAAGATGAAAAATTGATCGTTTGACTCATGCCTAATGCCCACTGCAGGATCGGGCTGACTCGAGAAGTCCACAAACCCTGTTTATTCATTCAGAGATGTGAGCTTCTTCCAGACAAGATCAAAGAGGTCCTGTATGACTACAATGACAGAATACTACTTGTGGTTTGATGTCAGGAACAAGGTCCTATTCTTCCATCCCAAGTCAGCAATACAATCACCATGAACACTGATGAGTTTCGTACGCAGGCCAAGGAGGCCATCGACCAAAGTGAGTCACAGATATTTAATCAAGTTTCAACTCTAACATTGCATCTTCAAGTCGCCGACTATCATGAGTCAGTTCCATCTCGTCCTGTGGTCTCAACGGTTGAGCCAAACTACCTTGCCCCTTTGATCCCGACATCGGCGCCTCTTGACCCAGAGCCTTGGTCCGACATCACAGCCGACATACAGTCTAAGATTATGCCAGGCATCACACACTGGTCCAGTCCCGGTTTCATGGCTTTTTTCTGCTGCACAAGTAGCTACCCGTCCGCCATTGCCGAAATGTGGTCAACAGCCTTCAACGGCGCCCATTTCAACTGGGTCTGTAGCCCTGCTATGACAGAGCTCGAAGTTATTGTCATGGATTGGCTTGCAAAATTGATTGGGCTCCCTGAGTGTTTCCTTTCAAAGGGCCCAACGAATGGGGGAGGTGTGATTCACGGCTCGGCGAGCGAGGCTATCTTGACAGTCATGGTTGCTGCGCGGGACAAGTTCCTCACCAGCAAGACGGCTCACCTGTCTGATAAAGATCCTGATGCTAAAGACGATGAGCTTTGGCGCCTGAGAAGCCGCTTGGTCGTCCTTGGTAGCGCTGGGGCTCATTCTAGTACTAAAAAGGCCGCTCAAATCCTTGGTGTTCGGTTCGTCGCCATTCCAGTCGACGAGGAAAAGGGATTTGCTATGCAGGCCAGTGACCTGTCCCATGTCCTCGATGACCTTGCCTCTCGTGGTCTGGAACCCTTCTTCATCACGGCTACTCTGGGCACCATCGAAGTCTGTGCTGTCGATGACTTTCCTGGCATTGCCAACGTTCTCGCACCTCGTGTAAACACCCCAAATGAGATATGGGTTCACGTTGATGCGGCGTATGCTGGCTCTGCTCTAGTACTCGACGAGAACAAGCCTATCGCAGCCACTTTCGAAACCTTCCACTCGTTCAACTTTAACCCCCAAAAGTGGCTTCTGACGACGTTTGACTGCTCCGCTCTCTGGGTGCGCAACCGTTCACATCTTATCAAATCGTCCCTCAGCGTCAAGCCGCCGTACCTACAGGACCAGCTATCGGATGATGATCGTACTGTCGACTATCGAGACTGGTAGATCCCTCTTGCTCGTCGTTTTAGGTCACTCAAGCTTTGGTTTGTCATGCGTGCTTATGGCGTCCGAGGGCTGCAGGCCCATGTACGGCAAGGGATCCTCCTCGGCGAGTCATTGGAGGCAAAAACTACGATCTCGGCCTGATCTCTTTTCCATCATGACCCCTTCTCACTTTGGCCTGTTGACATTACGCCTATGCGCAAGCAGCACTGAACAACCTTATCAACAGTCGCACAGAGCCTCTCTGTGAAAGGATCAACAGTGGAGGCCAGTTCTTCCTGACTGGAAGAACTGTTAGTAGCAGGTTTGCCATTTGAGTCTGCACTAGCGGTGCCTCGGCAAGTGAAGAGCATATCAAAGAGTTGTTCAACCTTTTGGTAGGGGAGACTGAGAGCATCATGGAGGGAGAATCATTGTAACAACTATAGAAAGAGAAGATTTACTCGTCGCGTCATTGCTGGGAAATTCGACACACCAAGGTCATAGTGTAATATACAACACCTGGTTCAACGTGAAACTTAAAGACCAGCAAGCATCATTGTAGGAATAAGGGAAAAGAAATAACCATCAGAGTGAGCCAGAGCAACGATTATCAGACCAGAAGGAGATCCATTTTGGCCCTCTTCACAATATCCAGATTCACAAACAGCTCAGTCTGATCCCTCGGCCTCCATATTAGCCTTAGTGTATTCACAGCCGTGCCTAGAGAGCCCCACGGGAATACCAACCCTATTCTCCGGAACCTGTCCACGATCCAGGTCTGTCGATGCAAGATTACAGCCTCAGCACCAGCCACAAAACCGGCCATAACGTTGAATGAAAATTAGGATCATCGTCAGGAATAGAGTTCACGTGGAAAACCAGGTCTCGTTCAATAAAATCTCAGAGATTACATGGTATCATGCCATGGATAGATGGGATGGCGTGGAGGATATATAAGCAAACCGAAAGCTGGTGAGCAGCCCCTGCATGTTTCCGGCGCTGAATGTTCATAGGGTGTCGCTCAATCGGAACGCAAGAGGTGTTTACTGCCCAGGAGTTAATGTCAAATGACAGGGCAGTATTGAAAAGATCAAGTCCTGCTTTCATCACATCGCCAGCGGTTTCGTCGTCAGCAGCCTCATTGAAGAGCCGTGCGGCAGTCGCGAGTAACTGCAATATCCCAGCAGGACAGCACATGTAGCTGTTCAGAGAGGCTTTTTCCAGGAGAGTTGACTTGCTCTGGGTGATCGTTGCTAGGAGGCCAGAAAGAGGATCTTCCACCAAGGACTGCACAAACGCAGAATAACTAGCCAGATGCAATCAGCACAATACAAAGACACGTAGATGTGAATACGGACATTATAAGATCCGATATGACAAACTTTTCCAGACTTTCTTCCTCTCGCCCGACAGGGGGGGTATGTAAAAACAACTGGATAGCACCCTCCAGATGAGGCTTCCAGCTGTGCCTCCCAGACTCGATAAGTTCAATATTGATGAGAAGCAAAATTGTCGTGAGAAGCACAATCCTCTCACAAGACTGAAGGTTCTGGATGGCCATTTATAAAAGCCTCAGGCTTCTCTGTCTGGCCTGGAATGGATGCATCAATGCTCGATGTGATGTTTCCACAGAGCCGTCCCAGTCCACTGAAGGTGAGGTAGAGGCGGTTTCGCCAGGTAAAGGTGCTTTCAGAAAATGCGACATGTATGCAGATGCGGCCGCTATTATCGCTTGCTGTAATATGGGGTGGTGTACTCCCATAGGTACCAGATGGCGAAAGGGGTTGCGGTTTGGCAGGTCGGCGACAACAAGATCCTGACAAAGCCGATGGGCGACTGCACGAAATCAGTATTAAAAGTTACAGTTGTATTTCATCCACTGGGAATGCTCCCTGAGAGCTGGCCAGGTCGAGCGAATGTACCAAGGCCCCATGTCAAAGGGTTCAAAGTGACAGCAGTCCCCCTTATGCCGACTCTTGCCAGCTAACAGCAACATCAGTAGATTTCCCCCCATTGAAACCACCCTCCTCATATGTGCAACAGCTGACTGCAACGACTGAGTCCATGAGCGCCTCAAATTTGATAAAGTCTCCTGCCTTGCTCGAGTCCATCCAGCCTTTCATGGTGTAGTAGGGAGTGTTTTGGAACGTGTTGAAAGGATCGTGAACCTGGTACCACTCAAACTTTGCCTGCGGATCTACGTTCTCCTGCAGGTAGGTTTTCATAGCTTGTCGATAGTGGCGTAAAGTCCGGGATTGCATGCCATGTATTGCATATCGTGGACTTTGACCCTGTCCTCAACAACCTTGAACATCTTTCTGGCATGGTTCGAGGAGAGAAGCTGGCCGACAGCAGGGGGTGCTTGGCTGCCTAAGAACCATCTTGTATAAGATGTAGAAAATGCTCGCATGAGGTGTCGGACGAGTAAGGGGCACGCCAGGCCATCATATCAACGACCTGCTCTCCGTGGACATCGATAATGCGAAACCGGCACCCAGCCTTGACGGCGAAGGCAAAGCCGCGACGTGCAGGGACGATGCGGGTTTTGGCAGCACCAGTGAGGGCGTTGACGACGGAAGAAGCCATGTCTAGATTGGGTCGACCACTTGATCAAGTGGTTGACGGTATTTGAAAGCGGGATGGGTAGATGAGTTGTGATGTGAGTCAGGGGCGATTAGGGACAGGAATGTCAATGCTTATGCGAACTCTGTGATCCAAAGCTCTTACTCGAGTGGGATACGGATGGGCATTTATACTCCAGTTCCAGCACCATGGCACAATGCCATTTACCCTCTCAATCCGACGACGGTTGATGGAATTCTGGGCGATTCGAGCCATGCCGTCCCTACCTATGGATCACAACACGGGTATCCACTCAACAGAACTGAAAGCTGTGGTTCGGCGTCAATGTGGTCAAGTCGTACTTGGTCATGGAAAATCGCTCTGCCCTTGTATCTGACCTTGTTGTTCGTGAGGCGTCCAGACTCGCTGCGGACCATCAGTGGATGGGCTATGAAGCTTGATCCCCGCAGTTTTGATTTCAGCGTTTTGTAAGGGGGGTGGGGACATGTCTTGGCTTCCCCTTTTGGCAACAGGGCCTTTCCAAGTCCTCACGAATCTGATGATGTACTCCGCATCCCACCATTTTAATTAATTGAACCCTTCTGTATGCTGTATGACTCTAGAACGAGACGAAATTTCACTTCTCGGCCCTTCTCAAGTGATGCCGCGTTGCTCCCACTCGCCCGTTAAAACCAAGTCTGGATGCGTCATGTGCTTGACACAGTTGTGCTACACTGCACCTTCAAAAGGCCCGGCTGTCGGATTCCCACAAGTATCCAGCGTCAAGATAGCCAGCAAAGTATATCTAGAAATAGCGTCATCTATACTGAAGACGTCGGATATTGAATCATTATTTGAGTGTTCGCCAGTGGTTCTGAGCGATTACGCGGTGTTCGATTGTGCTTTGTCTATGTCTTCTCTAAGCACTTGACATCTCGCGGAGAGGCTGTCGATATGGCAAGAGCTGACTACCCCTTACTGGATACTTTGAGAACCTTGAATCGGCTTTGCCAGTCAACATGATGGATTGGTCTTGTCAAGGCGTTGTGTGCGGAACGACTAGCGAGAAGTGTCAATACCAACACGGGATTCACTCGGCGGTCAAGAGAGTCAATTCAACTTTCGCCAACTGTAGTCAAGCCATTCGGACCAACCAACCAGTTGAACTCCTACCCGCACTGTCAATTATTTGTCGAGTGTAGATCTTATACCCAGACAAGAGCAAGCCACGTCCAGGCGGAGCCAATGTTCTTGGAGAGTGAAATCGGTAGTACGGATATACGGATATACAAAACAGGTATGCGTTTGCTGGAAACACAAGAGCCAGTCTTGGACCGTTTGCTATAGCAATAATTATACCTCGTTGAAGAGATACTTGAATATCTATCACTGAAGCAGCTTGTCGATTTGTCGCTTCATCAAATACTTAGACTGATGGATCAGCGGGAACTGTTGTGAGGGAAGTGCCCGTTCTGGCGCCGGATATACAAGGTGAATGTTATCTTTTCTTCTATTTTGACAGTGGCGGCTACCAGTAACGTCGTATTACTTGCACAGCCATTGCGGTGATTTCTTGGTCTAGAATGAGTCACCATTCCAATAGTGCTTACACAGCCCCACTCAAGACTGCAACGTCGTGCTACGGTGAAAGAATTCTCATTAAATATCACTTCATGTTCATGACCATAGTGCTTGTAACTTTGCAGCTGAAGCATACCATTACGACAATACAAACATGGCCGAGACCGTTCCACAGAACAAGCCGACCGTAGTCTGCGTCTTGTAAGCTGAGTCTTCCCTTTCATTGCAGCCTAGTCGCTGAATGATGCAGTTGTGGTGCCGCAGCTGGTTACAACGAAATCCACCTCGAGGCCGCGCGCTCTTTGGCTCGTGAGTTCCACAAGAACAATGTCCATCTTGTGTATGGCGGAGGCACGGTTGGGCTGATGGGAGAACTTGCCAAAACGCTCGTGTCCCTCTCTGGTCCAGAAGCCGTCCATGGCATCATCCCCAAAGCTCTGATCCGAGTCGAAGAAGGTTATCAAGACAAGGAGTCTGACTCCGGATCAAAGAAAGCTGAGCGAACCGTGCAAAACAATAAGACCGAGTTTGGGCGTGTCACCGTCGTTCCCGACATGCACAGCCGCAAGCAGTTGATGGCGAAACAAGTCTTTGAGGGAGGACCGGGATCGGGCTTTATTGCTTTGCCTGGCGGCTTTGGCACTATGGAGGAGGTGATGGAGATGACGACATGGAACCAGCTTGGAATCCACCATGTTGGTGTTCTCTTGTTGAACATCAACGGCTACTGGGACCATCTCGTTGCTTGGGTCAAGAATGCAGTTGACGAAGGGTTTCTTTCGAGTCAGAACGCCAGCATCCTGATACAAACGGATGATATCGCTGCTGCTCTGGAAAAGTTGCGAGCCTATCAGGTCAGCGGCGACAGATTGGAACTGAGCTGGGGCGACGAGTAATCTACGTCGATCCCTTTATCATGTTCCCAACTCCACTCTATTTAATTTCATTTTACTGTCATGGCCTTTATTACTAAGAGGTGTGTGTCATTTTCCTAATGCCACTTCTCTATGAATCTAATAATCGGCATGTTTGTCGAGACTAAGTGGCCCAAGGAATGATGTGCGAGACAATGTCATGACTCTTCGATGAAAGCCATTGAATCTTGGTTTTTGCCCTCTATACTACGTGGATCATTGATACTCCACTGACTATTTTAAAAAAAAAATCCAATTGCAACATTCATCAAACCTTTCGCCGTCAAAAATGACAGAAACATGCACGCTGCCTGTTACACCCTAACACCCAAAGGAGCTACCCGAGACTTGAGGCACTTTCGTAAAAGTTTATGGCCAGCATATTTCTCAGCTACACCTCTGTTTTATCCAAGGTAAGAACAATATTTATTATGGCAATTTAGTTCCGGTCTCTCTATAAACCAAACAGTTGTACCATTAACGTTATTTGACGTCGATATATTTGGAGATGGTTGCTGTAAGTCCTGGCTACCAAACGCCTTTACGACCAGATTGACAAAGTTCTTGCAGCTTAGAAGGATTACAGACCGGAATTAATTGAGATTGTACCGATAGAGAAAAACATAAATGAGAACGGAAGATAAAATTAGTATCCTGTAATTCTCCCAAACGTGTCAAGGCTCTACCGTTTTCATCTCGCTGCTAGAGCACTATCTTGGGCTCTAGCTAGATTGGTGAAACAATGCTAGTGTTGTATCAGGTATAAAGATTCCAACTTTCCAGCTTCAAAAACTTTGGCGAGCGGCGCATCCTGCTCAAACACGGCATAGCGCCCCTTGTTCCCAGCCTTGTTTTCACCGCCGTGCACATCATGGCAGCTGAATCAGGGAACGTGGATGCCAAGATGTTACTGGAACAGTGAATTCTTAGCTGATTGGCTGGTCGAGGTTGTCAGATATTCTGATGTCATTCCATTCTTCAGATCGTCGCCTGAATTACCCAAAACAGCACAAACGCAGCGCCGCTCAGCCTCCACCATGATGTCCCCAGATTCACTGCCTTGTCAATGCCTCGCAGGATTATCGTTCGAGATCAATCCGATCGGATTATCCAACGAGACTAGTTGATCAATTACTAAGGTTGACGAATCCAGGCGCTCTAGAGAACTGGCATACTGCATGATGATTGCATGGCTGTGCCTGAATTGTTGCACAAGGTCTCAGCTGGTGAATGGAAATGAATATATATGTACTCGAGAATACGCATATTCCATAGTTGAACTTCTCTAATACATCTACAAGATTATATCACCAACGCCTTGCCTTTATCATGTGGCGCTTCAATCCCCTTTTCTTCCTCTTCTCCTACCCCCTCGCTGGGGCCATGCCCAATGCTCATCTCTCAACAAGAGACGTTGAAGGTCTAGACTGGAAGCCGTGTGACCTGCCTTTGCCAGAGGCAGTCAAAAACGCTACCACAGTCCCAGTCGACTGCGCTACACTTGAAGTTCCTCTTGACTACACCAACCCCAAGTCAAACAAGAAGCTACAATTGCAGCTTGTCAAGGTCAATGCAAAAGAGAAGCCCGTCAAGGGAAGTGTTATCTTCAACCCTGGAGGTCCTGGGAGTAGTGGTGTTGAAGAGGTCACACAAAAAGGCCCACTCTATGTCAAGTAAGTCAGGCTCAGATATCCCATACTTGATCGCTAATAAGCGACCAGGACTCTCGGTGGTCACTTTAACGTAATTGGCTTCGATGCACGGTAAGAATTCCTCTGGAGCATGATTGAATCACCAAAACTGACAACTCTGTAGAGGCACAGGCCGAACCTTGCCATTCATTTGTGACACCGGAAGCGCCGCCCCTGACACTCCTGAATCAACAAAACTATCCCGCCGCGACAACAAGTACCCTCACCCCTACTCCGACGTACCACCATCGCCACTGTACGATCTTCTCAAGTATCAGGTGTGGGAGCTCAGTGAAGAGTATGCCAAAATCTGTGTCGAGCCCAACAAGGAGAATGCCACCTTCTACGGAACAGCCTTCGTCGCCAGGGATATGCTGGCCATTGTTGATGCTCTCAAGGAAGATGGCCTCCTTAGGTTCTGGGGACGCTCTTACAGTACCATTTTGGGACAGACCTTTGCTGCCATGTTCCCTGACCGTGTTGGCCGTATGCTTCTCGATGCTGTGGTTATTCCCGACGAGTACTACTCTGGTACCTGGTTCAGCGCCCTTTCAGGAGTGGAATCGACAATCTTGCGATTCTTTGAAGAATGTGTCGATGCTGGTGTTGATTATTGCCCTCTCGCCAACTTCACAGGCCCAGATACCACCGCCCAAGGCCTCATGGATGCTACAGTCGAGGTCTGGGACGAACTCGCCAAGGACCCAGTCTTGGTATCAGAGGAATTTCCCATCCCTTATCTCACACCTGGAAACGTCAGCGTGCTACTCGCCAGCAAAGCCCAGATCCACTCGGCACTCTACGCCCCAGCGTCCTTCACTGGCATGTTTCAGGTGCTCATTCCTCTTCTAAACCGCAACTTTAGCATGTGGACCGACCCTGTGAAGCCAGAGACACCCGAGGAGCAAGAAGAGCCATGGAACATTTCCCAGGGGCCCAACTTTCACGCGATTGGGTGCTCGGATTCCACCTTCAGAGCTAACTCTCCAGAGGATATGTACAATATTGTCGAGGGTCAGAATGCGCAGAGCTCATTCGGCGAGATTCTTGGCCCCAAGACATGGATGTGTGCTCGATGGCCCGTGTTTGCTGCCGAGAGATACGAGGGAGAGTGGCAAGGATTGAACACCAGCTTTCCGCTTCTGTTTGCCAATGGCCGATGGGACCCAATCACGCCTCTCATTGGTACCTGGAATGCTGCATCGAGGTTCAACGGAAGTCGAGTGCTAACCCATGAGGGCTTTGGTGTAAGTCATCTTATCGTCTCTTGAGTTGAGTGAAAAGCTAACAGACCCAGCACGGTGTAATGAAGCAGCCGTCCGACTGCACCAACAAGGCGATCCGAGCGTACTTCCAAGATGGTGTCCTGCCTGAGCTGGGCACCAAGTGCAAGCCAAATAAGAGTTCTTTCGAGCAGTTTGCAATTGATCTGGAGAAGGGAGTTGGGACCGCGCCATGGGGGAATGAGTAAAGCGCATCATCTGTGGATTATTGGCATGATTTTGAAAGAACATGATTTGTACTATTATTCCATGGCCGATTATGCATACACATTTTACTACAGCACAAATATTGCGTTTGACTATTACGTGAAGCTCAACTTGAGAGCCAGAAAACTCCTACATGGCCATGTTTATGGTAGTAAAACCTGAAAATGAAATCCACTCATCAACAAAATCGTGTCCCCAAACGCCATAATACTGAACGCTCACTGTGAGTATGGCCCCTACCACTGGCTAGGACCAACCTCGCCATTGTACAACTGATAATCATACCCAGAAGCCGCCAAGAGCTGATCATCACTGGCTCCCGTACCAGAGTCGTCATGAATATAGTCTTCAGCATCAGCAGCGTTGTACCCGTACGGCTGGTAATATGAATGCTCGTAGACTCTAGGGTCAACACCTGTGCTCTCCGTAATGGACGGGTCCTCTTGTCGGTGCATCACCTCCTGTCTTTGCTCATCGCCTCTGCGTCCCTTTTGATGCTTTCTTGAGCTTTTCTTGCTGGACGATGACTTTCTGCTCTGCCGTGAGCTTGAGCTGCGGGGTTCGGGCATGGGATAGATCCAGATCAAGAACTCCTTGTCTCCATCGGAAAGCTCAGTATTCATAGGGATCACTGTCCCGCCTTGGGCGTCTCCTCGTTCCACTGGGTAATGCATGATGGACTTGGGATCATAAGCATTGCGTATTGTTGTGGAAGCCTTGTCCAGTTTGCGATAGTTGTGTGTGACCTTTTGAACATCCCATCCCCTCCTGCCCTGGACTATTCTGTAGTTCCACTTGATCGGGCAGTCAGGATGAGCGTGCTCATGCTCCATGCCTAGAGCGTGGCCAAACTCATGCAAGACATCAGCCTGTCTGTGTTTTCGCCGATCCTCTGCGCTTCGCTGGTCGTTGTGATGCATGTTCAACGTCATGGTCGATTCTTGTAGGTGTCGCTCAGCGTCAGTGCCAATACACGAGCTCGAGACACCGTGAGAGATGAATGAAACGCGGATATCGGAGGCTCTGGGGTCATCATCCTCGAGGAAGACGAATCTGATTCGCATACGAAGGGTGTTGTAGTGTTCCTCGATGAGAGACTTGACTTTGTCCTTGTCGGATGAATGGCCGTTAAGGAAGCATACATAGAGGAAGTACTTGTCCTCGGGCCACAATCGATGGTTCAAGCCAGCCGCATTTGCCCACTCCCCGACAGCAGTGTCTGGGTCGTCATCATCATTACCACCAGTCCAGGACAAGCCTAGATCTGGCTGCTGATAGCCATGACCGGAGGGGAACTGATCAGTGTAATCTGAAGGCATGTCTGCAACTTTCAGGCGACAATAGGGCATTGAAAAAGATGACCTTGGTAAAGTAGGAGTAGATCTCTGCTACCAATGAGACAGAAATTGCAAAGAGGTGGGAAAGTGGCGAAGAGAGTGCTTGTATAAATGCCGTTAGACAAGTGCAACGCATCGGTTGCCTTGGGGGAACCGTTGGGCACAAACAACGTGGCTCGGTTATCATGGTTCGCCCTACTACAAGAGGCAACGGCATATCGAGCCTGCTGCCTACAAGGCGAGCGACAAGGCCGAACCGGAGGCTACGAGGAATCAGCTCGTATAGCTTTCGATCAAATTGATCACTCGGCGTCCACTGACTCTCACTACGGCCAAGTACTATAGACTGAAGCGATATTATCCTCACTTAATAGAGGCGATGAGACTAATTAGTTCAATTTATCAACTTGGCTAATTTCCTGACCACGAGCCAAGCGTTGAGTCGAAGAGGCAGCCTAGCGTGGAGTAATGGATTGAGGCATTTATGCGCGTCGGCGGAACGCTGAACCGCCATCACAACTGAGGGATTTGCCTAGACATACCATAGGCTCTGAATGTTCCTCCTCTGCATTCTGTGATGTGTCTCAGACCATAGCAGCACTTGAAAAGGTCCACTTGAGATGAACTTGGGCCGTCTTTTCCTACATTGACCTGCCTGACTACACCATTTGCACTCTTCTGATGAGTTGTTCTCTCTGGGTGTCTGCAGATGGCCAGCACACTGACTCAGCGCCACCATAGCCAAGGCTGTTCGGAATCCATGCCTTCGTCCCGGTTGGCTAATATCCCAATATCCACCACGAACACTCGGCGCGTGACTTGGGAGGTAAAGTCACAGTAGTGGCTATTGGCCAATGGGTTTGCCGACGGTATTTTCAACCGTCACTCGTACCCGTGCTGACTCTGATGCGGGATGCGTGGGGGGCAACCTCTTCGAGTTGTGGGTGAGGCCTGTTGCACAAATGTGCTACGAATCAGTTGCCTTGTTTGTCAAAGCGGTGAGGAAAGAGGGTGTGTTCGGGAGCAGGAGCGTTTAATTTAGGCATCAAAGGAGGTTTCACTGTCTCTGATGGAAACGATGACCATCCGTTCACCCGGGTTAGCATTGAGGATAGTGTTTAAAGAGTGATCAGATGGAAGATGATGAAAGAGACGATCAGCTCGCTACGTGAATATGAGAAAATGCCTCATTATTACTAATTTGTGACTTGATTCACAAAGCAACGATAACAAAAGGAACACCTCTTATTTCGATGGGCGTAGGCCTGAACAGTGAAGTACATGGCAAAGAATTCCTAGGGTTGCATTCGGAACATTCAAAGACGCACATGAGGATACAGAATAACCAAGGGGAAAATACATCGTGTTCTTGACTATCTGTGAGGGTTGAAATCCTGGGGTGTTCGAGTGCACCATGTCTAGACTTATCTTTTGTCCAGCACTGTTCTTGGTTTCCATGCCTTGCACTCAGGTTATATATGAGAGACATGAAATGAACCATAATTGTGCTATTTATAGTCTTTCGGCCCCCTATTGGTCAACTTGGAGTTTCTGTGCGACTCTTATTTGACGTCGTTGTTCTTACTCCATGTTCACTCCTGTTCCTTCACCGCCAACTGTATCTCCCAACCAGAGGCATTCACTACCACGCCAAGTTCATCACAGCAGACCAAAAGCAGGCCAGATCCGAAGCTGCACCGCTTCATTGTGTACCACCACCAACCTAACTCCATGCCAAAGGAGCGATCGGCGAACAAGGCACACATAACCTATCGTTAATCACCTTGAAGTACGCATGGGAGGTCATTAATCAAGCCTCAGCTGTCTCAACCACACACCATAGCATTATGCCAACGTATAATCAGAGATGGAAGAGAACTATAAGTAGCCCGGCAAGCGTCCGTTCTTCCAGCACCAATCTTCCTGCATGCAACTATCAACCTCACCAAGAAACGAGACAAGACAACCGAAACAACGACTAAAGGCAACATAGAAACAAACACTGCGTCCACTAAACGACAAACCACCATGTGTCGTAAACTCACCCTCGTCACATCCTGCAGTAAGTGCTGGTTTTTGATGAATACCAAATTTGAGGACGAGATCTGCGACCAGGCCAAAGGCAAGCTGGGTGGGTGCCAGTTTGGAATCCTAACAGATCGGATTGAGTACAATTCCATATGTAATCCCTGCTTTGAGAAGCAAAAGAAGAAGAGGGAAAAGGACAGGGATAACTGTCGTCTTTCTTAGGTATTTTCGGTGATGGCCTCTTTTGGAGAGGTGTCCTGACGATAACCCGAAGGAAAGGGGACAGACGTGAGGGCAGGTGCATTGGGGTCAAGTGAAGGTGTGGGCCTCTCCCTTGAGATGGAGGCCCAAATTTCTTTGTAGGATCAAGGGGTGGTCGCTCTGGAGTAGGTAGCTGACATTGCTATAGCGTGGTATTATGCCTCTTCGAGCAACGGCAACACCATCCAGGGGTGGGTAGAGAGGCAAAAACATCAATTTCGTACTACTCTAGCATCTCATCGATCTGAATTTCCTTGTATGTTATCTCATTCATGTGCCCAGCCCCTTCAGGCATCTCGACGCGATTGAATAAACTCAACGCTCCCTTTAACACTTGCCACTTTTACCAACGCCCATGTTCTTGCAACCCTTGGAGCAGTAACCCTTGTACTTGATAACCCCGTTCGTACCAGGCGCACAGTAGAACAGCGAGTTCTTGACGTGCGTCGGTCGGCGCAGATGCCTTGCTTGGTGGCGGCGAGGGCGTCTTCAATATCGTCGTAGTAGTTGCCTTGGCAAGATATCAGACAAAGGGCTCTACGGATGGAGAAATAAACTTACCGATATCCAGAAGAGAGCTACCGCAGTAGTAGAGGCTGGGCGTGCAGTTCCTCGCTGCGCCAAATGAGGCAAAGCAGGCCACGACGGCCGCAGAAAATGTAGCCACGTTGACCATTCTGACGACGTAAATGTGCAGGAAAGTCTGACTTGCAAGGGGTTGATAGAGGCCTAGAGATTTTCTTGGCAGCCAAAACAATCCGACGAGGAGGTTTTATAGCTTGACGCATCCAAAGCAGGAGAGTGAGAAACCCAAGCCTCAGCTACTTCAAGGGCGCCACGAACCTCTCGGTAGGTGTCTGATTGGCCCCGAGGTGCCGATTTACCCCTGGGAGCCCGACTCAGGTCTAATCTTGGTCCATGATTTGTTTGAATTGAGGAGCTGAAAAATGGTGGGCACTGTGGCGTGGTCGAGAACACATCGGCGCACCAAATGCTTACTGGTGTTTTACCCTCATCTCCGCCAAGACACGGATCTCGAATAGGGAAGCCAGGTTTCACAGAGATTCCCAATTCAGGACCAAGAGGTTCTAGGCGTGTCAGTCAAATTTCATTCTATTGGGGGCAAGACAAGCTGATACTCACGATCTTGTGGCTCAGTTAACCCATCAAGGGCCGGGCTTCAACTATAACAAAGACCACATTAGCTGATACTCACTATGAGGACACTAGGCTTAATAGCTTCACCGCTCATCGTCCAGCGAGGAGAGAATTCTGCTAAACTGGCGCTCTGAGACAGGCCAAACGGGATAGAATTGCCTTGAATCTAGATGACCTCATATTCAAGGGCGACGTGGAAGCTGTAGCTATAGGGATGAAGGCAAGAAGCCTCCAGCTAACAAGGATCACGAAACTCACGAGGCTACCACCCCACTATGCACAGTCGTGCTAGGAGTTCCCTCAATTGAGCACCCCAGAACTTACCCCGATGCCGAATGCAAGTATGTGAACCAGGCCATTTTATTCTCCGTTCCGACGCCGGTGGTGACTCCGTTCTGTCTTGGGGCAATCGGGATGATCAATCCTTGACTAAAATAATCATACAAAAGACCCCGGGAAAAAGTCCGACATCAACAGGTCATATGAACTGTTCACGTCCATGAGCGAGCCGCACAAATCCAACCTTGTTCATCAGACACACGAGGCTATAAACCTAACTCTCGAGTATAAAACATCACTTTTGGGCACAATCATTGGTGAGGAGCATCTCGGCGGACTCGGTCCTCAAAGAGGGAACGAATGAGTTGCACGCCCCCGAGAGTACGTCAAACTAACAACTCCCAGGTCAGAACTCTGCATGGCTGTCGAGTCCATGGTTTCCTACGCCTTCTTATACCGATTTCACGGATCAAACTTGTTTGCGGACAGGGCTGAGCTTGCTACTTTCAACGCCCTTCCCGCGGCAATGAGCCCTGATTGTGAGTACAGAATATCCAACCCAACACGTATTTGACACCCAGTTATTTTCTATATACTGATCTATGTAGGGTGGTCCCATCAATATGTCACCCAGACCAATCAGTCGTGGTCCCGAATTTTGACGGCAAACCCGTTCTTCAATGTTGTTTCATATTCCAATACCTTCGGGTTAGAGCCGAATTTTGTAAGTGTTAAGTAGAATTGTCAACACCATTCATGTGATTCTGACTTTTCAGCCTTACTGTACCGTCAATCATCCGCAGGCATATCCAAAATGTGTTGCATCGTCGTTTGTCAAGTACGGAGAAAATGGCCTTGTCCATATGCTACTCGGCCCATCGATAGTAGAGACCAAGGTCAGGAACAGGTCGGTTCAAGGTACGCATCATGGAAACAAGTGATCTCGCTCCACTAACTCTGGTCTAAGTGATATGTCGGGCTAACTATCCGTTCTCGGATCGACTGGACTATGAAATTCTGGCTGCCGTCGGTTTTGACTTTTATTTTCGAATCCCACAGTGGGTAGACGAAACCACGGCGCTGTGCCAATTTGCCGGCCAAAAACCCCAATCTATTTCGGCGGAAAATGGACTTTATCGCATGTCGATTCAGAAAGGCCTCCACAGATTATCTATACACCTCTCTATGACGACCACCGTTGCATACAGGAACAACACCGTTGGTGTGTATCATGACCCTCTGCTCTACGCCGCCAACATCAAATACTCCTCTTTATCCCATCAACCACTCAATTAGACAGACAGACAGCCCTTACCAACTTCTGAGGTGGATGCTCAAAGTCTCGACTGGGTGCTTAAACCCACGTCCAACTGGCGATACGCGATAGACCCCATGACAATTAAGCTTGGGAGGACCATTCCTTACGACACCAAGCTGCCAAATCCACTGTTCGATAGACACAACTTGTTACCGAGTCTCGAGGTCGACGCTTATCCTTTAAACTGGCCAGAGACGCTGGGTACTGCCGCTCTACCTCCAAAGCACGTGGAGGTTGAAAAGTCAGAGGTCACCAAGCTTGAGCTCATTCCGTTTGGGGCCGCCAAACTTCATATAGCTCAATTTCCAATTTTGAAATAGACCATAGATGCCCTTGAGGTATAGGTTGGTATGAAACATAGCCACAACTATAGGTATTAGGTATTATGTATCAATCCGGCCAAATCCACATCCAGAGCAGCATCTCTTCAAGGAACGTACATGTGTCATCAACACGAAACTTTTACATCAACCCCATGCAAGCGACAAAAGGAGTGAGTCTCATAGCCCATCACCATCAATTCTCATCACTTCCAGCCCCTTCAGTAGTGCTCCTTCTTACACTTCCCATCATGGCCACGACGATATCCCTTCTGGCAGACACAATAGTCTCCCTTCTTCCACTCGTAATCCGGACACTTGCACTGATCTCCATCTTTGATCTGGCCATGTGGACACTTGCAGTAGTTGCCCTTTTGGTTTTGTCCGTCGGGGCAGACGCACTTGTCTCCCTTCTTGACAAGCTCTCCAGGGCACTTGCAGTAGATTCCATCTCTGACCTGACCGTGGGGACACTTGCAGAACTTGCCCTTCTTCTCGAGGTCTCCGGGGCACTTGCAATAGTCTCCCTCCTTGAACTGAATACCAGGACACTTGCAGTACTTGCCCTGTTTGATCTGGCCATGAGGACACACACACCGCTTGCCCTTCTTGTGCTGTCCATCCGGACACTTGCAGTACTTGCCGTCCTTGACCTGGTCTCCGGGACATTTGCAATAGTCCCCGTCCTTGTACTGGCCATCAGGACATTTGCAGTACTTGCCATCCTTGATCTGGCCCCAGGGGCAGACGCAGTGATGGTGCTTGTCGTAGTGTTGACCGTAGGGGCAGTATTCGTAACCGCCGCGGGCGACTAGATCCTCATCGTCCCTTGCCTCGAGCTCGACGTCTTCGGGCTCTGGTTGAGGGATGGCTGCCACCGAAAAGGCACCCAGGAGGAAACCCAGGAAGAGATGTTTAAGAAGCATGTTGGTCGGCTAGTCAGGCGTTGATATTTGTCGAGGTGGTATTATAAGGAATGAGTTTGATGGTTGTCTCAAGAAAGAACAAGAGGATGTCCAGAGGTGTTTGCATCTCTGACTACCCTTGGGTGAAATAAGTGAATTGAGAATGTCAGAGGGTCTTTATGTACTATCGTGTTTGCTTCCATGACGGTACTCAAGTTGGTTCTTCTCAAGAACTTGATTCTGTGATTAAACTCGACACACACTCCGTCGCGAATCGGAGCACAATCATGCAGCTCGCGATTAGCCTCAGCTCGTATTCAGATCCAAACTCAAATCCCTCGACAACTCATAACCTCTCAGACACCGAGGCACACCACCCTCTCTTAGAGATAGAGTGGATTGCCGTAGGAGCCGAAGACGACTTGATCGTAACCTGCAGTTCGAAGTCAGGCTGAATGGTTTCCTCGAACAGGGTCTATGACCGCTTGGTTGGCTACAAGAAGGAATTGAGTTTGCAGTGCTAGTTTTAGGACATTCCCAAGGCGGTAGTTGGGCGAGAGAAGAGACCGTTTATGAAGTTAAGGTGAAGTATGCTTGTCTAAACAAGCATACATGCAATGTTCAGGTGAGGTGGCTGTATTGGCGTACCGTGGTGGTGGGAGGACCTTGTGTTGTCCCTCCGTGCCAAGAATGTCCATGTGCTCGCCCGGAAGATACGAATTCAAAGATTTGCCCGATGTACCATTTACAGCTATAGCATCCTTCTTCTCGTGCGGCAAGCCGCTGCGTGTTGAGATGCATAATACAAGCACTACGTAGAGGGACATGTACCGAAAGAATTGTCATGCACAACCGAGATCCTCATCATTGTGAGCATCGAGCACTGAACCAACTTCCCGGCACACAACAATCTTTCCATGAACTCGAGTTTGGCTACTCAGTTGAGGCTTCTCCCTGACGGATGCATGACCTCAACCTCTGTCCAGCTCTCCGGTAGCTCACCGATGATCCGAGCCTCCGAGATGCGGAGCGTCACACGGAGGAGGTTCTAGACCGAGTCCTGGTTGGATGCCGAGTTATAGACCCGCAAATTAAAAAGCGTCGGTGACCGAGAGCCGGAAGCTTACTCTCCCGAGGATGGCATTCACGGCGAGACAACACATTCGATGACCCATCTTCCGTCAATGTTCGGTCAATGCGACTCGGGATATGTCCCTTCTGTATCCATTGAAGCTGTTTCAACAAGACAGCTGATCATTCAAAAATTAGTAACGGGGCCTCGAGGTGAGATGAATCATCAGCTGAACTGGCAAACTCTTTAAAGTGGGATGTCAAGGATATAAGCGTAAGACGGCAATGCCCGACCCTACCTCTCTCTGCAGTGAGGAGCAACAAGAGGTTCTTCTCCCGTCCCTCCTTTTCATCTCGGAGAACCGCCTTGGTCAAATGATTCCATAACAGAATCTCGGTCGTTGGTTTTTACGCATGTGAATCTTACATGTTGCCTCGTTTGGCCCCCAACGTGGAAAGCCATTGGCAAGCACAAATTCAGTTGGGAGGGTTTGGGATTGTTATGGAGTGTTTGCATAAGCCTTTTCACATCTTTCTTGAAGTTGGGAAGTTTCAAGTTCATCCCCATTCCTATTACCCATTGTATATTCCACGATTGCCTTTCTTCCAGTTGGCAACAAAGTGACTAGAGCTGAAAACATCTACCTACAATATAGATAATTCAGGCCAGGGACATTTATCAAGACTATAACTGGCGCAACTGTTACAAGAATATGGGCCCGGGTCCCAGCTTAGCCGCATGAGCTTGAGTTTCAGCTCAGACCAAGCTGCTCGTAATGAGACTTCGCGTTTCCAACAAAGCTAGCAAGCGTTCCCTTGCAAGTTTGTAAACAAATAATACATGAGTTTCAATCTGGCTGCGGCTTTTATAATACTTTCCCGCTGTTTTTCAAGCCCTGGGCCAAGTAACCGGATAGTCTGTGTAAATTCTCTGGTTGCCCCAACGCCGATCATCATTATGCTTTTGATTCCCACGTTTAGAATTGACTTGGACTACACTTTTTCATACAAATACGTGGGCAATCAATTCATCGGTGGTACACACTAAAAATTCAAGTGTACTGTTGCACTATAGCACCACAGAACACGACTCTCAAAGGAAACTGAGAGTCACTGTCAAGACCAAATGAGCATTTAGGAATGTTAAGCAGTCTAGACCGTGAATTGTATCTACCAGTTTCATCCAGAGATAATATAAGTTCAGTGATTCTTTTGGAAGCATGGGAATAAAAAAGTGACTCAAGGTAGACATTCTGATAAGACGGCCTGGTGGGCATCCTTTTCAGTCACTAGACGAAATCGATCTATGATGAAAGTCTATCAATCTCTGAAACCAAAGTAGTGATTAGCAACCCAAACAGCCATCAACTAAATCTTTTGCTATGTTACGCTATGCGCAGCTGCTTCTTCAGTTGCTCAAACTCATGCTGTAGTTCAGGGAACTGGACCGGGAGTCGTTGCAGGATTTGCACAAAAATGTCCTTGATAATCTCAGTGCCATCCTTACTGTATAAATTGGTATTTACTCCCGCCGTGATGAGAGCCCTCGCGATGGGGATATAAAGCTTCAGGGCATCCGGTAGCAAGTGGTTCTCCCACTGCCGAGTCATCCCTTTAGCCACGAGGTAAAGGAGCATCATGCCGTAGCAATCGCGTAGGCTTACGGGTGGTCCCTAAGTCAAGCTTGCCTCAACCGCTTGTAGGTTCTCATTCCCTCCACCCAGCACTAAGAAGGCCGCAGCCCAGAAGAGTGATTTGCGGCCAAGGCTGTCTTTAGCGAAGATGTCCACCCCGTAAGTGATGAGCATTTCAGCACTCGGGCACACAGCCAGGCAGGCTGTGACTTGAAAGGACACGCCTCAGAGCCGGGTCAAGCTTCAGTATGTAACTAACAGAAAGGCCACTTTTCATCAGACTGGTTGATTTCCCTATCAATGGTTTACGGTCTCCAAAAAGGCCAGAATGGTTCGACCTGCATGCTCACCATATTATTCCAGTATTTTTGTTGATCGTCGTATCTCAAAGTAGAATTGCTATTGTTGGCATCTGGAGAAGGGTACGGTGAGATATAATCGAAGGCGTGCATATCTCCTAAGCTTGTAGTGAACTCACAGAATGCCCCTATGGAGGGTCTTGGATGCAATTGTTGATCACACGATACGGCTCTTAGTTTTAGTCCATAATTGATTGCCTCAACGACGCAACGGCAACGGCAACGGCAACGGCAACGGCGCATTCATGACATTTAACATATGCTAACAGTCTTCATTTACAGTATAACTAACATCATCGTTTTAACAGCCTCCTCCTCCTCCTCCACAACCTCCACCACCTCCTCCTCCACCGCATCCTCCACCTCCGCCTCCGCAGCCACCGCCACCACCACATCCTCCACCTCCTGCACTGCATCCTCCGGCGGCTACAGATCCCCCACAGCTGCCGGCGGCACATTGTGCCCAACTACCGCTATCTCCACCTCCAACCCCAGCTCCAGCTCCAGACGAGTAGCCAGGGTCCCAGGCGTAGTACATGCCGGGCGTGAAGTAAATAGGATACATCCACGGTCCGTACACTATCATTTCTGCGTTAGCCTTACATAGGCAGGTATAGTCGGGTTCACTCACTGTAATAGCTGTACCCCCAGTGGTCATAATACTGTTCCTTGGGAGGCAGCTTACGGCCCTTCTTCTCAGCCCGTCTACATGCCTTCTGGTAATTCTCTTCTAGTCGACGTTGATGTAATTGTTGAAGATGATTCTTGACTCGTTCTGCATGATTTGTAGCCAAGAGAATGTCGCCGGGGGCCCTCACGGCATTATGTGAGGAGATATGGGCCGAGTTGTCTGGAGGACAGAGGCTTGCAGCGCCAGACTGATGAAAGTTTTCTGCGACTAAAGAGACAATTAGCAAACGTCTGTCAATGCCATTCGGTGCATCTTACCCTTTTCGTTCTTGGACAGCCCGAGAGCCTTTCCCACCGAGGATACATGCGACGTCCTCACAGACTCGCAGTACCAGCAAGTACACTCAGAATACACCTCACCATATGTCTCTTGGTACTCTTTGCTTGTCCATTCAAATGCCTCACTCAACTTTCCCTCTTCGATCTTGTCGTCGTGTCTGATGTAACGAGCCGCGACCCGAGTGGTGTACTGGTAGTAAGAGAAAGGCGTGAGTTGGTGTGTGTGCCAGGGAAGGTCGATATCTAACGTCTCACAGTTAGTGCGGCGCTCATAGCTAATGATAACCACGATGCTTACCAAGCGTGGGAACAGCGACTTTTGACGCGTTCTTGGCCATGATGCTCATGAACCGCTCGTGTTTGGTACAAAACCTCGCCATCGTCTCCCGAGCAGTGGGTGAGTGCAACCAGTCAATCTTGCACATCTTTTCAGAAAAGATGCCTTGTCTCATGATGGCTCCGCAGAGATCCAAGGCAAAGGGGCTGAAGTTTTCCCAGTATCTCGACATCATCTTGCGGATGCAGATGCGTGAAATAGAAGGCACGCCCAGTCTCCGTCTTGCAACATAAAGCCCAGATGACTCGTGTATGGTGCGGAGAGAGCTTTGCTTCATCAATACCTCGTCTTGAATCATTTTACGCACAGTCTCCATGGTAGGGGGTTGATCTGGGTTAGCCTGGTTCAAGAGATCGTGGATCTTGACGCTCAATATGAGCTGAATCATGCGGTTCGGAAAGGTCCGATGATCCCACCGCTGCTGCGCAGTTCGAGTCCATCGTTCTGGCACCCCATTAGAGGTCTTGAGGATGGTTCCAGGCATGGGATAGTGCTTGACGAGAAGGTTCTTGGAGTCGTTGCAAAACTTGGCGACACTGAGTAGTTCCTTGTTGATGAGAGTGGCACATTTGGAACATCGAAACTCCAGTCTACCGTCTCCATACCCAGATCCGATCAGACCTGGTCGCTCCAGAGTCTTTGGGTTCTCTT